AACAAGAAATACACGTTTTGGAATTTATACCTCAAGAATAAAAGTAAAATCGATCATGTTACTTTTAAATCACAACTAATGGAATAAGTTCGACCGTATTCATTTAGAAAAGCTGAAATCACAAAGTAAGACGTTTCAGCACGTGAATATGTGAATTGTGAAAAAATATTTTTAGTAGACTAATCATATATGAAGATTAAAAATTTCTTTTTGACGTATAAATGTAATACTATTTAAGAACGACTTCAAATGAACGGTGTAACGATCAATTTACAGGATGGCAAGAAAGGTCTGATCGAAAGATGGGCTTTTTAAAATCTACCACTGATTGACTACTCTTGTTTTGTATGATCAGCGAAACTATGAAGATTTTTATTATTGTCCACAAACTGTAAAGGGATTCTTTGAATTGCTTACTTACAACTGAAAAACAAATACGCATATCGTAATATTTCTTCTTTTTTCTCTTAATACTGATTGCGCAACATTTGATACTTTAATAAGAAAACAGTGGCACTAATTTCTGCAAAATGACTATTGGAAGTTGTCAACAATACCACGGTAAGAGTCATTTCAGGGCTGAAAGCTATCAAAAAACTGAAGCATTTTGACACGTCATCATGGAATCAGAAAAAGAACTAAATTTTTCTAACTCTGCTTCAGTGTCAATACTTTTCAGAGCAATTTTATGATGTTTTCGTTTATAGATATAAAAGTACACTTTTATAAATGTTTCGATTTTTTACGGTCTTTGGAGACATTCTGTAAATGTCGAAGGCTAATTTCTGAAACGTCAAATACTACCAGTACGATTCTTAGCAAAAGAACGCTTTTTCGGACTAGCTAGTTTCTCTCCAAATAACAGTATATTTATTAAGAGTAGCTTGAACAATATAGTTGTGGCAATGATAAATAAATAAGAAATACGATTTGGCTGTATATTGAAAATATTATTTAACAAACGAATATAATGACTAGAAAATGCCGATAAAATCTGAATGCTAAAAGTTCAGTAAATTCTATTCTCATGCATACGACCGCCATTCAACATTACAGCAACTGACAATGACACTGATAAGTGTGTCTAAGAACCAAGCTGCAATTAGAAAGCAATTCATAGAAATTTATTGATACTAAAGTTTAATGACATGCATCATTACTTTACTTGAGAAAATTTGAGAAAGTTTTATCCCTTTTTCAAATAACTTTTTATGAGAAAAATTATATTACTCCAAGTAGTAGATGGTAATAATAAATAGTATATCATTTATGAAGGTTATTCTTAGGAAAATGTAACAATCGCTATCAGTATTGCTCTTCAGAATAACTGAATGTTTTAGCGATTTCAAGCTTGGGAGCTCGAATAGTAACACATTCTATATGTGTTATTTTACGAGGTATTCACACTCGCGCTCTGAACTGCATCTAGAATGAATTAAAATGTTCACAATTATACCAATAACAGAGTTTGCCGTTTTTCCATTCGTATCAGCTTTCCTTTCACTATTGTTCATGATATATATATATATACATATATATGTTCTTTCTCATCTTGCGTATCTATCTTGTTCATCCTTTGTTTTTGCTCTGACACATGGTCAAACAAACACATTTTGATATGATGAACTGATTACAAAAAAAAACAAGATTTTGTCGGTGTTTCGAATCGAATGAAACATATTGTAGTTTTACGCTCAAGACAGGAAATGTCTGGATACTTCCAGCTAATATTGTCGTTAATCATAATATGTGTTGAAGATATTTTCTATATAATCATGAGTTATTTGAAATATGGAAGTTGATTTTGTGAGGATAGAAGTCACAAATAAAATCTTATAGATCCATGTATTGTAAATGGCATGCAAGATAATCTCAGAGAAATAAGAAATTTTTATTAAGAGCGCTAAAACGAAGCAGACACAGCAAATGAGATTGGATAGATTTCTATTTTGTAGACAATAGATAAAGAAAGTTCGAAGAGAGAAACATTGTTTTGATGATCGCTACATATTTTCATGCAACAAATATTTTTCAGGGTTTCTCATCGAGCATTTGCAGGATGTCCCAAAAGTAAGAGCGCAAAGCTGTCGTTTTCTACAGTTCCACCATAGATTTATATTTTTGTCATCAAAATTGCTTTTAATGATGCATTACATTATTATGGTTATGTTACGTTACGAAAAACCTATTCAATTTTTTTGAGGCAGACGTAATTGCTGAGAATGGAAAATCAAAGGCTTTACTTTTTTCTCGTCCCATTATGTCATTTGTAGGGCTTTCATTTTATATTGCTTCCGAGTCCCGTATTATTCTAATATTGACAGTGTTCAAATGCTGAACAGCTTTTTATAGAAATTATTTTTGGAGTGTCTTCATCCTAAAAGAACCAACCATGTGATATGAAATCAACATTTACTTTGATAGGAAAGAAACACTGAAATACCATGATGAAATAAAATAGTGTGCAACGTTTCTGTTTCCCAACTGCAGCTGCGTATATCGAACAGCAATTCTATCACGCTTTCATCAAAATAAAATATCCATCGTGTCATTTATCATAAAACGTAAGTTAGTTGATCGAATTCGTTCCGCAGCGAAAGTGTGGAAAAGAAAAAAACCCTTTTGAATAGGCATTTTTAGGATTCATTAGTTCTATAAACCGTTTCATATTCATAAACAAAAATTAGGCTTACTAATATTACACTTATCTTTTTACAGTATATATATCTGTCGATTCACCATTGACACGAAATGTTTATTGTTTATTTCTATTAGTTGGTTGTATCAAAATCATTCAAATCGTGATAGATGTTTATTTATTCTCTAAAAAATAATTAAGGTACAATTCCCTGTATCCAACGATAGAAAGAAATGCAACACCCAATGTATTGTTTTCAGATCAAATTTTATTAATCACAATATATGTCAGTCAATTATAATATTTGATCGTTCAAAAGTACACTGGGAAATTATCATCTTTGGACTTTAATTGAGAAATACGAGCGGATGCGTTGAGATGACTTAGAGGGCTAAAAAAACGTTAAAGAATATAAAATATATGCGTGAATAAATATTTTTAGCCATTCTCATGCATGAAATTTTTAATATATTAGAATGCGTTGGTAGATGAACCTAATTATAGAATAAGAGCCAGTCCGCGTAAGCCACGCCTGAATCATAGGATGTGTGTGTGAGTTGCGAGCAGCGTTGCCACGTCGTCCGCTTTTTGCGGAAAGTTTCCGCTTTTTCGTATAAAACGTGTTGCATATCAAACCTACGTACAGAATAATATTTGATATTATTGAATCAATTCTTACTTATTGTTCACAAATACTGTGAGCCATCATTCTTTTATGTTTTGAAACTTTGATGAAATAAAAAGAAATTCAATAAATATGAAAAAAATGCCTAATATTCTCAGAAGCACCACAAATCCGCAACAATATAAGCTTCCGCTTTTTTTTCCCGCTTTTTCTTTTTTTGTTTCCGATATTTTCCGCTTTTTGGACTTCATCAGGTGGCAACCGTGGTTACGCGAACTGTCTCATAAGGCAACTTATATCATGTATTATAATATGATGTTTAGTTTAGTCTATTGCAATACATAAATATATCAGCACATTTTATACGGATGATAATTTGAATGAATTATAATGCGTGAAATAGAGCGCATGCTAAGGACGCCCCAATACCTATAGCATGGTATGAAAGATGACATTTTTTACTCTATGAAGAATATAATTGTTTGCATATCTTTTTGGTATAAAGCATGACAAATTTTCTTTTCTCTATTCAACACTGAAGTCGAAATTCATCAAACATGCAATAAAACTAGCGGATTTGACAGGAATTGATTGAAAAACATTTCAAAATTCGAATTTTCAGTCAAGTCCATGTCGAATTCGATAGCTTTACTGCATGTTTCATGAGTTTCTACCGAAGCATTGAGCAGAGGCGTAGAAAACTTGTTTTTCATCGTACGCAAAATCTTCAAATGAGCGCATTGTTCATAGAGAAAAGCTGTTAGTGCAATCCCTTTGGCATTAAAATGTGAAACACGATGTAACTGTTAATTCTGATCAGAAAAACAAATTATTCTATATATTTCTGAACTTTTTCTTTCATTATACTTTAATGCATCGCCTACAAGTGAAAAATGCAAGTAGATCATAAATTTGTTGATATTGTAGCTGTATGTGTTCCTTGACCGCACGAAGACGGCCACTACTATTCATCGAAGTATATCATAAGTGCTCCTCTCTATCCACCCTGAATTTTCTAACCCGTTTGTGAAGGTTCCAATGCCTATCTGTTAGGGTCTGTTATAGGTAATTAACTAATTATGCCGTATTTAGCTAATTCATCAAGTAAAATATATGTGACAGGAATCCGACTGTGTATCCTAAAACACCTCAACACTGCTTTCCGTTCGACTTCGACAAGGCACCTCCGTAATGCTCTGTGACGGATAAATCACCTCACTGTAATGATCTGCGATGGGTAAAATTTACCCATCACAGACCGTTACCGACAGATGATTACCTGTCGGTAACGGTCTGTGGAGGGAGGGGGTGCAAGATTTCTACCCTAAACACGGCAACACTCCTTTCAGGTCGCGTTTCACAAAAACTATCTTGCGGACTGTACTCTAGGAATTCGTGCATCCACACGCAGTCGTTCGTTCATATAATTTTATCTATTATTTGCCCATGACAAATGTGTTAATCAGCATTGAATAATGTGTCGATTCAGTATTGCATTGGGAAGATTCCTATTCATTACACTTGTCTATGGCTTTATGATTCGAAAAAACGCCTCTTTCTTTTCTACCTGATTAGAATATCTGTCTAAATGAAAGAAAATGCGTGACTTCAGTACCGTAAAGATTTTTTCTTTTTTTACGTGGGTACTTAGAAAAGATATTTAATGTAGCATATTATGTACTTGTTCATTTACATAGTTCTTCTACGATCGAAAGCTAAGACGGGTGTCGCTCGATAATGGAATACGCAGATTCTGCAATATCTAATACCGTTCGATTTTGGCTATTTCTAATCGCTGACATTCCATCCATTGGCTGTTCAATTGCTATCCTTTATCACATACTTTCTAATCGGACTCGACGGCATGCTATTAATAATCATGTTGTTGTTATTCTTCTATTCAACAATTTGATCTATGAGTTTATAGATATCTCCTTATTTCTCAATTACTATCGATTGGCGGTTGTCTCGCCTCCTAAAGAAAGTTTATGTCTCATATGGACCTTTATCGATGAAACACTGTATACTATTGCAACAGTGATTGTTGCTTGGGCATCAATTGAACGGCATTTACTTATTTTTCATGATCGTTGGTATTCTACACCCAAACGACGTTTTCTTATGCATTATCTTCCTTTGACAATGCTTGTATCATATATCTTATTGTTTCATTTCTTTGCCATCATAACTCCACCATGTAAAAATACGTATGATTATACAGAAGAAATATGTGGCCATCCGCTCTGTTTTCACAATAACAAAGTTATTGGCACATTTGATACTATTGCACACGATATAATACCAGCTATAACTATTGTGATCTGTAGCATTAGTCTTCTGGTACGGGTTGTAATTAAAAGTCGTCACATTCGTAAAACATTTCAGTGGCGAAAGCATCGCAAGATGGCAATTCAATTATTGTCAATTTCTTCTCTCTATTGTGTGCTTTATATACCGGTTGCTTTTATTGAGTTGGCACAGCTATGCTGTAGTTCCAACATATTCAGTGCTCATTTTCAAGAGTATACACAATTTGTTGCGTATTATGTTGTATTTCTTCTTCCGTTTGTTTATCTTGTTTCTGTAATCGAAAGTTCATGGCGAATTAAGAATATTTTTCCATGTTGGCGTCGAACAACACAAACAGTTTATCCAAAGGTTTTACACACGACACATGTCGCGGCACACCAGACAAATACGGTAGAATCCATCCCACAAAATTGACTGTTGAAAAAGAAGAACATGAGAAAGAACATTTTCTGTTAAAGACGAAAATAGTTGACACTTTGTATCGTAAACATTTTTCAGCAAATAAATAAAATCAATTAAAAATAACTCTGTTTTTTGTGAAATACTTAAAAGTTGACCTATCTGACTCTTCAAAGAATATAGTTTTTAACTATCTGAAGTCTTATGACATCACAATGATACTGAAGAATTTATTTTGTAAATTCAACGAACACTTGAAATTAGCTCATCAACACAACTAGATAAATTTTGTTGCCAAGATGCTCTATTGTCATCATTAAAATGTAGTTCATAATAGTATAGTGCAATGATCACAACGTTTTATATATCATTCAATTGAATTCATACAATGTTTTACGAATATTTAAGGATGGAGGTATGAATTTTAGGAAGGGTTCCACAGACAAACACTCATATAATTAAATATCTTTACTACTGAACAGAAGATAGAGGGATCAAGGAAAAAAGTACCTATTCATAGTCATATATTCAACGGCAATTCTGTGTCAGATTCATCGAATTTTCTCATATATGTCCAACGATCTACAAGATGAAGCATCCGAGAAAATGTAGCTAACGAAATTGGCTTTATTATTTTATAAGAGACTCATGATCTAGCAAGCAATAATGCAGTTCAAGGGTATCAAAGTACTTTTTTCTACAATAGTTCGTGAATTAAAAAATTGCAGATTTCTTTTGCGATCGTTCAGATCTAGTCCTCACTACTTCAATTTACTGAATCATTTTAAATTGGATACGCAAATATATTCTATTTCAATAATTAATGAGAACCATAGAATATTTCGTGTGATCTATCAAGAAGAAGAAGATATGAATAGAAGATTATTGAGCTGTATGAAAACTTTTAGTTTTTCAGCAATTTTATCAGACGTCATATTTTTATAATCGAAAATTGTGTTCTCAGACAAATATTTGAACATTTAAACAATAATTATATTTTATATGATAGTATAAATTAGGTTATGAAGACAAAATAAATTTAGAATTTTAACATTAACAAGTCCGTAAGAGAATAGATAAACTGTCAGTACCATCATTTATCACCGCGAAATCGATGGAAAATTGTTATTAAAATCACTCATGACAAACGATCGTGGCTGTGATCCATCAACAGATATGAGCGGGGATTGTTTCAAAAACTGTATATTCACGTATTCAAGAAGGACAACAAGGTAATTACCCAAGATGCCAGTGACAGTCATATGCAGGAAGCCATCCTTGTTAAAATCACCGATAACTATGGATTTTGGAGATCGATCAGTGAAAAAAATCGATTGGATTTTTAAATGAGCCATAGCCATATCCAAAAATTGCATCCCCACTACTTTTACTATTATCAAAGACAATAATATCCAGTCGAATATCTTTATTGAAGTCAGTAGCAATCACAAAAGATGCCCCCACCACAATTGAATACTTAATTTGATCTGCGAAAGATCCATTACCATATCCAAATAGGATACTGACATGCTTGCTGGCATAATTAGAGACAGCGATATTCAATTGTCTATCGTTGTTGAAATGCCCAACAGTCACATAGGAATGACTCGAGTCAGCTCCATATCGAATTTCATTTGCAAAAGATATATTACCGTATCCAAGAAGGACACTGATATCTCTTTGTTGCAAATGACATATTAGGATTCAACAGTCGAATGACTGAAAAATAACAATAAATAATATTGAAATTGAATTCCGAGAGATTTCATTGTCCAATCTTTTTAATCAGCTAAGATCGAAACAACACAAAGCAAGTATTTGTTGTTCTTCATGAGGATGATAGTACGTCATATGGATATTAATTCAATAATTCTTCATTCTAATTTTACAAACTCAAAGAAAAACAATGCGATTATGACTCAATTTGAATTAAAATATTAATTGTAGTTCATCATCATTTTCATCGTTGCTTGCCGATGGTGTGATTTCGGTATAATACAGAAAGGGTGTATTAGAATATTTAGAGGAAAATTTTTTAATATTAATATTACATGTTTCAATTTTACAAGATACCTAAGTTACAAAACAAGTGAAAGTTTGAAATGTAACACTATCTTTAAGCTTCGCAATCATTTTAGTGAAAGGTGCCGCTATTGCATGATCTTGCATTTTACACAATGTCAAGGCGGAGACTTCTTTCAATTCATAAAATATTTTTGAAATGAAATAGGTAAACGCGAAGCACTAATTTCATTCGAGTGAAAAGGAATGTGCTCCGCATGAAATTTTTCTTCATTACTTTACAGTCTATAGAAAAAGCGAATATCCCACCGACATCCATTCTACTATTAATTCTTCTGATGAATTGCAGTTACAATGGAGAATTCAAATGGTTGAAAAATACTCGTATAGAGCTTTAGATTCGCTGATTGTTGGTATCATATATATGTGAAAGTTATAATTGAGTTTTCTTCAATGATGCTGAGCTATTGAGTGGTAATAATGCAACAATAAATAAAATTCTTCCAATTCGATGAATCACTCAGAGTAGAATTGTTGAGTTTTATTTAATCATTTCTTTTCACTGTAACACTTTCTTGTTGATCATGGTTAAGGCTGCCGTGGCAGTTGTTATATAGCATCAACGAATCCATTTCAGTGTATATATTTCGAATAGACTAGATTTAACTAATAACATGAACGTCCTGAACTAGACGAACAAAGAATGTTAATGGACTGTAGAGTAGTCCAGGCGTGAATTCACCTTGTTTTGTTGCAATATGTTCGACAAAACCCCTATCGAAGACGTTCAAGACTAATGTGCTTCTCAGAAAGTCCACCCAGTATTGACCATTTGCTCATATGTCTAAATCTATTATAGATACCATGACATCCATCAATGTCTTAGTCACGACAGGAACTAGGAACCGTGAATAAGTTCAGACTATTTAGTCCTAAGTCAGACTTTTTGAGAAAATCAGGATATTGCTGTCAAGCTTTATACATTCGTCATTGAAACGCGTCGCTTACAGACTATCGACACTTGCGTAATCTACAACAGTTAGATTCTTCGGATGCGTATGAAAATTCTGAAGATAACTTATAATACATTGGTTTTTACAAACAACATATAATCGTGGTTCAAGCACTAGAGACAATGAATCATACTTCAAATTCTCATCTCTAGTGTCTGAAATGTATAACTGTATGCATTTATTCGAAGCGTTCGTTCATAGTGACTGTCCATATTTCCTCTTGTCTACGACTTTAATTTTGTCGAGTTTTTCATAATCTCACATTTTATTTAAATCTTGAAGACGAAGTCGGCCTCGTTTCTAATGATGTGTCCGCGAATGCAAAGATTGGAAACTAAGAGAGCTTAGGTATTTGTTGAAATTTTCAAGTTTTATTTTGTAAATTTATTCAATAATTACATATTACTTTGTCTCTCAAAAGCAAGAAAACAAAAGACTAAACTTGTTGTTTCTTCTGTTGATTTGAGCTTGAGATTGCCTCATTTGTCGTCATTGGTTCTGGTAAAAATGCTCCAACTTCAGAAAGCTGCTTTAAATATTTTCGCTTAGCATCACTTGCGCCTCTAAATTCATCAGCTATACGTTGCATACGATAATTCGTTGAAGTAACTGCCGAAGTTGATTCTTCTGATCGAGTGCTACAATAAGATAACTCAGCAATAGTAGCATCTCTTTCACCATATCGCATTACATAGTGAGCCCACAATTTTTCAAGGATTTCTTGTACGATAAAATCAGAGACGTTAACTGTTAGCATGCGTATGAAAAAGTATCCGTCTTGTTCTAAATATTCCGTTATGAACGCTCGTATAAGTGCTTCATGTACATAATCACCTTTTTCGCGTGTAGCATGTTTAAAGTCGATGCGAAAACGTGGAATTTCAAGGCGTGATATACGCGTAAGACGCGATTGTATAAAATTATGTCGATTTTTATATATAGCAAGACGTCCAATCCACGAGCATAGAGAATAAATATTGAGAAAAAATAGAACAACGAACCAAATCCAAAGTAAAGTGAAGATTTGCTAAAACAACAAACAAATATTTACATAACGATTGTGGAATTTCCTTTTGTCAACAAAAGGATTGATAAGGCATACCGAACTATGAGAGTAAATATGTGCACTCTTTACAGGTTGTTGCATTTTACTGATACATTTTATTTTTTGAAAAATATTTTATTTGATGACAATGCACAACAGAGAATTGTAATATGGTATAATGACTCAAGAGACTTTAAGAATATAAATCATTTGAAGACTTCCGAAGATCTCTATCTCTATCTACTAATACACTTTAATCAGCTGAAGATATGTTGGCTTAGGCAATGAATCAAATTTACGCATACCATCGGGTCAATGAAAACTATCGCAGAACTGCGATTTTTAACATTGGCGAATATTTCTTATCGGCATCTTAACATAGAAGCTGTTTTTTATTAAAACAGTATCATAAACAGTACGATCTTAATGGCAACTTCTTCTGTTCTAAAAGCTCTATGTTTTAATCTCATAAGTATGAAAGAGTTATGTTTTGACAAGACTTTTAGATTTAAACCGAATCAATAAATAAGACATGTAGCAGTAACTTTACCTGATTGAAAAGATTAACAGTTAGTACGCATTGGACAGTAATTCTTTGTAATGGTTCTCCACCGCGTAATGGTTCGCGTACATAAAAATCACAGAATGTTTCTCGAGGAAAATATTTTGATTCTGGCTGATTGAGTCCGTAACGAAATAATTTAACACGTTCAAAGCCGAATTTTAAAAAATTCGTTCCCAGAAATATATTCAATAAACATATTTGTAAAATAACATTGCAAATATAATACAGCCTTTTTTGGAAAATAAAAACAGAACAATTATTTCTTGAAAAGATAGACAAAAACAAAACACGTTCGCTTACTTTCCAAATATATAAAGTGTAATAAAATAATTGCCTAGAAATTTTCCAGTCATACAGCAAACTAATTGAAAGAGTTTCCTGAATAATGCTGTTTGTCGTTTTTCAGCATCGATTTGTCGACGTGCATCATCAACATACATATCAATTGTATCAACAATATGTTGGACTAATGGACCATGCCCATCGAATTGTTTAACTGATCTTATGTCATCAGCTGCTTCAACCAAATCGAGAAGATCAATACCTGAACGAACACTTAACGCACGCCATACTAAACGTGGTATATAAAAAAATAATGCCATCAGTAAAATAATAAACGGTGTCCATTGATAATAATTTAATCTACGATCCATTCTAAATCAACACAAAAACAATGTAATCAATTCAATAATAAATCCTCAGATGTTCATATTAAAACAATCTGCCGTTTTCTTCTTCTTTAATTAATTTTGAACATGCGCTTAGACAAGCTTATTGGCTCATAATTAATCACTTTAAAAAGGTTTTCTTTAATGTCTCTCATAAAACTTCTAATTAAACTAAACCCCTACACGGAATAGAAGCCTACCCCGTGGGCTAGATTTCTCGGTTGAAAAGCTGGGCTTACTTCATGCAAAATGAACTAAAACCGATGAAAAATGAAAGGATAAACATTTCTCTATCACATAACGCAAAAACTGGCATCAGGACATGCTATGTTACAAAATTATAGCTTGCGCAACAGAGACACCACCCCGGCTTCTATTCTGTAGCGGGGTTTATACCATCAAATTGAGAGGCTTCATTACACAATAGACAATAGCATACTATGTTGAATTGATGAAAACTGCAAGTGAACGTCTCAAAATAAAAACATAATCATCTTCTATTTAAATTCTCTAAATTAAACAAGAATATAACGTACATCGAATGTGAACGTCCTTTTCTACTGATAGAAGGTGACAGTAAAATTGTCGGATAATGCCATGGAAAGAAACAGATAAAGTTTAGTGATAAGCAAGCCAAGTACGAGCTTATACTGTCAAAATCGCATAATACATATAAAGAGACGCCCTGAGAATCGATCGATTTTTATGCTACTCAAGTATGCACAATTGATTCGGTTGGTAGCGGTTCGCTGTTCAAGTTTTTCAACATCGTCGCACATCTCGAGTGTTATTTTTTTTAATAATAACATTTCAGAGTACTCTGAAAAAAATAAAGGAGGCTTACAGAACCCTCCGAAAAGGTTCTGTAGATTTTCAAAATGCTCCAAATGTGTTCAAAGTCTCAAAAAAAGGATAAAAATTTTGACAGAACCTTTTTTTCGGTTCTGTACAGCAAAAAAAGGTTCCGTGAGAAAATACGAAACCTTGAAGGTTCTGTACGAAACCATTAACCATTGGTGCGTAACCTTAATGGTTCCGTACTGAACCCAATCGTTTTGTACAGAACCTTCAAGGTTTCGTATTTTCTCACGGAACCTTTTTTTGCTGTAAAGAACCGAAAAAAAGGTTCTGTAAGAGATGGTTCTGCACTTGGGTAAAACGCAGAACCTTCAAAAGGTTCTGTCAAAATTTTCATCCTTTTTTTGAGACTTTGAACACATTTGGAGCATTTTGAAAATCTGCAGAACCTTTTCGGAGGGTTCTGTAAAGCTCCTTTATTTTTTTCAGAGTATTGCCTTGTTGGAATTTGTAGTGAAACTCTTTCTGTTTTAACAAATAGCTAGCCAGTATTTTTTACATGAATAATAAACTATCAGTTTAATTTATTATTATTATTATTACGTACTTTGATAAGACAAGGTCAAACTAAGTAATTAAAAAAACTCATGCACGACAATACATATTTTATTATATCATTTAACAGATAAATATTCAAATATAATTTTCTACTGTTTGTTTGTTACATATTTACATCGAATTTTAACAAAAAAAAAGCTGCTCGTAAAATAACCATCTGATGACAATATGAAACACGAAATAGCTGTTGGTACCAATAATTGATTATTTTTTTTATTCTATCTATTTCCGCATAAGCTGCCTGGCAATTTGTTGTTATGTAATCCTTCTGAGACACAAAAAGAAAGAAGCTTATATTAATTTAAAATGAGAAATTCTTGGAATACGATTTTTGATGCGAAGAAGAGAAAATAAAGCATCACTAAGGCGTATAGAGCAACGATCTTTCATGTCTCTAAAGTTATTCTTCTACCAACCGATTCATGTCGTTTTTGCTAGGACGTCCTTCTCGGTGAAGAACAAAAAAGAAGGTAAAATATGAAGAAGGTATTTTTTGCGATCATTTCGGCGTACTACTGATTGGTACACCACAATAAAAAAAGTCGATTAAAAATACATGATTTATTACAAATACGTAACGATTGTGACTGTTATTCTAGTAAGTAATATAATAAAAACGGATAATTCTACGCATTAATGCTTGCAATAGCAAGGAAGCAAGACAAGCGTTAAATTGAAGTCTTACAATGAATAAGAAATAGGACCGTATGCATGTTGAAGAACAAATCCAAAAGAAAAACAACACAGTTCTAAACGTTACTCAATGATATAGATGATTATCTTATAACACATTGAGTGTAAAAATATACATGCATGATGCCATTCTACATTATTGTAAAAAGCAATCAACAGATGAAAATATTTTATTATTGACAATAGATTTTTATTTGATGCTAGAGCTTTCTATAAATACGCATCATTCTTTCATCAATTCTGTAAATTTGTCATAATAATAATGAATCATTTTTTTATTTCTCGATTGAAGGAATTTAATGAAAATTCACTTACCGGTCTTGTATGTTGTCAGGTATTGTCTTATTCCGATTAACATAATATGTTGACGAAATGTAACATATTTGATTTGTATACGCTATGTAAGATTTTATAAAATTTGCTCGATTCCAACATTCTATTCTATCATCGTCAAATTGTTTCGTTGCTGTTATCGTCGCAAAAAGAACGAGTAAAGCAACAGTGTACTTATAATTTATTTTATCAAATGCATCATCATCCGATCTCAACGATGATAGAAGTACCGTTGGAACTAACGTAATAATATAAAGTATGTCCACCATTACTTTACTTCATTACGAAACAAATTTCTAAAATAATATTCTTTAGTAAATGACTCAGCTCAATATAAAACTCGTCAAGTATTTTACATCGTAAACAGAAGGAAAAATCTTACTCGTCGATTTCTATCTCGGAGAGCATCACGTTTCTTATGCGTTGCGGTTTACGGCCTATTTGACGTTGTGTTTCTTTTCCGTATGAGAGGAAAAAACGATGTCGCTATAGAAAAAAGAAAAGTGGTCGCGAGAAAAAAAGAGCTATGCTTCTTCTTTTTCATCGACTGCTCTCGGTCGTGCCATAGCTATGCATGCATTGAAGTGTCTTCATATTCGCCTTGATAGGACGAGGAACGCATTCAGAGACCAGCAACAAAAAAAAAGAAGGAGAATAACCAACCGTTAAAGAACAGACGCGTTTTGGTATATATATATATATATATATATATATATGTTTTATATGTACGCGAATGTACACATATATGCTAGGCTTTACGTATACTTGTCATTCAAGGTTTAAGTGAAGACACGAAAAAGGTATTGATTGTACAAAGTAATATTTCTATTGTTATCAATTAAATATGAAACGAATTGAGTTGACAATATACTTTCTAGTATTATTAATGGACATGTAATTCTTTGAATGACTTATTAAGGACAGAATAAATTAGACTGCCAGTTGCACAAGAATTAAAATGATGATATCAATCTAGATGTAATTCGAATTTTATTAGAGATAATAGGATACAAGAATAATCTAGGAATTTTCCCCCGGGGCGGAACAGCAAGATATCATCAATAGTATTATTGTTAGAGAGAAAAAAAGAGGTGTAAGTCCTCGTGCGAAGTTGATAATTAGTTTTGAAAGAAGAAAACTGATGGTTTGCCAACAATCAATAGTTGTATTTCATTTCAAATGAAAGATTAGATTCTAAACAGAATTGTATTGAACGATTTCTTTTTTGTTCTGTACCAGATGAAACCTTCGAGTCTGACGATGCAGTATGAATGAGATTGCAAAGAAGAAAGTCTTATAAATTCGATGGATTCTTTCATTTTTGTTTCGATTCATATTTCAAAATGAGTTCGGTAATTTGATATGATGTAATCAATGTGCATATTCACATCATTAATCTAAAATAGTTTTAAAATAGAAGATGATTGAATAAAAAAAGTGCACATACTTGCATTTCTCTCACGCTCTCAAGTTCGCCGGTCAATTGATACAATTTAGATAATGATCTAAGAGTAAACAGAAAGAAAATAAAAGATATTACGAGTGGTACGATAATTTATCGTTCACACATTTATTTTTTTGGCGAACGGCAGAATGTATTTAGTATAATTATTGTTGTTTGGCAAAGAAAAATATGCCCTATTCAATGCCATCAGAATAGCTGTTTCTTTGATATATACTAATGCGATAAAAACTATTAGTATTTAGAAAGATTAATTGATTGGTATAATTTATCGATTCATGTAATAATAAGTAATCGACAAATATTCGAACAGAATTTAGATTTCGTCAGTTATTATCGAGCCAGTCTCATGCTTTCTGAAAAAATATCTTATTAAGTGCAAATTTCAAATCAGCAATTCTCTGAATGGCTCTCACAAATATCAGGTTTTCACTCAAAATGTCAAAGATGATGGAAAGCAATGCATTACTTTATCACAATCATCATATGATCCATACGTCAAAAACGTGCACCAATCAAGTTATGACAGCCAGAAATCGTTGATACGAAGTACAATACGATACATAAAAAAAAAGCAAGACAATTTTTATTCGGGATTAATCATTTAACGTTTCATGCATTCGTATAACGGGAAAAAAAGCTATTTAGCAATAGGCTTTCTGTAAGTTTGATATGGAGTGAGTTACCTTGTTTGATCACAAAATTACATAGTTGCATTTAATTAAGATGACGATACTAATTCTAACTTCGTTATTATTAGAAGCTAGAATAATTGCTGCTCATGGGTTTAACTAGTTATATATTTTTAATTTCAATTCGTACAATTAAATAGCACTTAGGAATTCTTTAGTAAAAAAGGAAATCTGGTTTTGTGACAACAGGTCACTGAAATAGATGTTTACCGGATAGAAGTTAGCCGATAGGCGTTGAACGGTTAGAACCACATAACAATTCTAAAATTATTTTTGATATGACTGTGTACACAGATGCATTCCATTTGAAAACACGAGACGCATGAATTTCTATTTCGTTTTTTTATCAATAATGCAAATCGATTAGGTTTATCTACTATTGGTCGAATTCAATTTTGTTTGTTATAGAAAAATAAACGTGTCGCTATGAACGAAATAGGCTAACAACACATCAAAAGTAAATGAATAGATAAATTTTACGTTTAATATTTCTTGGCGAACTATGTTTATAGCAATTTTCTAGTCTGCATCTATTTGAATGCATCTTTGACTTATCAGAATATTTTTGTGAATAACTCTTAGTTTAATTCCACCGAGTGATTATTAAGTTCCTCTTTTTTTTTAAACATTCTACAATAAATGACATTGACACACAGATTACAAGGGGTTGTATAGTGTGTAGCCAAAAAAGAGTAAAAAACTAGAACTGCCGATGAATAAGATGATCCGAATTTTTAGTATCTAAACCAAAAAACAAACAGTTAATCGCAATGAAATCAACAAGCAAATAGTTCAACCTGTAGTAATTTGGTTTAAATGGTCCCGCTTTGTTAATACCCAAATATTTGCATTGATCATCACTTAATTCCGTTAGATGAGCATCAAATGCAGGTAGATGTAAACTTGCTACGTATTCGTCTAGAAAATAAAAATTTCCAATTAAAACAAAAATCGGAAATAATTTGCTCATACCCATTTTTTTGGGTAATAAATAAACATCGCATTTATAACGATTTGTTGGCGCAGTGTAAAGTTCAATTAAAGCCAAAGCCTAAATATGAATTGAGATTTAGCACGAAAATAAGCATCCATTTTTTTGCTGTCTTCCATAAGCAGACCTGTGTTGCTGCTGTTATTGAAACAACAAATGATGGAACACTTGAACAACATAAATTCATAATTCGACCCTATGAGATGAATGTTGAGTTTTTCAGTTGGGAACAAAAATACAATTCGAAACTCTACCTCTGCAATCAGTACGATACGTTTGCCATTTGGCCATATAACATGATCGACATTATTTCTTACATGTTCAACCTGTAAATCGCTTGATGAAGGCTCGCGTAAGAAGCTCTATTTGAAAATCGAAAAAGAAAATATTATGTACTGGAAACACGAAGCAAAACACCCAATACGTACGATATCGATTTCTGTATTTGAATGTCCCATATTACAAACAATGGTTCCATTTTTCATTTTGTCCAATGAGTCTCTTGTTATGGTAAATTTACTGCCAGATGCAGTAACAACAATATCAACTTGTTTAATGATTTCTTCAAGACGAACAACTCGATATCCTTCCATACTAATATATATATATATATAAAATAGAAAATTGATCCAAAAATTTGCGTTAAATTAAAGATTTTACCATGCTTGTAATGCACATATTGGATCGATTTCTGTTACAAAGACAAAACAACCCATTCCACGTAATGCTGAGCAACATCCTTTGCCAATTTCACCTAAAAGAAAATTACCGTATATGACAATCATTCATTCAACATTGAAATTATTTGTCTTCCGATCAGTTGACATCAATGATGATTGTTTGTCGAGAACTCTCTGTTTGATAGCATGCTGATATAGCACACAGTCATTCTACTTAGTAATTAAAAGGGTTGCATATAAGAATTTTCAAAAAGCAAATTATGCCACGCTGTCTTTCTATTCCGGACTACAGTTATGTGTAGTTATAGAAATTCTATCGAGCTCTATGATGAGGCAACACGCGATACCTGAAATCAAAAGTATTCGCCCTTGTATATGTTATAGGATAAAGAGAATTATTAATTATTATGCTTGTCATCAAATTCATTAGCAATGAGCGAGTAGATGTGAAACAGGAACTTTAAAGAAAGAAGATAATGCCCACGTAATTCTTGTGGAAATAAAATGTAAAATTGTAAGGCGTTGTTTCCTTTTAATCTTTAGAGGACTACTTTATTCTATCTGTTTCGAAGCAGATTTTTCTGCTAAAGTTTATCTTAGCCGAATAGAATAAAATTTTACTGATAAAAGATCTGCTAGGATTAAAATACAGTGGGTTCGAATTCATTGGCCAAATCTTTAATTTAGTAGTTCAACAACCATTTTCAATTATAATTTCTCAAACCAAACGAGTGGACACCGTTTCACGCTTTAATTCAGCTAACTGTTAGTACTTGTAAAGAAAAATTGATGTCAGAATCCACTCCAGTAAATTAAAAGTTTCACAACTGTAAAAGAAAATTGATCCTTCATTTGATTAAATTATTTTCATTTCATTCTCAAAACTCTTATTCTAGTTTATGTATTCATCATAGTCATTTTTTTGCTAACTATGAAATATCATTTTCAAATAATAATAAAATTCAACAAACCATATCCACAAACAACCGCTTGCTTTCCTCCAAATAAAATATCTGTACATCGCTTTATACCATCAATGACTGATTCCCGGCATAGATATAAATTATCAAATTTGGTTTTTATAACACTATCATTAATATTCATCGCTGGTACGGTTAATGTTTGCGTACGACACATTTGATATAAACGATGGACACCGGTAACCGATTCTTCGACAATACCTTTCATTGTTGAAAATAATGTTGCATAATGTTTGTGACAATAGTGTGTTAAATCTCCCCCATCATCTAGTATCATATTCGGTTGCCAACCTTGTTCGGTGCCAATTGCTTTTTTAATAGACCACCAAAAATCATCATCACTTTGACCTTTCCATGCAAATATTGGAACTGATTCTTCAGCGAGTGCAGCAGCTACTTCATTCTATATTCAGTAAATATTTTATTCAAAATTTACAACGAACATATAAATAAATTTACTTGAGTAGAAAATATATTACAAGAACACCATCGTACTTGAGCTCCCAATCGTATCAATGTTTCAATTAAAACCTTTGGTTTTGTTTTATATTAATAAATAAATTTAAATATATAGAACAAACGGTACTCTCAATTCTTACAGCTGTTTGAGCGATTATATGTGTACAACCAACAATTTTTGCTCCCTGCAATGGTTTGTCAACTTCGGCACGACGACGTAATGCCATAAGACCGGGCATTTCTAAAAAATGTTCAATGATATTCTATCATCATTTCGGTTGTTTTTAGCAGAGTCAGTCTCAAAAGTAGTGTAGTACCTGTGCTTCATAGATATAACTATCATAATATCGCTGAGTCCCTAATGATCTTATACGAAAAGAGAGGCTCGACAACGAGTTCTCATTATAGAAACCTAATTATCCTCGTCACGTTAACAAATACATTGTTATTATTAAAAGATAAAAACATGAAAAGTGCATATCTCGGAAATCCGCTTGAACAGAAATGACACGAAATAACAGTTCATTATAAATCTATTCATAGTTATATGAGTAAAAATAAATATATGCCGTTCGTGTCTTTCCATTTTTTACGCTACTATAGCACAAAATTAAAAGATTTTGCTTAGCTATACTAACCTTGTTCAGCAATCTCTATTTCTCGTCGGCCATACTGTGCATGTTTTATACGGCGAACAGCAAAATCTGTAAAGCCTGCTTGATTTTTCTACATGAATAGAAGAAAACAATAATGATAATCGATAAACAGAATCTTTAATGCAAAAAAAGCACGAACATGTTCCAATTCGCGTATGTTAACACTGCATTCATCTTCTGCATCACTATCACTATCACTTGCAGTTGCTAAAAAGAGAAAAAAAACCACAATTATCATATCAAAACTATCTGGTAATTCTGTATTTGAGAAAAAAACAAGAAATTGGTAGAGAAAAAAACAAGAAAGTGATAGAGAAAAATTCTCACTATATTGTTGTAAATGATCTAAATCAGAAGATTCTCTATCAGGATGCGAACTGATGGAGTATAAACGTTGTGGTGGTGGTTGTCCTTGTTTTTCGTTACCAGATGAACGTCGCCGAATAACATTTTTGTCTATAAATTGAAGTGACGTGCGACGATTGCGACGACAGTCTAACTTTTCAAGTTCAGCCGCTGCCTCAGCTGCATTATTCTCGTCGTTCGACATGAGTTTATTCAAGAAAAAATAACTTTATAGTGTGATGATAAAATCGTCAATAACAATACCACATACGCACCAACGAAGAAAATAAATAGACCGACGATGGTGATGATGAAGTAGGTGTTAGTGTCTTTCTCGTTCTTCTCATCTTAGAGGAAAATGAGAACGACATAATTTTCTTTCTTGACTGTCTCTTTTTTCTTTCTTTTTTTCTTTCTTTCTTTCTTTCTTTCTCTAATGTATATAGTATATTGAATATTCTGAGACTAGCTGAGAAAACAATATGCACGAGAAAGAGTAATCAACTTTTTCAAATCATGTTTTTATTCTATTACATTAAGTGAATCATTCGATGCATTTAATTATGCCTATATATAGATTTTATCTCAAGCATTGAAAGATATGTTTTTATTCCGCAGCAATAGACAAATTGTACTTTTCATACATGCGAAGTGTGATGGTGTCATTTTGTAGAGATTTATTGGCCGTTCGCGTGGGGATCAATTGCAATTTTTCAAAATCTCAAGATGGCACAAAGCTATTTGAATGACATCGATATTCTTAACAGATGGCTTTGACTAGAATAATTTGATAAACAACGTAATGGATAGCATTCATAATAACACATATTATCTACTATGCAATAATAAGAACAACTAGTAGCCTCATTTTCTGCTGTTAAAAATAGAAAAAACTGAAATAACTTCAACATAGTTTACTGACATATGGCGTATCGAAATTGATATTCTTGTCGATCTCGATGCCCTCGGTGACAACAAAACCACGCTCATGGAATGTAATTGAATAGAGAAATAGGATTATTTATATTTTGGTGCACTGTCAATGTCACAGAAATAGATATGTTTGGTAATGATTGTCCCATAGAGAGTTGATAGTAGATTCCAACAGGCATCGCTATTCTTCTATCACCACTGATATGCATGTTGTTATATTTGTTGATTTATAGTTAAAGACCAATAGCAACGTCTACAAAATGTATTGAATCAACGCATGGTAAATGATAATATTATACTAAATGCCAAGGCATTAATATTTGATGTTTTTTATTCGTTATCTTCTAATAAAACATGAAATTCCTATATAATACTACGAGCAAAAAAACATACTAATCGTATCGTATTTTGGTATTTATGATTAGAGGAAAATTGAATATAAATAATGAATATTTGAAAGCTAGTCAAGCGAAGGAATATTTTGTTTTTATTGAGTGCTTTCTGTTGGTTGCTTACGGTTCATTGCATCAATGACACAATAAAACACTATTAACAAGGGTATTGTTTCTTTTGTTATATTCTCTCATTTTGGATTCATATTTTTATTTTTTAATACAAAATGGATAATGATAATTGACTATCTATTCAAGGGTTCGAACAAAAGAGCTTACTTCCATCAGATAGCGCTGAGCTTTGAGAATAAGAATATTGTTGTCGAACGGTTGGATCAAGACATGTACGATGCTATAAATAAAACAGATGAACATTTTAATAAGAAACTTGAGAGAACCCTTTTCAAATTGACTGATTATGAATAAGATTGTTGTTCTGATTATAATTCTCATAGGATGAGTAAAGATTATTCAAATTGTTTTTTACGAAACCGATTTATAATAATGAAATCTGGATGAGCATTGCGTTTTGATTTTAATTTATCTTATGCATCAATAACTATATATTTTATCTTCCAATCAAATGCAGTGATCCTCACTAAATCGAAAGAATACCTGACTGAGACAACATGAATGACGATAAATATTTTTGCTGCGTCTATTTGCTTTTGAAATGAATAAAAATACATTTCGAGGAAAAAACAAGCCAAAATCGTGAATCTTTCAATGAAAATTTCATCCTATTCACTCTTTTCGAACTGAACAAATTGCAAAACAACGGCTTCATTCATTCGTACACAGGAACTTAAAGTAATTCTAATATGAGTAAAGTAAAATACAATGGAATTATTCTTGTTCTATCTTTTATTCGTCAGATGTTTTTTATTTATTCGATAAATATGCAATAGGGAATCCAAATCTGTACTCTAAGAATCCCATTTGGTAGAAGAGCTAGTTGGGATTGTCGATATTATATATACGGCAGGCGAGTTTGGAATAGTTTTTTTCATAATTTTTTTAATAGAATTTTTGTTGAGATCTGACTTTAGAAATTTTTATATTGAGAATTATTCCTTGCATTTTTTTACAATGAGTTTTTAAATAATTCAACTCAGTCTATTTTTTAAACTATGGGGACATTGAATTTATCTGAGAAATATTTCTTCTCTATTCTGTTTTTCTATAATCTGTTATCACGAGCAGAAAAAAAAGAAAAATATATTTTTTTGATTAATTATTTTTTTCGACCATTCCAATCTCAACTGAAATTATCATGTCAACTGTGACATATGTTTTAGAATATAGTATTAGTGAGTATTTTTTTTGTGGCTGATATGAATTGGTTTATTGGTGCATGGTAGAACCAAACCGAAAGATCTAAGCTATCTACACTAAACAGTAATTCTAAATGGTATAAGAGAGTGTTCGCTTTAAAAAATGTTCAATTTTCTTGACACTTAAAATCTCGAATTACAATTGATCGGGCATGCGTGATACTTAGCAAACATTCTTCGTATCAATAGTAGTGCAGAGAATGTGTAAATTAGCGTTAACATGTGTCATTTGTCACTATCTAGCTGTAGTAACACTAGAAAAGTTGAATACAAATTTAGTCTTACGTTAAAGAACCTTAATAAACGAAAGGATGATTTCTGTAGTTGAAAAAAATTGAAGCTATATTCACCCACCGATTGATGATCATTTGATACATCTGCATTTAATAAAAATACATCGTCCGATTCTATTGTGTTCGATGAGTCACGTCTATCAACACTTAACACGGGTAAAATGCCATGCGAATGAACTTCGGGAAGTGGAGCTATTTGCGAAACACTTGGAATATTGTATAGTATTTTTGTTTCATTCAATGAATTCGGCTGTTTACGTGGATATTTGTTTGATGTTCGTTTATTCTTACTTGACTTTTTCAAAGCAAACATCTTCTATTTAGTTTCTATAGTATGGCGGTGAACAAAAACAGATTTGAATGATAATAAATAAATGTTCATTCTTGACTATCTTTTTCTCTGTTCTATGTTCAGCCGTGTAATTCCGGCTTGGTTTTTATATAGTAACTGACAGCCGGCGAGGACAGAAGAGATTAAAAAAATGTTTATCCCAGATCTCGAAAAATAGAAAAAATCTGTCTAATATTCTTAATTATAGAATGCAATAGAATTGTAATCATTGGTTCATATCTGTTTCATCGCTTATACAAGTGTATATATGCTTTCTAACTACTAATACGAGTACATAACTAATAAAATACTTGTTCTATAATGTCAAATAAGTATTTAATCGAAAAATACAACTACACTAATAGAGAAAATTTTGCACATTCTTTCTGGTGATATAGGAATAAATACGATAGAAACATTTACCTCCTTTATTGAACCTTGTTTTGGTGATTTTCGACTTGTTAAAGATTTTATTGAATGTCGAGTTGGCGCCCGCCGACGTAAATTAGCTAGGTGGTCATTAACTGTCGGATGTGTTTCAGTCGTATTATCAAGTTGATTGGTATTGGTTAAAGCGGATGATTCTTCTTGCAGAATTGTTTGCGGCAGTTCCTCGGCACGTTCCACTCGTAAACGACTCATAATGCTAGAAATAAAGAAGAAAAATAGTTCGAAGAAATAATGTCTATAACTATTTCCGTTAGGAAAATTTTTCGCCGATGTATTTTTTTTCTAAAAAAATCAACGTTAATATGATGGTTTACAAGTGAAAACAATTATTCATTAACAAGTTTAGCTTGAGCATAGAAAAGAAAATAGCATGAAAGTCATTTTATGTTCGCGTTCGTCTGCTTTCTATGTGTCTGGTTTCTATGATTGAATCATGTGCGTGTCAAAATGCAAATAATTCTATTTTCTTTTCGACGAGAACAACCTAGTCGATTAACGCTTTATTTGATAAATAAACTCGTCATTCTAAACGAGCAATTATAAATATAATCCTTTAGCTCCTAACTCGACAGGAAAAAATGACTAGAAGTATAGAAAATTTTCCGCAAGAAAGAAATAAGGTTGATAATTGTTATGAAAAGTAAAGAAGCGTATAATATGAACATAGATGATACTAGAGAAATTCTGGCCACACGCCGATATATATTATAAAAATAATAAAAATAATGAGCAGATTTCTTTAGTTATATGCTTTATTCGACTAAAATCTACTTGAATAATGAATTTCTACTCAAGGATTTACCATTCATATGTGATAAATAACTAGAATTTAGAAAAATTAGCTCGTCGGTTGTAGTTAAAATAATTTTATACTCCTTTACACTGACTACACTTTGCTCGTCACATTAAAATGATGATAATAGTATTTCTTACTTACCGATTGCTTTCGCCTAGGATTCCTGTTTTATTATTATATAACGCGTATTGCTCTCAAGAAAGTAAATAAATTGTCAGTCTTATAAACACTTCAATCTATCTGACTTGGTAAGCCTTATATAACAGCGCTTGTCAGGATTCCAGCGAAAAACTTATTTGCAACGGACGTGTCCCTCGGGATTTATCAGAACACTGCGATGTATGTGTATAATTAATAATATGACTTTCTTGTTTAAAATAATTTTTAAAACTTTATAATTGATAAATACTAAAAGAAATATTCTAATTTAAGACGCATGTATCCAAAGCGTGAGTTAAGAATTAAAGGGAGTGAACATCGAACCTCGTGCGGGTTTATTATTCTAAAATAACTATAGCTATAGGGTAAAACGATTGTAGAAAAGAGAGTAATATATGTTACAGGGAAATTGAAAATTCAATCTCACCTAGAGCAAATTAAAATTTTAGTTTCTTCTACAGGAAAGTTTTAAACTGCCCTAGTAGAAATAAATATATCATTTTTTCTATTCGCAAATTCTATATTACCATGAAAATGATTAAATATTGCAAAATAACCTTATGTTTTCAAGCTAAATAATCTTACAACAACAAAAAAAACAATAGAAACGACCTACCTTACTGAAACTAACAAATTTATATCTAGAGAAAAAAAAGATCACATATTTGACCACGCGCATTTGTTTTTTGGGTGACATTTTGCGCACTTTTAATATATTTCGTCTTGCATGGGCACTACTTTGTAGCACATGTGCCATTACAATAACATACTTCTGCAATTGGATCTGAATGCGTGTGCTCAAATATGTGATCCTTTTTTTTCTAGATATAAGTGTGTTAGTTTCAGTGAGGTAGGTCGTTTCTATTGTTTTTTTTTGTTGTAAGATTATTTAGCTTGAAAACATAAGGCTATTTTGCAATATTTAATCATTTTCATGGTAATATAGAATTTGCGAATAGAAAAAAATGATATATTTATTTCTACTAGGGCAGTTTAAAACTTTCCTGTAGGAGAAACTAAAATTTTAATTTGCCCTTGGTGAGATTGAAATTTCAATTTCCCCTGTAGCATATACGCTGAATTCAATATTCTTTTCTATCTACATGCATTTATTTATCATCGTTTGCGACGATAAAAGTGATCTTAAGCTGTAGTATGCTAATGAGAGAGCGCAATTGCAAAAGCAAAAGTTAAATTTCCTGCTAAGACCCATTATGACATATATGTTATTGTAGAAGTCAAGCCACTGTCCTGAAGACAATTTATTTGTAGAGCAAAAGGGAAGTGCGCTACCGGAAGCAGGTGATGTTGGTTATATTTTTTTTTCGGTAGATAGGACAAATGCATCAACGGTGAAATACTAAGAATAAAATATTAATTGATAAATATGTAACCGTAGATAACCAATAGAAATCTGATATAAAGAAAAAAAAATAGAATGCGGCTCATTTTCACCCTTTCGGCTCATTCATCATTCGACTATAATTATACGACAAAGGAATGCGTTCTTTTCTAAAATACTAGTCCTGATGTTTGCCAAGAAAAAACTCCTTTACCCGAACAAATGGCATTACTCAGGAAGAAAAGGTTGAGTTCTATCTGAGCTTCGCTTGTTAACCATAAAAAATACATTATCCATTTTTTTTTGTGAGCACTGTTTTTTCTTCTAATGACTTACAATCCCTAAGATTAAAATCAAAAGTCTTCCTTTAATAAGTTCGGTTGGAATCAGATAAAGTCTTCTTGTCATAAAAACAAAATAGCTTCTCGAACTCTATTCATGTCTCCGGGATTCATCCTTTTCAGAAATGAGTTACTTTCTCATATTTTGTATCATGTTATTCTCTTGTGTCTCTACCATAGTCCTCATTTCCTGCTTATGCGATCGCACTACAAATGATTTCAGTTTTGTATGATAATTATTGTCTCATATATTTTTCACGGAAGACTTTTGTAAAACTCATTACACTCGTTTCTTTTGTATATTCACTTGAATGAACCTTATATTTATTTTTATTTGCATGTCGAACTAATTTTATCCTAATCATATTTATTAGATGGTCGCATTCAAAAATAAAAATCTATCGATTTCGTAGAAATGACTTCAAAGAATGTCTCGGCCTTTTTTCTATTTACTATCATCATAAAATTGTTTGAGATTCGAATGATTATTTTAATGATATAATTCTTTTGAAAATTATTCGACTAGATATATTTTTGATGGTTAAAGACGTTCGTTAGAATTGAACAGGGAATTTGATTTTCTAATGAGAAAAGTTTTTCAGCTCGCAGAACTCTATATTAATTACTCTGAAGGATAGAAAAATACCGACCATCTGCTAACTGAAATGTCTATCAAGTAGTCTGTAAAACGCTCTTTTTGTTATTTTGTAATACAATCTTCTTTTTCTGTCGTTGGTAATGTTGATTTTATCTCGTGCAAAAATACTTTCGTGAGCTGGAAGACACCATGTTTTCAAAAATTCAAGAACTAGAGAAACCAAAAGCAGCTTATTTTCTTCAAATATTCTATCCTCAGGAAATTGATTGTCATATTCATCTTCAAAAACTCTTATTGTCAATAGTGTTCTATTCAAATCATCATTTCGATTGTTATTTTTATATCGAAGAGTCACAGTGAATATTGCATGTATACATAATTCAATCGACGATTATTATTATATGTGTAAAAATAAATCATTTCTGCTGATTGTGTCTTTAAAATAAAAATTGTCGATCAACAAATATCTGATGGCTGTGTTTTTCTTCAAACAAGAGAACGAATAGCACATGTGTTGTACTTTGCAATCAACTTGAAATAGTTTCGAGAAAATAATACTTATTCAATAATAGACAATCTTATGAACCCGTAGGAGATCGATTTAATATGACTTTTTGCTGTTCAATGCATTAGTATTTTATTGCAACTCTCATGATATCTGTAAGATAGTCGTATTTCATTAGAAATATAAACAGCTGGCTTCATTTATTTTTTCTCTATAATATCTAAGTTTATTTATCATGAATCAATCTAAAGCATTCCTGTAAAATAAAAAACTACTTTTAGACCATCTCAATATAAAACTTCTTCATCATAGTATAGAACAACAAGCAAAATATAGCTTGTTATTTGTTCACAATCTATATAATAAAATCCAAACAGTATGTTATGTTTCTTTTTCTGTATACCGGCTGTTGCATGTAAAAGAAGACAAAGAAAAAACGAGAAATCAAAAAAAGTAATAGACATAGTGCCCATCTGGTGATGTTTCTTCGCTCTCATACCCGCGAAGAAGACGAGAAGGAAAGAAAGAAAGAAAGAAAGAAAATCATCATCATTCTTTCTTGCACCCTTACGTGCTCGTTCGCTCCCTAAAAAAAACGCGCAGCTATCGACGGCTACGTATGCGCGTACCAATAGATGACGGAAGACAGATGTGGCAACGATGACAACAACAGAAGTATGCTGCTACTACTACTACCACTGTCTGTTGTTCATTTGACGTTCTCTATCATTCATTAGAACAGCATAGCTGTATCTGGATTCATTACAATGCCGACAACGAGCAGTATTCAAGTGAATAAGCACATTTATTCCCTTGATGTTTATTATCACATGCCTTCTTTTGTTTTCTATTCTCATTGTTAATGTAGAAACGTGCCCGAAAATCGATTGCACCTACTCGTCCACCAATTATCCCCCCACCATCATCAACTGGATCTATCGACGGCACAGTATGTCATCTATGTGGTTATTTAGGTCGAACAAGGTCGATATCCACTGAAAAAAATGGTTATAGTTTTTTACGCCATTTACCACCAGCACCTGGTGCTTTGCCAGTAACCGATAAGACTCAACATGTTCGAGCTTGTCATCTTTGTGCTTTACTACTTGATAAACAACGAGAACTTAATCATACAACGAATAATTTCTTTTTCAAAGGATTTTTTCGATCCACAGGTGCATGTCATACTAATATTGGATTATCATCGAAAATAGTATTGAATCCTATTGAAGAAAAAGAACAATCCATGGGTAAGAGAAATTTGAATAAAAAAAAATAAGTTCATTATTTTTTTCTTCTAGATAAAGAACCACAAACAGAAGAAGTACCCGAATCTTCAAGTTCGCAATCCATGACTATCGAAACAGATAAATCAATACAACGATCACGAACAATACCTCCACCATTACGTCGAACAACTACATCGACTACAAATAAGTGCGTACTTTTTTCAATGAAATTTCTAATTTGATCTTGACAGAGAATCAGTAAGGACAAAGACTAAATTAGATTTCTTTTTTTGTTCGAGATTCATTATGCTTTTATATAGCCTATTAAAATTATCATCAATATTCTTAGAGACAATCTTTTGTCTTTAATATTTTAATTCATCAAACGCTGATTTCGATGTTTACTTTTTATTTTAGTTCACTTAATTGTCATATACTCGATGGAATGTCTTCATTAGATTCATATTTAACATCCGTTCGTGCACGTTTTCTAGCTGATTATACGTCAGTAGAATCTTCATTGAAACAAAAATCTTATGATTCTTGTCATTTATGTCGATCAATAAAACCTCATAGTACACTTTATACCATATCGAAAGCAGAATTTGAATTTCTTTCATTATCACACGTTGACGTATGCACATTGTGTTATTATAATTTACTTGATCAGCATAAAAAACAAGTAAAAGTGTATCGTCGACCACGACCTCAATGTTATGTATGCCGTTGTCGTATAAGTTTTGTTGATTGGGAAGTAAAATTATTGGAAACTGAACATTTACCATTTTTATTAAGTTTATACAATGAAAATATTCTTCATGAACAACTGTACGATAATCAACGCTTAGCACTTACATGTGAGCAATGCTTTTATAGATTACTCTTTCAATATATTGATCAAGAACGACGGAATATTCCAATTCAACAACGAACATATTCATGGCAATGCACATATTCATACGAAAATGAACATTATCTTAATACAAATGATTTTTTTTATACATCTTTATCATCAAATAAAACACATTGAAAATGTAAATATATACTGTATGTTTAAAAGAATTTTACAAAATGTGAGAATCAGTCTGCGTTTTTGCTTGTGTTTTTCATTGACTAGATGAACATGCTGAAGAATTTAAATGTTTGCTCTCTTTTTCATACAACACTCGTTTTCGATTGTGAAAGACGAGAATAAATATTGGTGTCATTTACGGTTGGCATCTGATTTTCGCTGATTGGTTCATCAGCAATATTAGCTGATTGATGTTCATCTTCATTTTCGTCCATATGAAATAATTCATCTGTTTCATCAAACATAGGCGCAGGACGTCGTCCAACTATTAAAATTAAATCATCGGTTGATGATGATAACAATGGTACTACTTGATTGCATTCCATACGTGTGACATCGATATTATTGACCTAAATAAACAAGAGAATGAGTGAGATGATTCGTTTTTGCTTTTGCCAATTAAAATACTTTGTAAATTCTCATGCACGGTATTAATGTTCCTTCTAATTCAGCTGGTCCATTTGGTCGAATTTTATTTATATAAACTCCTGTACCGTAAAGACGATCAGATATTGAAAAACCGAAATCAAGTATACGTCTATCACGCTTAAGTACAACAGTGACAGTATCATTTGCTAATCGATCTCTGCCATAATTATCGTATTTGTTTTCATAAATATTCGTTCCGATCGATTTATCATTTATAATTGATGAAATATGTCGTTCATGTTCCAATTGGCGTACGGGTTCACGTAGTCGACCATTGGTTGTTGGTGTTCGATAATCAGATGCAATAGGAAAAGTTACAATTGAACGGCTAAGAGTGTTTGCTGTTACAGGTATTGAATGAATTTGATGTTTAAGAACAAAATCACCTAGAAAATAAATATTCAACATCGAGTGCCTTTATTCTCATACAATTAAGGCAAGTCTAAATTAAGAGAACATCAATTTCTAGAATTTAGTACATATGATCTATAACGCTGATATTTCTGCTCGATAAAATGCTGAAGTCTATAAACGTTTTGTTTTCGTCTAACTTACTGTCATTTCCATTTGAATTTGGTATTTGATAATGTTGATGATCATTAACAATAATTTCTTTTGTTGTTGTTGTATCACTATTATCACTAAGTCTATTATCAGTATTTGAACTATCCCAAGATTCCATAGCTGAATCGACAGATGGCGTATAATCTGTAAGAGAATAGAAATAAACAAAATTCAATAACACAATAATCAACCGTATATACTTTGATGTTGATTCAGTATACGAGAAATTTTTAATGTTATTTCATCACCACTTGATTGTAATAATTTTATTGCTTCATTAAGACCTTTACCACGTAGACTAACATCATTTATTGCTAATATTCGATCACCAATATGAATTGCATTTGTTCTATATTAATGTAAATTTTTAGAAAGATAGAAAAGAAAAAAAAATAGCAAAGCACTAGCACGAGATGACGCAAATAAATCTCTATCGAAATTCATACGCTAACCGATCTTGTTGCAAAAAAAACTACTCTGCAAGAAAATCGAACTCAAATGAAACATTTATGTTTGCTTAATATTTACTTATCAGCTAATCCACCTTCACATAAATCCGATACAATAATTGGTTCAAATACATCCTCACTACCCGCTATTGTTAAACCAAGTGGACCACTAAGAATAAACATATTTCGCTTTTGTGTTATTAACAGTTAGAATTTGATTACCCTTGTCGATGCAATTGCACTTTATAAACAACAACATTTTCACAAAGATTATCTTGTGAATAGATATCATCTTTTTTTATTCGTAATCGTACAATATCATCACAATTTTTTAATAATGATGCTACTTCGTTTAAACTTTTCCCACGTAACGAATGCAAATCAATAGATAAAAGATGATCACCTGGTTGAATCATTCCACAACGATAAGCTACGCTGCCACGTTTAACATCGCTTATTATTGGAATTTCATCAAAATTTGACGAACGAGAATCTGTTTAGTAAAGAAAAATGAAATTCACTCAGCGTATAAGATAAAAAATATGTACATACAAGTCATAGATAAACCAAGATCAAGATTTTTCCTTAAAAGTTTCACTTCACAAATACCCGATGTTAGCATAACCGAATCTAAGTCATTGTGGAGAGAAAACACATAATTAATTTAAAAAAAAATAAAACGAAGAAATTATTCACATACCAGCAACATCAAATTCAATTTCAAGATGTATTTGATGATTTGATCTTTTTACTATGGATCGAGCATCTTCTAATGTCATACCTTCTAGTTGTTGTCCATTGATCCCAAGAATACGATCACCTGGCTGGAGAATACCTGATCTAAATCAATAGAATACTTAGGTTACATTTGATAACTTAGTTAAATAGATTTTTTTGTATTTGGTGAGTTACGTATGGTTATCGTTGGTGTAAGGTTTCATAGATATCTCTATTGTTCTACAACTGTATAGAAGAAATAAATGGTACCGATGTACAATCAGTACTTGTGAATTATTTTAGTTTTAGATTAAAGATTCACTAGTGAAACATTGAATAGATCCGACTCATTGCTACTCAAAACGGAACATTCATCGTACTCATAGAAGTGCAAAAAGACTCCTTCTTGTCTTGTTTTTGGCATATATTTGGCTTCAATATTTTTTCAATACCTTTCAGCAAGACCACTTGGTTCCAAATATCCAATAATAGGTGGTTGTATAAGCACCTCTGATGCAAACGAAGCACCCTGAATTGTAAAACCGTAACAACTCATTGTTTCTCCGTCGTTCGAAACTCGATTTGAACACAGTGAATCAAATTGAAGAATGCATTCCATGATTTCTGTATGACACATGTGATTGCTGAGAACTGTTTGATACGATGAATTAAGTGAGCCTATAATAGACAGAGAACGTTCGTTGAAATTGAATTAATTCGGTAGAAATATTTTAGTAGTATAAGAATGAACAAAATTATCAGTAGGTATAAATATTGAAATTCAATACAAAATAAGTAGGTAAATCCATGATTATGTAAGAAATATAAGCGAGCTTCTCTCATTCGATGCACAGACATGTGTAATACGAACGAGATAGCAAAATCGGTCCGCATTCTTTTATTTTTTCCAATGTCTTCGATGATTTACCTAACTCGAGAAGATTATACGCTTTAACAATCCATGGTGAGATCTCGTTTGATAAATTATCCAATGATTTAAGACCTATAGATAAGGTTTTTCCACGTTAAACTCAAAGCTTGTTGTTGCTGTTGAGGAAAAAACAAAAGGAGAAGAAATATGCCTTACTAATTGAATTATGTTTTGTTTTACTAATTTGTTTTCGAGTAGGATGTTGATAATTATTTCTCAATGTCCAATTATTTGCTTGCATTGATGAACGATAATATGCTTGATGATTATTCTCATTGACTGTAACCAAGTAAAAAAAAATGAAACAATGAATAGAGGAGTTTTCTCTTCTTTTTTTTTATTGCTAACCTCGATTTTGTGATTGATCAACAATGATATTCATTGATGCTAATGCACTTGCAAGTGTGACTTCAATACGACAAAAATCGCCTTTACATGATTGAATAATTGTATTAGCTTCTGCTAGAGATATATCAATAAAGGATTTGTCATCGATTGCATTGATTTGATCACCACAATGTAGTGCTCCACATCTAAAAAGTTTTGCATGACCATGAATAGTTCTTGTATTATCGGAAAAACAAAATTCTTACCTATCAGCAATACTTGCTGGTTTAACATTATCAATAACAATAATTGAATGATTATTTCGAGTCCATTTCTGTGCTAAACTAAGTCCAATTCTTGATCCGAACGATTTTTCAATTTCAATTAAAAGTGGACCAGAAGCATGTTTAATACTATCTATACAAAGAAAATGATCATAGGAAAAGAAAGACTATAAGAAATATTTTTTCTGTCTCTTCTAAAATTAATCAACCGATTGATTTAAATAGAATAAAAAATTCCGAAGTCATTTTGCTCTGCGATGCATATCGTCATACGGCTAAATTCAACGGCAATTAGCGCCAATCAAGAGATGACCGTGATCAAGTCACGAACTGCTGTTTATCTCAGATCATCCGTTCGATTGCATGTTGTCTACGTGATAGCCTACATCTGCTTTTATTGTTAATCAATGTCGATGAGGAACTATTAGTATTCTTTCTACTTATAAATAATAAGTTATTAACTTGTTCAAAGTTTAGCGGCGATCAATATTTCAACAACAAACAAACAAAATTATCTTACCAACAATAGCAACATCATATTCAATAAGAAATAAAGTTGTACCGCGACATTGTTTCATGAGTTGATGTGCATCCTGCAGCGATGCTCCGCTAACATTAATTCCATTTATAGCTAATACGCGATCGCCAATCTTAAGTGTTCCTTCTCTATTATGAATTTGAAAGAGAATATTTTTGGCTGTTTAATATGATGAACAAATTTCATACCTATCAGCTGTTCCTTGTGAACGTATCTTTGTAACAATAAGTGGTCTCACTTTAGCCTTGTCATCTGAATCTCCTCCACGTAAAACAAACCCATAGCTTTGTCCTTCTTTTTCTAACTGAATTTGTATCGTTTTGGTATGTACTGTATTGATTGCATGTATAGCTTCAAAAGAAAAAGAAATATTAAAAAAAGAGAAATATTTGTATAGAACTCATTGTTATACATACGCCATTTCGGTAGATCATAGTCAATATCCAATATTAATTGATCTCCGACTTGTTTAATTAAATCAATTACTTGTTCATGTTTAAGACCAGCTGTTTTAATACCATTGATACCAATTAAAATATCACCAATCTCCAGCATATCAGATTTTTGTGCTATTGAACCTGGCTTAAGTTGTGCTACTCGTGGCTTACCAGCTTTATCAATACCGCCCGATATTGTTAAACCAAGTGGATAGCCATCCTTTTTTGCTAATTCAATCGTCGTTCGACCTTTCGCAGCTGAATAAAAGAAAAAGTTTTAGATAAATTTTGAAAAGCCTAGCAGAAATAGTATTCAACTGAAATACCACGTAAAGTTGCTGGACTAGTTGGAGCCCATTTACACGTTCCTATAGCTCGTTTTAAATCCCATAACGAACTGCCATTTTCACAGCTCATCCCCACTTCTTCGCGTTGAGTATGTAAAAAGGTGTAATGCAATGAATTTCAGTAGGCGGGTTCAATTCATCATCGCAGGACAAAGAGAGGACAAGTGTCACTTCAAGTTCTTTCGCTCTGTCTCTCCCTCTTCTCCTGTATTTCTTTGTTGACATGGAGTGTTTTCTTTTACTCCCTTCTATTTCTTTTTCTCGCTCTTCTTTTGAACTCGTTGGTTACGTACACATATACATACACAACTGTGTTCGCTAATACTCTATCCCACACAAACGCGCGCAACGTGCTATTCCTTTCTGCAATATACTATATTATCAAGCATTACCATAATCATCATCTACATACATACATCAAAATGTGTTTGTATATATGCAATGGAATGTGAGTGAAGAAAAGAGTAGAGTTGATCTTTCATCAAGTGCATTGCTGTATAGTAGACACACAAAGTAATGTCATTACAGATCATAGAATATGATCGATCGCTTGTAGAAATACTATGGCACAATTGTCAAGGTGACTTTGTTTTCTTTGTTGGTTCATTATCATGCTTGCTCTACTTACTATGCTAATTAAGCTAAGAAGCGAATACGTTCATATAGCTTATTCGTTTTCAGTTTTCTTTTCTCGTTGTGCAGATGCATTTTTATTAGCCTTCTAGGAACAATTTGGCTTCTTCTATTCACATTTATTCTTCTTTATGAATGTAAATAATGCATTCGAAATTCTTCAAATATTATTTCTAAAAATATCACCTATTACTTAATTATTTGCGAACGAGTTCATTCGATGTAACACAGAAATATGAAACTATATATGTATATGCGTATATACAAGAATCTATTTACTTAAGAATATAATGCTCTTATTAACTTTTCGATATTTGAATAGTACTAATAAACTCACCCATAATATTTGAATCTAGGTTTTTAATATTCAAGTCTGATTCAATCTTCTTTTTTGAGTTTTTTGTTGTACCACAAAACATGTTAAACTTAAGCACCATTGTATATGAGACGATAATAATAGAAGCGAAAAATATTCATGTAGTTAACTATTTATATTTGCGATTGATCGATATTAATGTTCACTGAGCATAACGAAAAAAAGAATAACTAAAAGGCTGAGTAAAGGTCATCGTCAACGCCATTCTTGTTTGTAATAGGTAGTATATATGTGTGTGTGTGTGTACGAATGAATATACAAAAAAAAAGAAGAAAACCGATATAGCGCAGTTGCTTCTTTCTTTTTTTTTATGCTTTATGTGACAGTCCTTCGACAATCATGGTTGATCAACGATTGCATCTTGTTTCTATCGTTAATTGGGATGAATTGGAATATTAATTCTTTTTTGGTGCTTACTAATTACAATGATAAGTGTCTGTTAGTTGTGAATTATCTTTTATAGAAAGCAACATAGGCAAATTATGACACTTGTTGATGTTAATCTTGTTCTCTCCCTTAACACCTCAGGACTTTACGCACATATTCAGAGTTAAAAGCATATATAAACACGCTAAGAAGAAGTCATGTTATCTAACTACGGGCAAACTGTTACTCGTTTTATTATCACAAAAAAAAATTGCAGACTAATTACCTATGAGATATGTCAACTGATAATTTATTTCTTCTACGCTTGTCTATCATCACAGACGGGATCGCTACAGATGACAATCGGAGGTAGATCAATGTTTATAGATATTAAACTCCTTGAATATCTATATCACAAACTCCAGACGAGATTTAATCTTTTCTTTTTATTGATATTGACAAAATGAAGGGATGTTGCATTTCTCACTTACCGAAATGATTAAATGAAATCAGAATTGTATTTTTATTACCACCGATAGGACGTGGTGTCGCTAAAGTGCATGCACGAAACCAAAGAAACGGTAATGAACGATATTTAGCCAGACGATGTTCAAATAGCGATAGAGCAAACGAATTTTTTCTAATTGATCCCATTCTGAGTAATGACGACGATGATGACAGATCAAGTCCTGTTAATCGATGAGTCCAACTCATATCTTCATTTATTTTCTATGCTTTGATCTCAATAATAATAAATTTAGCCTATCTATAGATCAAGATTATGTCTTATGAGGCTCACAAATCGAAAGAACTAATCCCATTCATCGTATATACTAGAAGGTCAATAGTAATCTCGTACTACTAACAACTGAGACATGTGCAAGTGATATCATCATTGCAATAGCTTCCATTTTTTTGTGATCTATCTATTGTCGACTATCGATAGTGCGTGCCGAAGAACAAAATAACTAGGCGAATCTATGAACAAAAATAAATCACTCAATCCTAGTCTACGCGTACAGGCGACATATCGGGAATAGGATAAATATTATTTCCTTATGGTAGAAGAAAGAGAGAGAGAAAAAAGGAGATGAAGACAAGATGCCACTAGATCATCAAGGGAGTTCATGTAACATTTATTTAGTGTTTCCTTGATTTCTCATGTTTAGATTTCACTTGTGAAAAAGAAAAAAGACTTACAAAGCAGCGTATGAGGAGTTATTGATGAAGATGTATTTTGTATATCAACGGTCATTGTTGAAGGTCCTAGAAGAAACATAACATATAAATATATAAATATATATGTTTCATAATCAGTCAATCAATCTTTATATCTATTTAAACATAATATAATCTTATTGAAAGTTTACCTAAAACTGATGATAAAATTTTTCCATCGTCACTTTTCAAACATCTAATATTCCAATTTGGCATATCGGATAAATCTAAAATAAACAAAATAGATTTTAGCCTATTTCATTTCATAGACAAAATGATATCATCTACGTTCAAAAGATAAAAGTTTAGAAGACGGCCGTATCGTATAATCTGATGCATCAATCTCTTGCTATATGAAATCACTATCGGTTAATGTCGTGTTAATGTTTAATGGGACAAATGGGTAAAAAAATGTAGTTATACACGTCTATATCTCGATATACACAGATTTTATACGCATATGTGACTTGTCTGTCTCGTTTTTTTGCGAATAGAACATATAATGATCAAATTATTTTACAAAATGATGATACAAAGAAAAAATGGATGATTACTGATTTTTTTCTTCTGTTCTTTCAGTGCAAACAGAAAGATCTCAATTGTGAAAGTGTCGATCAGAAAAGGATAGAGAACGAAATCTTGCTTTAGTAATATTTTTCTTCTTCTATCCAAGCACCTAATCGCAATATTTATATAACAATTCAAGTATATAGACAGCGGTTAAATTTCAAGGTGATAAAAAAACCAACAAAAGACTAATGTATGGCAATCATAGAAATGAATTCCGCGCTTTGACTTTTCATCTTCGTAAGACTGGAGTTCGATAATGATAGAACGAGATAAAGTCAGCAGGTAATATGATTTATGTAAATCATGATATCTGATAAATATGAACAGAAGCAGATATTTTCGATGCTGATTGTAACTTTTATGAGACACATTTTTCGGAAGACGTTCAATGAAGGTTTTCTAGGACAGAAACGTTCTGTTGTCTTGTAAAGAGTAGGAAAAATTTCGAATATTTTTACTCTAAAAAGAAGCTCGATGATAAATTGAGTTTCAGAAGAGATTGCTTTTGGTTATTGATTATTTGTATGCATACACTTTCAATTTTTTATTACCAAGTAAAAATCCGTATGTTTTAATTGCATCGATAGATAGGGCACATTAGTATATTGTGATCTTGACGTTCAATGACATTTCTTTTATCTCGAATGCTTTTCGCATTATTGTGCCTACAACAATGTTTACTTTCTTACAATTTTCAAGGAATCGTTAATGAGAATACAAAGTGGACACAAAAAAATTCTGAAAGGCAAATATTTAAAGTTAAAATTTACTTTTTTTTCTTATTACGAATATGATCAACTGTTATGCTAAATATATGAATTACAATCGATTGAAAAGTTTGACTTAGCATTAGACTGACATCTGTGTTCTGTGCGATATTTAGCAAAAAAAATAAAACTTGTAAATTTCGTTCAAAAATTAAATTTATGAAATCATTTTCTATTCGATCTTTCATATTTTCACTACTAATTTAAATACGAATAATTCGTCCTTGAATCAAAATAGAATCGATCATATATTCTTATTATCAACCTATGCTTAATTATCGACCACTATTATATTTTCATCGATACGTATCAATCAAAGGTAAGAAAGCTTACTCACACGTAGAAATACACATTTTTCTCATGACGAGCATATATAGTTTTGAATGATGTAAGCCTTCTGTAATATCGACACCATATAGACTATAGTAAAAGGCGTTCACTTTACCGAGGTATTCAGCATTAGAAGATTTACAGTTTCTTTTCTTTGTGATTGATAAGTGTTCAGTTGCAATCGTTAGTTGACGGTACAAGGTGGTCGGCTTTTCTTCTTCTTTCCAGCGATTAATCAATTTCGCTACTTTGATCGGATGTAAATCAACATGAGTTGACAGGCTCCGATGTTAATAGCCGTTGGCACAAAAGATGACAAGATGTTACATCAAGCACTATTGGTGATGTATCATATTAATCTTTTTTTCTTTTTCATAGGCACGTCTAGTCCATTTCTCTTGTTCTTCTTCTTCTTCGTTTTTGTGTGTATCTCATCATTGTTTATCATAACACAATACACATAGTAATGCCGTTTTATTCTTGTACTGGGCGTGAGCAATTGAACATATGTTACTCACAGTAGAGAGACTGTTATTGCCTATGGGGTCATAAGTAACCAACTATTGCTCAGAATCAAGAGTTGTTCATTGTAGAGACGCGTTATATTGTACACATAATAAAATAAATGCGGAAACATCGGATTTGTATCCGATTATTATGTGTACTGCAAAAACTGAGTCGATTTATATATGTTGTGAATAATTCTGAGAAAAAAAATTCCTGTACCCCCCCCCTCAGGGATGGTCTGGTCAATAATGACAATTTTTTCGATAACTCAGCCATTTCTTGACGGATCCCTCTCATCTTCGAACTCGGCTGAGATATTGATGAGATCATTCTGTTTACAAAATTTCTTGACAATCGAATCAGCCTTTCAAGGGCTATCGTGTAAACGGCCGGACACACTCACCGATTCTATAGTGTACTCACTTTTGTTTCTTGAGTGCGTAAAAAAGACAATCTTTCGAACGATGTTAGTTCAGCATCATTCTGTTGAATAATCAATTGGTCTAGTGAATTTTATTATAATAAACAAATATATAAATCGTTCTGAAGATCTCTATATTATTTACAATTTTTACAATGTGAAACAAAATATCTTCTACAATAGCGAAGCAATTCTAAAATTCTTGAATGATTTCGCTTCAATCCATTTAAAAATCGATACGACGAGAATTACAGTAAAGCATCGGCGTATTTGATTGGAAAATTTTCGGAATACACTCTTTGATTCTTTGCATAAAAATCGATCGAAACAATTGACTTGTTAATGTATAAATATAAAAGGATTTAACATAATTTGTATAATAGAGAAGTGTAGTAAATGACATTAGAAATGATCCTAAGGCTTTAGCATCACCAGTAAATAATGGGCAAACAATATAAAATGCATAATAAATCGTTCGAGTTAATATCAACAATGAACTTAAACCGATTTGAACTAGCATCATCTAAATCATATCGAATATATAGAAGAAAAGAAAGTTTCCTGAGGAAAATTTTCAAAGCTCGTTCAAAAGAAATTTAAATTAGATTTGCTACTTATTTACTCATAAATCTACTACAAAATAATATGAACATCGTAAAGCACGTAGGCGAATTTTACAGAATATGATAATAGCGTTTTTATATGAGAACAGATGACATCTAGGAAACCTGCCAACATCAATATGTCAAAACATTTGCATCTAAACAGTACAATAATATGTTTTTCTGTATGGTATGCCAACAGTTAAATGACATCTGCGATCCTATTGATACTAACTTCATTCGTTGAATAGGTTTTCGAAAGGAATAAATTTCTATTCAAAATATCGAAGATAATGAACAGTGACGCCTTCTTCGTCAATAGTCATCTTATGATTAATATTAAAACCATGAAGTGATCATGTTATAACTCTGGGGAGTAAGTGGTGTCAGTCATTATGGAAAATAAAAAGTGACTAAAAACTAGGCAAATTGAAAGTAAATTAGGTCAATAGTGAAACAAAAATTCAGCAGATCGTTTTCCTATTATTTGATTATGTTCGACAAATCTATCGGAATGAGTTTTCAGGATAGATTGCCAATAGATATTTATCTAATAGGGTTCCGCTGATGGAAAAGGAAATAATATATTTTCAGGAACATTGTCAATCATTATTCATATAGAAACTTTTGTTTACATTACTTACTAGAAGCAATTGTGCATTTGTTTTATGATTATGTTGAGATTGTTTTTGATTAATATGCATGGTTTTCATAGTCGGTCTTATCATCATTTGTTGTCTCGCTCGTCTTATGTTCATTAGAGTAATAAAAGCAAATATTAACATCATTCCATGAGGAATAAATCCTAGCCAGAATACAACGAACATACCATCAAATATAGTATACATGCCAGGTAGAGTAGCACATTTAGATCGAAGATCATAGGAGAAAATAATGTGAGAACAAGATATTAAACCGATTATAATCATAATTAAAACGTTGCGATAGGCTACTTTTATTTGACTTAACGAACGTAGACGTACATGAACGGATGATGACATACATCGATCAAGAGCGGATAATAATATTAAATAAGTAGCAATTAATGGCACAGTCGAAACATAATAGGCACGAAATTTACAGAAAAGTCGACTTTTATTTTGTAGATTCCAATGAAAATGATCAGCAGCTAAACGAGTTGTAAGTCCAAATGAAATTGTTAAAAATTCAAATATAGCTGAACAGAGAAAATAGAAAGCACAAGAGTTTTTTCGTAATCGTCGAGATGTAAATGTTAAAAAATTACATGAACAACCGAAAATACCAATAATTAAAAGAATAATTGGTCCGTAATAGGTCATTTGAAATGTAATTAATTGAATCTTTGTTCTAAATGATAATGATATATTTATATTTGACATCGTGACATTTTTATTAAGTGTATTGTTCAATACACACATTTTGTAATTGTTGGATAGAATTTGTATGCAATCAAACATCTGCTATCGTTCTCAGGAGTCGGAGCTGTGTGTTCTTGTTTTTATCTTTCCCATTGATGTCGACGATTATTTTCTAATACTGTCAAATGGCAAGCTCTCAGCTATGGTATTTTTCTATGGTAATCTCAATTGAAGAAAAAATTATAGTTACTCTATTATTTGACATAAATAGTGAGGAAATTTGTTTCCTGAAGATAGAAAGATCGATACAAGAAGAAGAAAAAGTCAAATTTCTTTCTTTCCCATGCTTTTATAGGAGTAAACACTGTAAATGTCAGCAAGACATAATTACTAATATTCACGTCGGTCGGAGAACAGCAAAATCTCATCAAGTAGATTTTGTTGGTATTAAAGAGTTTAGGGAAAATAAATGCCATCTATTGCAGGTAACTGTTCATCAAGAAAGTTCTATTCGATGCGTCTAAATCTTTGTCAACTTTTTCTAGTCTCAACAATTTCTCATGTAACACATGTCGTTCGGTTAGTAGTCATTCAATACGTTTCGAAGTCAAAATAATTGATAACATATTTATTTATATAGTATCTTTGATTGAAGATGTTAAAAATTTCAAAGTTACTCATAACCGTAGACTTGGTTAATAAGAACTATTTACAATTTGACTTGACGACGAATTTATTTCCATGTAAATACTGATATTGATTTGAATAAATGATACATATAGACATGAATCGGCACGTTTTGTGCTTAATTCATAAATGTCTTAATCATTATTTTCAATATCAATATTATCTGAAAAGTAGTTTGTTGGTTGCTAGTAGTAATTCACGTATATTTCTACGTTTATATATTGCAAAGTATAATAATTGTTACCTCATTTGAAATCTTAACTAATTATAATTATCAAACGTATATTATTCATTTTCTCTAATTATGTTCTTGCATTTCTGTAGCTTATTTTTATTTGTTCACTATCGTTTTGGCCGATTTATGTCGAGGTAAAATTATATTTTACACTGACGCAATTAAACCGACATAAATTGACGGCGGACTTTCTTCGTATCTGAAAGATGTCGTTACCAAATACACTTCTGTTCCAATCATTACTATTTTTTGCATAATGAGTTAACTAAATGCACTATATTTTGTTGAGAACAAAAAGAATGTGAAGAAAATAAAATTATATTAAAATTTTCATAGTTTCTATGCCATCATTTTTACATTAAGAACTTCGAATCTGGTGAGTGCACTCATTGAATATATATATATCAATTAAATATTTAATAGTGTAAAAATATGGTTCGCTCCAGTGAACTGAATAAGTCCAAAAAAAATTCTAACTTCTGAGATCCCTAGAATGAAACAACAATTTGATAAAATCTCGTGATATTAACATTCATCTTAGATGATTGAAATCCAAATTTTCGAATTCAAATTAACTTTATCTATAAGAGTTCTATGTAGTAAATTTTGTGAGTAGATAATCATATAGGGTATATAAGCGCGGTGTGAAAATCATATTACATTGTTTTCTATTAATAGGAGCCGAGAGCTTAGTTCATTATTAACGATTCTTATAAATAAGATGATGCGGAAAAAGAAACGTACTTAATTAAGTACATTTTCAACAGTTCATTATGCTCAAATGATCTGGGTTTTGCATGTTCAAAATCTTGAGTCATAAGAACGTGATAATAAGATATTTCTTGAACTAATTATTGTTTCGGCGTAAAAAGTTTTTCGTCGTCATGTTTATCAAATTTAACTTTTATAGATAGTTTGACTTGTAAATATCGAGCACAAAATGATTTTCATTCGGCTCAAGACTTTACATGTTTCTTAAATAATGTTGATATTCCGATATAGAAAAAAAGAAAAATCTCTTTGAGTGCCTTGCCACTCTCCTTCTAAACGTTTCGATCATTTCTAACTAAAGAAACGAATGGACGTTCTTTTGCATCCTAGTTTTTCATATTATTTTTAAGTCTGAACTATTTTAAATATAAACATGAATTCTCGAGTGTTATGGATACTAATGATTTACGTGACGATATTGGTCGAAAATCATCTAACGTCATCTTTAGAAAGTGCTTCTTAGTGAAATAAATGACTACGTTCATTATCAAGGTTAAGAAATGAAATCGAGAGAAAACCGAGAACATATATTTTCACAGTATTCAAAACATCGCATAAGGAAGAAATATAGTGTTACTGTAGGTGAAGAATGAAAAGAGAGAAGAAGAAGAAAAAAGAAAAGAAAAGAAAAGAAAATGTAATGTCACCGACGTACCTTGGAAGTGCAATCGCGTGCATTTACTGTTACAAATAGAAAGACAAAAAGAGCACATCATATCGAAAAGTAACTTTGTTAATCAGCTACATGGAAAACGGCCCATTACATCCTTCCAACACTATCGCCAGGTGCATGACTATGGATTCACCTGCATTGTGTGTGGTATGCGGAGCAACTGCAATAGGTATAAATGAAATATTTTTATTTATTTTCTTCTCAAATTTTATTCAAGGATCTTTATTTTCTTTTTAGGACGCAATTTCGATGCATATACATGTTTATCTTGCAAAGGTAATTAATATCAAGCGTCATGCCTTTTTTTGAATAGTATAATTGAAGATATTTAAATTCTATTAATCAAAAAAATTTTGTTTCATTTTTTTCTTAAGCATTTTTTCGCCGAAATGCCTATAATGAACATGTAAGTCAATGTCACTTTTATTCTGTGCGATAATATTTTCTTGTTTAATTTTAGCTTCGTTATACATGTCGAGTTTTAAGTAAATGCGAAATAACAATTACAACAAGACGTCATTGCTCAGCTTGTCGTCTTAATAAATGTTTTCAACGTGGAATGAAAAAAGAACTTATTCGTAGTTTAACTGCTATTAATCGAGCTACATCAGGCATGATTATTAGTAGACAATTTTATGAACGGCAAAAACCAAAGTTAACAACTGTAAGTTTATTTCAATTAAAAGAAGTAAATATTTTCTAAAACATGGAAATCATTATTTGAAGATGGATTTATTATCAACACATGATCCATCAGCTCTGTCATTCGATGACTGGACTTTGATAACAAATATTCGAAATGTGTATGAAGATTATTGTATTGAATCATTTCTTGCTTCACATGAAACTATTCCTCTTATAATAACAACGCAACCCTATCGTTCACGTATTAAACTACAACGTTTAATTGATCTTAGAGGAAAATATCTTTATGCTCTTGCTTCATTTATTAAGCGCATTCTTCAATACGATCATAGATTTGTTGAAAATCCTTATGAATATATTAAAGATAATATTAGAACATTATTATCATTGAATACAAGTGAATTAATGCAATCAAATGTATTAGAATATTTTCCATGGGAACATGATCGATTTTTATTTGAATCAGTTTTTACTGAACATCTTATTCACCGGTTAGAAATACATATATGTACTTATCAAACATTATTACCATATGATCCAGTTATTCAAAAAATATTTCTTATCATTCTTGTGTTAACCTATGACATTTCACCATTAATAAAAAAAGTGCAATACAGTTCAAATGATTTCAATCCATATCCAAAAGATATTTTTCTATCTCAAAATTATTATTTAACACTTCTATGGAAATATGTGATATACAGATTAGGTTATTATCAATCTATTTTGTATTCAGTCAGATTTATTCAACATATTCTTCATAGACAATTAATTGAAGCCGATTTGACAGATGTAATACTTAATAGAGATGATCATGGTCATCTTGCCCGGTTGATGGAAACAAAAAGTGTATAAAATAAATTATACGTTGTTTTTTCATTTATATTAAACAAGATTTCTGAATAGATTTCTGTAAAAAGATACGAGTGAAAATGAAGCAAGAAAAATAAACAACATTAGTTGATCCGTATGAATCTCAAAAAATGCAGAAGTTTATTTGTGTGGATTTTAAAAGTTGATGGAATTCTCTAAAAAGTTTTAACGATAAAGATAAGTAAAGACAGCAATTTTTGTGTGCCCTCATCTAATTTACCTGAATCATAACACAGATCCACATTTTAATTCATAAATTTAATTATTAAGTTTTCAGCATGTTGATATTAGCAGGCATTTGGTAATGTTGCTACGATGAAAAATGATAGGACATATTGAGAGAAAAAAAAGAATTGTTTACATTTTTTCTCTGCTTATGAATATTTGATAATCATTTTTGAGTTCACAAACAGCGGAATTTTATCAATAGGTGCCTATTTTCCGAGAAATTCATATACGTTTTCATGCAGAAAGAAATCAAAGAATATTCAGTTCCCCAAGCAGACACTGTCTGAGTGAATATCCGCCATAAACATCATAACATACAAAAGTCACACCATAGTGTTCTGATTACACGCGCGACGTATTCTGAAATTTCAAATCGGGCACGAAGTCAGGTTTTTAGGATACGAAACGACAATCTCCAGCGGTTTTTACATTTTCTGGAATATTTGGAAAAAATAACCCTTTCTTTTCATTCTGAAGGCAACTCGCTACCCATGCAGCCGATAATGGATGAATACTGGAACAATGGCCCATAATTTTCCATTAGTTGAAAAAAAACAAGAATTAATGCATTATAATTAATTATTTTTGAACCTTTCAACGCATGACAATGCATTATTTGACATAATGGAGAATTATAAGATAATCCATTATCATTCAATGCATTATCAGGAATAATGTAGAAATTTATGATAATGCATTATTTAGAGTAATATTTTTAAATTAGAGAATTCATCATCTTCATAAAAGATATTGAAAAAGTGATTTGAAAAGTAGATGCTTGATTTACTCCAGCTTTCTGTGTATCAGACTTTTTCAATAAGAGTCGGACAGGTTAAAGAACTGATAAAAAACATATAAACTGTGTTACTGAGCTCAGAGTAATTTGGAATTCCTTTTTCCTGATATTGGGAAACTTAATCGTTATTTCTGAAATCACTAGGGTATTCTAGGAAACTTACACTATCAAAAGCTAAAGTGAAAATGCCATGATGTAAACCAGATAAATCTATCAGTTTCCAAAATATTTCTCCAGGCATGCAGAAGAATTTCCGAGTATAGAAAGTGTGGGCGTGGGTGAAAGAAGAGCCCAGGCACACTCACACTCACGCCCACACCCTATTTCTTTTTAGCAAATCAGTAACTTTCTTAAAATAGATTTTCCTGAATCTTCATCAACAACTAATGGGTAGTGAACGTTGGAAGCTACATTTTAGTTTTTTTTCAATTGGCAACAACAGAATCAATGGCTTGTGCGAATTATGTAATCACAATTACAAAGATAAGAATGGTATTTTTAGTAATTTATTGAAACATTTAAAAGATAAACATTCAGTTGAATATAAAGAATATATTTATCGAAGAAGATGAAGGTTTAACAGAAGAAGAAATCTTTGAAGGCAATGATGAACCAACAACAGAATTATCAACAACTAATCCATCAATACGATTATTCGATTCAATGAATTAGAAAGCAATCGTCAAGTGCGACAAATAATAAAAAATCTAAGATGAAAAACCAGATTTGTATAAAATTGAAATAATGGTTCTTTAATCGATATTCATTTGATTTTTAACTTCTTTTCATGGAATGTGGCACAAATACTCAATCCATAGAATTTATGTTTCAGTTGTCATTTTTAAACAATAGTTGAAAAAACTTTCAATTAATCATTTATTTACGATTTTAAAGCCGTTTTGAAATCATTAAAATACATTCAATAGATAGAAAACACTTAGAACCCAATGCAAAGAAGAAAAAATAGAAAATAGGATACTTAACAGGATTGCTTCAAGAATGTCAGCATTGCGCTGAGTACACTAGTACTAGTGCCGGTACTAAGTACAAGTACAAAGTACAATGTTGAAGTAAAAAGTACATATACTCGTACTGCAAAAAATGTACTTGTACTAACGATTTGACGTACTTAGTACGAAAAAGTGCCAAGTCTTGCACTAAGTATTCAATGTGTGGACAAAGATAAGTCATAGAAAAAAAAACCATCATCAAGAAAAAGCATATGTCAGAACTGACAGTTTGGTCACTTTTTCGACACTGTTGCTACTTTATATGTATCACTATCAGTATCTTCCTCGATACTGGTGTAAATCCCTCTGCACAAAATACATTTTGGTCGTTGATCATTTTGCCGCATCTCGTTGAGACAAGCCGTACACATCGTCTTATGCCGACATGGTAAACATCGAGCATAGCGTGGGTTCTCAAAGCACTTCAAACATGGCTTCGACATTGCGACTTGATCGGCGATGGTATTGAGTTGCTCCACAACTTCTTTTGCATTGGGTCGATTTTTTGGAACCTCATCAAGACAACGGAGCATAAGCGTTCGGTAGGTTTGCGGAATTAGAGTTTGGTCTAGAGCATCGATATGAGCTCGAGTAATCTGATTAGGTAAATCGTAAGATTTTTTAGGAGCTACAGTATACATCAATACACCGATTGAAAAAACATCGAGTGCTGAGCCTTCGTACGAAAATTGATGATCGCTGGAGGTTGTAACTTTTGGAACGAGTTCAGGTGCATATGGACGACTTAGAAAGATGGTTTCATTTTCCGTTCCATGTTGACAAGTGCCAAAGTCGGCTAAAAATACTTGATTTTCACCATCGAGAAGAATATTAGAAACTTTGATATCTCTATGGACGAGCTCATGAGCATGCATTTCCAACACAGCTCGACCAATGTCCGACGATATTTGAACGGCCTTATCCAAAGAGATCTCGTGCATGTGATTAATCAGATAGGTGTGTAAATTAGTTGGATAAAAGGGCAATAAAATAAATAGTTTGGATGGCTCGCTGGCTTCTTCGAACAGGTACCTGAGAGGAGCGATATGATTGATACCAAGACGAGTAACTGCTCTATGAAAATGAGCTTCCATGTAGACATGCTCCGGGTGCGCGGCAGGATCTCGTAATGATTTGACAACAAGACGTTCTTGAGTGCCCCAAGATGCCGGATGGACGAAGAAAAAGCCTCCAGTTCCGATTGTTTTTTCTTCAATCACTGGTGGAGCTCCTTGGTGCTCAGATAGATCAAGATTAGCTACTAATCGACATTCCATGCTAGCAAATTTTGATGCGAACTTTCGAGCTAATGCGTATGCCTGTTTACGATAACGAATTGTCTTAATGACAATTCGATGATAGGAATTTACTTTGTTCCTATATGTTATTTGTTCTTTATCAAGCCATTCGTTTAAATCCTTCTTCATGCAACCATCCATGTTCGATAAACTTTCTTCGACGCGTGATAAATAACGTTCAACGTATTTACGTTGGTCTGGAACATATGATTGACAACGACATTGCTTTTTTCGGTGATTGATGTATCTAGTTATTAAAATTAATGGTGCGCAGACGATGGTGGAAATAGCTGCAATTGGTAGCCAAAGTGCTGCCATCAACATGTGAAGCGCTTTTACAAGCACATTTTTGAACGTAACGTGGTAAGCGAAGGTGCCTATATTACCAGTGTGCATGATGATTGCTCGATAAGCTGCATTTCTTAGTTCGTTCTTGATACCATATGTCAACGACGATTGTTGATCAATTGACGTCTCAATTTTCTTGCTATTTTCTTTTACAACCTCATTCAGAATAGGTTTCAAAACGTGGTTTTCGACAAGCAAATTAACGAATTGTATATCTGCTTCTGGTTCATCATCAGGAATCGACAGTTTAGCCGTAGCGTAAGCAGCTCTGAATGGCGCCGTAGCCAACATAGCAGCTGCACTTTTGTTGTACCATGGCATTTTAACATTGTCAATTGCTCGTCGCTCAATATCTTTACGACATTCACGAAATTTTGAAGGTAGACGCTTCTTTGCCTCACTCAGGATATTATCAATATTTGCATGAGATTGCTGGAAAAGCTCTTCTCCCCACTGAAGTGCTTCATTTTTCAACTTATCCCATTCTTTTTCTGATCGTCGATTTGTAATAAGGACAAAATCAAAGAATGTATCAATAGCAGCTAAAATTATGCCAATAATTTGACGTGTACTCCGTAAATCGTGTTTGGCAGTGAATTTAATGATTCGAACGATCGTATTGCTCTTCATTTTTTGTGCCATTGGGTGTTCAGGGGAATGAGTAGTGAAAATGTCGAAGTAATCACATTTTTTAACGGAGTTCATGTTTTCGTTCAACAAATCACTGTTCATTTCATTCACTTCCAATAGAAGCTTGTACCGGTCTGATCGTATTTTTTCTAGGAGTTTACATAGACTTTTAGCATCAGCATCATCATTCTCACCAGGAATAGTATCCACTTCAGCATCATCATTCTCACCAGGAATAGTATCCACTTCAGCATCATCGTTCTCACCAGGAGTAATATCCTCATCAGCATCAGCATTGTCGTCAAGGATAGTATCCACATCAGCTTTAGTATTCAAGAAAAAGATACCTGTGGCTTGAAAATGAAGCCCCAGAGTATTTTTCAGCTGATCAAAGCAACTACGAGAATCACCAGATACTGTTGCATTTTCATAAAGAAACAGAAGCGATGGTCGCATGGCGGCAACGAGAGTTAACAAATTTTGACATAATATCGGATTATCACTTGCCAAAAATCCAGGAGTATCGTAGACGTCTATGCCAAGTTCCAGCACAGAGGACGGAATACAAATTTCAACGAAAATTGAAGCCCATTCATCGAAATCGGACGGGTTTGTTTCCTTTTCTGGCCTTTTCAAGTACTTTCCAACAGTCTTCTTGAGTCCTTGTACATCGACTTTTCCAGATCGCTCATAATCCGCGAAGTATACTGATAAATCAGTTCTAGAGTTTTCTTGCTCGACCAGTGTTAGAAATGAATCCACCTCTCTTATGTACGTTTCATTCACAGGCTTATACGAAAATTTGACAATTCTTGCTGTTGTGGCTCCAATATTGGTAGGTAGAAATTTGCCGCATCCTAGGAAATCGTGAAGAAACGAAGTTTTACCTGATGAGTTGTATCCACAAACAGCTAACTGAACATTTTGTAATGGTTCGAATTGTTCAAGAAGCTTCATCTTTTCCTCATCGAGGAAAATATCTGCCACATCTTTTACTGTTTCAAGAAGTTTATAAGTAGTGCTAATGGCCGCTATAAACTCTTCGTAGAGCGCTTGAAATTGTTTAACCGTTGCAGATGTCGATTTTTTTATAGCGTTGTTCGATTCAATAATTTTCTTGATTAGTTGAAAATGTTTTCCACTCACATGTGTCATAATTCCTAAATCAAAACAATAGCTGAATTTCGATGCTTTCAGAATTCTACATGAAACCGAGTTATTCAAATGATTTGTCGATTACGAGTATTCCTTAAGTTGAAATCTGACTCCAAAGATTCAAAAACAAAATTTTGGATCTAAAATTACAAGTTAACAGAAACTAATTAGATTAGTAACTGGAGAGTAGGAATAGAAATTGAATTAGCTACAAAATTTCTCAACTCGTCCAACAGTTCGCAAAATCACGAAGAGTATAAATTACGTAGGATACGGAGCAGGTACACCACGCGCCTACAGCTTGATCTTTGCCCTAGCTCAGCAGATTTGCTAAGCTATGGCATACAGTCGTATTTCAAAATACGATTATTTTTTTCAACCTTACCTATTAATTGTTATATACTTATTTTAATAACATAAACTGACAAAAATGATTCTATTTCTTTCTTATCATTTATGATAAATGCGTTAGAAACTGACTGTAATATCATCCTCACAAGCTCCCTTGCATGAGTCCGGTATAGTTATTATCTTTCCAAAGTAAAATTTCAAGCAAGTTGAAGATAAAATCGACCGGTGTGAGTGTGAAAGTAAGCGAGAGTGTGAGGATCTGAGGTGGATGGGCGTGAATCATAGGTGGAACCGTTCTACTAGCAAAATATCGGTCTACTGACAATGGGTCAGTTGTCAAATGAAATACTGCCTGAAAGGTACTATATCGTCTCACCATTAACAACTTTGAATTAGTGTTTGTGATAAAAGCAGGAAAATAGAAAAGTGCGACCAGTAATAGGCTGATTTCAGACCGATATACCGGCCGGTTCCCGGTACCGGCTCCATCTATGATGTGGATGTATGGGTATGTGAAGATGGGCAAAGGTGTGGACGTATGCGTGGGTGAGTGAGTTGGTGTAACCGAATACAAGATTGAAGAACAACCACAACCATGCCCCACACCCACACCCATCTTTATGTATTTGTTATTTGGTTCCTGTTTGTACCCTAAAATCTCACTTTCATCTTGCCGTGTAAATCAACATAAATCACTTTTTACTGTAGTTTTTGCCGATGGTGAGTTAACTCAAATTTATCTATGTGTTACGCGATTGTACAAGTAAAATATATGTTTTTCTTTTTTTTCTGCCACAGGAACGAGTTATCCACGGCAAAAAAGCATGAGGACCTGTCACACACTTCATTTATTAAACAATGCATTATTATATATATACCGTGATAATATATTCTTGTTTTTGAAAAATATATAAAAAACAACTTTCCATGAATATACTATGAGAGGAAAGAACTGAAAAGGTGCAGAAAGAAATAGAGTAGTATGTAGTCGTAAGCATATGCGGATCGAAAAGTGATCATGGTTCGTTCGTTGGCAGGCTTGGTGTTTATCTTCACTTTTTGTTGTTATCAATACCAACTGCGGTATGATGAGATACTTCTAAAGCAGTCAATTTGATTCTTACAAACATGTTCATGAGACTAATTATAAAATAAACAAACCTGCAGGTTGATCGGGCTCCTCAACATGAATGATTTCCCATTTTTTATGTTCGTGTGAAGCATCCAAGTGTTGAAGGCTGTGTTGTAGTTTATAATCAACAGTATCCTGCAATGACCAACCGTCTCGACTAAAATCATCGGTTGCCAATTTTCGAACCACCCATGCATCGAAACACAATGATGGATCCGACAGATATGCGTATGGCATATAGCAGTAGCCTTGATCGCCCTAAAAAATATTGACGAATTTGTAAAAGAGTAATCGATACCATATACATTGATTTCACTTACCCACTGTGTACCCCATGAATTTCGAACGAGAAATACTTGCGATAGATCACTGTAGCCAACAGCCAACATAGCATGGCGGCTGAAATATTTGAAGTTATAATCTGACTCAACTGAGTGTAGGAAAAAAGAATCTCGGTCTAGGGCCATCATTCATTCAACTCCTTTTTTCTCTCGCTTCGGTATTTAAAAAAGTGGTCAATAAATTCTTCTGACTGAATTTAACTATACCCGTGCTGTTTCATCTGTCTGCTTGGATCCCACCGTTGCGACGGATCTAATTCTGCAGCTGATGGCATAGGAACTACACCTGATCGAGTTGCCTGACCGAATGAATCGAATAGTTCCACTCCAAAAGTGAATGGGTAACCTTGTGCTAGGCACGATTTCATATCATTGAGATTGACGCTCAATCGAAGCCAATCAACGATCTTGTGATCTTTTGCTGATTGATAGGCTTGCATGTTCGGTGCCATATTTACAAGTCGCATTTCAAAAGGCCAAAGCGATTCCAGACAAACTCCATAATTACACAAAGATGCAATGGCTTGATCCAGCATACATCCACTATCTGTAATTGGGACATATGGACTACCCATATATCGAGCATTGTAATATAGAAACAGTCGAGATACATCGATTTGTGTGCCAGTCGCTTTGCTAAGCAAATATTCGTACGCTCCTAGAAAAAATCACACGAAATTAAGTGAATGTTCTTTGTATGAAGAAACATAATTGATTTACCGGCAAAAGCGTTGGCCACACTAAATAAGATGGGAACATTTTAAAAATCACTTAATAAGTAAAAATAAAAGCTTTATTTCATACCAACTATTTGTCTGCCATTGATTTTCAATGGCTGTCAAATCTGGACGGAAATCAACTTTCGGCGGAAGTTGTTCTGCACTTAGGATAATATGATCTCGAAATAATGCACTGGAAACTGTTACAGTGCTCGGAGTGTCGGATCGGATAACACCGTTTAATGGATATCGAGTATTATTGATATGATCAACAAAGTACGTTTTTGTAGGCATTGTTGTTGCTTGAATGACAGTAAAATATCAAACTGAATGTAGTTGATTCTTAACAATTTATGTAAATGATGAATAGATAATGTGAACTGTGTTGTTGATTGCCCTTTAAATAGCTGTTAGTTTTCATTATCTGTTTTCAATACTTCATCACATGGGTAGCTTTTATCTTTTATCTGCCTCATACATGTGATATTATTATCTTTCGAATTACTGGCCGTTTCATCTATAGTCGAACACTTGTGATACTCAGGAAAATAATGAAATGAACTATCAATGGTATGTGGACACATGATAAGCAATGGAGGATTGAAAGGGAGGGGGCTATAGAAAGTCACCTGATGCGGTTGATGACAAAAGAATAGAAGATGCGAAGAATAAAATGAAAAATGAGATTCTACTCTTGTGATAAAATACTGATGACGAATAGCACGAAATTATGTCACATGTTTCATCAAATGACCTGTTTTTCTACAGAATCATTTTTTTATTATGAGTCTCATGATGAGCGACTTATTTCTATTGTCATTAATGATGCTAAACAAAATAACTATTGACGAATAGATTTGATTCTGCTCGATGTGCCTATTATATACTTACGAAGGCCTATCGATAGTATCATGCAGCAAATAGAACATATGTGCCTGTATCATTGTCCAAATGATATACGTAGAAATACCTGAGAAGAGCTTCTGAATATGAAAATATCGAAACAAATGCCGATTCAACGAATTTTATTTTTTTTTTGATAACTTTTACTATTAGGATTGCTGATCTGATATATCAAAATACGCACGATTAGTTCACTGATGATATCTCTTCCATATTTGGTAAAAGTTCGTAATTCAGAGCTGACATTTACCTATTTTCATAGAATAAAATAAGCATGTTGTAAATTTAAGCATAGCGAAAGATTGAACCCTATTTTCCGATTATTTATTTCTCTCTTTTTAAATATTTTTGAACAGTTTGGCATACTGCATATTTGATTTGGAATATATGTTTTAGGTGTTTAGTTTCTACAATAGTTTCCTGAACCCTTTCATAACCTTGGGTTCCATTTTCCCAAGCTGACTAGCTATTGTCATGAAAAAGATCGCATATCAGCATATATCCAGTGGCTATCAACAAGACTTCATATTGAACATCTAATTGGCGAAAGAATAATTAAAAGCACCACTAATTTCGATTACTAGTAAAATTCATTTGAGCACGATTTGAAAGTATGCTGAGGAAATTGAGTCAAAATAAGCAAGTATTTTTACCAGCTCCGTAGTAATTTGTAGAGAGAAGTTCTCGATATAGATGGTGGCATAAAGTATTCATTTTAATAAGTGCGATAGAAGTGAAATAGTCTATCATTTTTCTAGGATTTATCAGAATCTCAATTGATTAGGAGTGACAAATTACTCGAATACAGATAGCTACTTAGCCAATAAAATGGTAATACGATAACAATAGATTCCGAATTCGATTCTTTCATCAATGAACGTCTACTTTGCGCAAGTAAACCTATTTTATACAGTTCAATCAAAGATCTCTCAGGTAAATGTAGCTAAACCAATAAAATGTAAATCATTAGCTGAGATACAGAATCAGCGGCGTAATCAGAGGGGTGGCAAATGGGCAATTGCCCATTTCATTTTGAGACTTGCCCATTGTAATTTTTATGAGTAAATTTTTGCCCATGGAAATTTTACTTTTTCAGAATTGTGCATAGGTTCACGAAAAAATAATTTTATCCCGTTGTGCTTTTATGCTTTCAAATTTTACTTATATCCGATAATATTTAGTATACATAGACCATTCCAATACCTTTATTTCCGTTAACTCCATTAGTCCTTTTAGCCAATTCAGCCGTTTCATTAAAGGAACTAAAGTGATAACTTGGGAGACCTAAAAGTAAAACAGGATCAATTTTATTTTTCGTGGAATCCTCATCCTAAGCCGTCAACAAACGAAATTGAGTAATACTAAATCTCAAGGGTTAGGATTTATTGTGCGCCTACATAATCAACAAGACAAAAGAGAAAATAGAAAAAAATAAGTAGTATACTTATCGAAATATACAAAGTGAGAAGTAAGAGAAAAGATTAGCACGGAGAAGGATTGAAGCGTTCAGTTTTTAATTAAATTCATTTCTGCTTCGCAACCGAAAGCGAGATGTTTTAGATACTAGTTTGGATTTATATTTCATCCAAATCCACGTTGAAATGTGTCAAATTCGAACTACCCAGATCGAACGTGTCGGTCAACGGATACTCCAGAAGGAAAATACGCCGCTGGCTAATTTATTTGTCTATAAAACATGTCGACAAACGAACTTTCGGCAAAAAGAGGTCGACGAAATAAATTTGACAAATTTTCTTGTCGACAATGTATCGGTAGACTAAATGCATGTTGTCGAACTCTCATGTCGAAGAATGATAAGCAATTTATTGCAAGGTCCTCATTTCATATCTGTGTTTTTTACATTAAGAGTACTTTTTTAAACCAAAAAATATTTGGTCCATCAATAAGAATCTTGCCTATTTTACCCATCGGTTTTTCTGACACAAGAGAGGTTTGCCCATTGGCCTAAAACTCCTGCTTACACCGCTGTATAGAATCGTCCATCAGAAAATGTTTGATTCAGCTTTATATAGTTTCTTTATTTGGTAGTTCATATAATAGAAAATGGTATCAGGTTACATCTATGAATACTCTTTATTTAGTTGAAAATTTCTATTAGTTTTCGTGAGAAGCAAGAATATTATTATTCGTTATAGAGAGCGACACTATCTAATTCATATAAAAGAAGCGCATATAGTTGGTTAATTCCAAGAATTACTCATTCGCATCATAGACATATAAAGTACGCTAATTTCGTACTTATAAGCAGTTTGTTGTAAAAAATACAAAACAATATTAGTAAATAAAATAGAGTCTTCAAATTTTTATGTGACTCAGGATGCATGTATGTATTTTGTTTCTCTTTTAGAAAATGTCTCATCTTCATCCACTAGATGTATTTCGAAAAACAATCTATGCCGAAGCAAGAGGAGAACCTATTGATGGACAAATATGGGTTGCTTGGGTGATCAAGAATCGAGTTCGTCTAAACAAAGATTATTGGGGTGGAAATTCAATCAAAGATGTTTGTTTAAAACCAGGTCAATTTGAATGCTGGAATGATAGATCTGACATTCAGATTGATGAACCAGCAGTATATGCACAAGTTTGTGAAGTAGTTGACCCCATTTATAATGCAAATCCTGGGCAAGATCCAACTGGTGGATGCGATCATTACAATTGTCCACGTAAAGAAGGTTACCCACCGTGGACCGAAAATTGTCAAAAAGTACGCAAAATTGGAGAACATCAATTTTACAGAGGTCCTCAATAATAGTCTTCATCCAATGCAATGCATTGAACTGTTCCTTTTTGGAAACTATTATATATTCAAATAAATGAGAAAACATGGATTCGCATCCGATTGTTACGTGTACTGCAAAAACTGAGTCGATTTATATATGTTCTGAATAATACTGAGAAAAAGGTTTTTTTAAAAAAATCCCTGTACCCTCCCTCAGGGATGGTCTAGTCAATAATGACAATTTTTTCGATAACTCAGCCATTTCTTCACAGATTGCTTTCATCTTCGAACTCGACTGAGATATTGATGAGATCATTCTGTGTACAAAATTTCATGGCAATTGGATGAGACTTTCAAAAGTTATCGTGTTAACGGCCAGCCGGACGGACACACTGACCGAATCTAGAGTTTACTCATTTGTTTTTGGAGTACACAAAAAACATGTTTTCTCTTCTTTCAAATAAACTTGAATTATAAATCTAAAATAAAAATTTTCACAATATACACTTTATAATAATTTACAATTAAGAAAAATCTTCTCTCTTATATGTTGAATTGTACCCTTTCCTGAAAGATAAGGCTGTTTGATGGTAACAAAATGCTGAGAGTTTGTCTCTCTGCCTATGCAAGTCAATCAGAATTCAGGATTAAAATGTGCTGTGTTTCGAATGATACTAATTGAGAACAAAGCTTCACCGAAGTTAAACTGAGGTGGGAAATCGGGGAATGGCGATCAACTTTTTACCGCTAAATAATAATTAATAAACAATAGATAGGTTTTTCTTTATAAATACACTCACCGACAGTAACCGATCGTGAATAATGTAGATTCCAGATATACGAATTCGAGTTTTCTCGCCCTAGATCTTAAAGTCTAGTTCAACATCTTTAGTTAGTAACATTTACCAAAGATTATTTTACTAATCCTAGAAATTAGATTACGCTAAACTGTTCGAGAAAATACGATGTACATCGAAGGATATTCATAATGCCAGTGGTTTTGAACATCTCTAAAAAGATGAGTCAATATCCATTTTAATTCGTTGTATCTTTAGATAAAATTTGTCTTCAAATTCAGATTCAGCTTTAAATTTAAGATCTCACGAAGTATTTCAGTCTAGATATTAATAGATCTGTACCCAAGATCTTATGAGAGATCTTGGTGCAATATAATATGACTATTTTATACCTAAATTTTCAAGTTCTGTTCACGTTTCTGTACCCTGTATCTGATCAAGATCTTGCTTACAAAATGTTGGACTAGGACTTTATACTGAGATTTAATTCATTGTGACAGAAATATAAATGTATAGAGCGTTTATTTCAAAATTAATGGAAGTTTTCAGATTTATAGGATTATGTTCAACTAGAATAGCACAAAACGTGGTGCTAAAAATAAAAAACAAATAGTGTAAAGGAAAATACATGCCAAGATGAACCTAAAGAAAGAGCAAAATAAACAGCATATAATATCGTAAGCTGTAATTAAAGTTATTACATAATTGTAATCATTAAAATTCAATTAAAACCATCAATTGGATATGATTTAACTGTTGATATTTAAAATAATAATCACATATTAACATAATATGAACAGTCTCTAAATTTATATTTTCCATTATGCATTAATTCTCAAGATCTTCATAAGATCTTACTTACCAATGCGAAGAATTTTAGATCTTGCTGACAAATTGTTCGACTATGGGTATAGGGTAAGTTTTTTCGGCTAATCCAGTGTTGATCTATGGTAGACTGCTCTATGTTATTAGATAAATGTTACTATGTTATGCTTCTAGATCTTTTATGATTCAGATTTTATAAAGCAAAGCTCACTCAAAAAATGCGAAAATTAACTAATTTTATATATTAATATTATGTGATTGGTTTTTTTGATCGATATGTATTTTTCTAAACAGTTAAACGTCAGAAATGTTAAAACTCTCTTGTTCATAGATCTATAGATAATTATAAATGTTTAATTCAATATATGAAAGTTTCTTAGATACGAAATCATCGATTTTCATTCACGATTAACGAGTAGCCGTCTAATTGAAGTTCGAATGTAAATGGAGAATAGAAAAAGTTAAACCAAAACTAAATCTATTCCTAAATTTAGTTTTAGCTTAACTTTTCGATATATGCGACATATGAATACATATATACTCCTACAACAACACCCCAAGGCTCACAACCCAGGCACCCCTTCTGACTACCTTCACCAGTACCCTCATTTGAACACTCCTCCATGATATCCATCATCCACAACCACATTTGAAGTACCCCAGGTACCCCAGGTACCCCTCCTACCGACCTCCTCACTCGCACCGCCACACACAGTTACCCTCTAGTCCCCCTCAACCGACACGCACTCCATCTTAAACTAAATCCACAACTAAATCTATTTCTATCACTTATTTTCGAATTGGCACCATGCAATTGGGTGTCCATTTATATTCGAATTCGAACTAGACATCTCACACGATTAACATAAAATGCCTTAAGATAAGAATCTATTTTTAGTGATAACTTCAATTGCAATAGCTACTACATTTTCTCTAACAATTGAAAATAACGGTACACAAGAACAATAATTGTCAGTTCTAACGAAAATATTAGTTTTTAATAATAAATAAAGATTTCACAATCAGATATTGATTACGGATATGACTTACAAGATGTTTCAATAGAGAACTCCCACAGTTTATTTTTATTTTCATTAGAAAATCTCTCAGATAGGATATATTTTAGTTAATCAATGCAATAATATAATCTTCTTTTTGTAAGAAAACGAATAGCAGATATTTATGAGTCCATCTTATAACTAATAAAATATAATGCAGGTTCGGCGTTCTGAATGCAAATCAGATACTCAGGCCGACTAATCCGACGACGAATTCTATCGAATCCTATAACATCCTACTAACCGAAGAAATTTAATTGGATTCTGGGTTTCGGAATTATTGACGGATCCGACGGGAGAATTTTAAAAAATTATCAAAATTCTATTTATTGCAAAAGCTTTTTGGAGGCTGACTATAGCAGACTTTTTTTGGCGTATCGGATCCCGCAGTAGGATACAATCGGATATGTATCGGATTCCGATCCTATGGATCCGAAAATCGGTCCGAAGCCCGAAGTCCGTCGATTCTGGTTGGTTTTCATACAAGATCCGATTGGATCCAGTTGTAGGAATGAACGATCTGAGTACCGACAATAGCATTTAACTCATTGTAATAGTATTGTAAACCGTAGGATTTTTTCATCGCCAATACTATTCTGGTCGAGACTCGCATGAGGCATATCTATCTCGGAATTGCTAGAGAAATTACGTAAAATTTGTATAGTCTACTATATTGATGAGCATAGAGGTTCATAGGAAGAAAATTCGTACCACTTTTTATAGTTTGCTACAGAAATCTTGTTCTCGTCATTATGTATCATGCAGAAAAAAAGCGCAAAATACCATCATTCAATGCACTTTTAGAATATGTTGGTGCTATTCTTTGTAATTTCTTAGCTTTATCGTATCTGATTTAAAGTAATGACTTTTCCGCTTTTTGCCTTGAAATATCATTATAACTCAGGTGTTTCGATTGTATCATTTTATCCGTAGTTAGCATTACTCGATAGAGTCAAATGTTACACGACTAAGAGTTCCATGTAAGATTTATTATACTAATTACATGGTCTGTCGATCAAGAAACTCTCTAGCAACTGTAACTGAATTATTCGTTTTATAATACACCTACCTTGTTATATATTTTTGTTTTATTTGACCTTAAATAAAAATCAAACAAAACTAAATATGTTGAAATTAAATTTTCTATGCGTGGATGATATGGTAGATATGGTTCAGTAGTTGTATTTTAAAAATTCTGTTATATGAGAAAAAAGACATCCCGACAATGATACTGTTGGGATACAGACAATTTCTTCTTTTCTCTGCCCATTTATAACAATTTTGACTTTTTTCTGATAATGCATGCCGTAGAATTCAGGTTTTATGAGCACGAAGCAAAAGTACACCAGCAAATCTATCATCGACGCATACTTCTTTTTCTGCACGTTTGATTCATTGCTTTTTATCAATGTGAAACATTATTCAGATTTATTATACGCATTTTTGTTTTCGTTTGACAGTATCAACTTCATAATAGTTTTGTCACTCATCATTAATAGTGTAATTCAATATTGTTCTCTTACAGTTGATTTGCATATAACGGTGTTGATTCATGCAATTAGAAACATCATTCTCACTAGATTTTTATCATCATGCACAATCATCAAATAATGAATTAATAGTTTTCTTTAAATATTTGATGTATTCTTATTTTATGAATCTATCTGATGAAACTATTTTACAGAAACTCGTTAGTTTCCAACGATGCAAGTCGTATGAGTTTAGTTTTCGTATTTTGAATAAATTTCTCGAGAAATAGTTGGAAAGATTAATCATTTTTTTATGAGTTTATTATTGCCTAGTGTTTTATATGGCACAAATTTGAAAAGAAAATAGACAATATATTTTTCTCATAGCACAACACCAATCGCTAATGCAGCGGAAGTGATCTTTTAGTGCACTTTTGCTGTCATTTTGGTGAAAAATAAATATGAAGCCATGCATTATATGATTCATCTTGTTCCTGCCAAAGCATACGAAAGTAATCACGAAAAACAAACCTATAAACGAAGAAACACTTTCACTTTTGATATCAAAATGAGGTTTCTCGCCATATTCTTCTTCGTCGTTTGTATTTTCCAACAAGGAAATGGAGCATTGTATCAATGCAATGCAAGTGCTGCATGCGGATGCTCAAACCCGTCTACTCTTTTAACACGTATTGTAGGTGGTGAAAATGCTGTGACGAATTCTTGGTCATGGACGATTTCTCTTCGTTACGGTGGATCACACTTTTGCGGAGGATCGATTCTTTCATCATCTTTCATTATTACTGCTGCTCATTGTATTGATGGTATCACGAATTTAGTAGGATATAGCATTTTGGCAGGATCTATATATTTAAATTCTTTGTTGAGTGCTTCATCTCAAATTCGTTCTATAGCTGCAATTTATGAGCATCCTTATTATGATGATAGAAGTATGACTAATGATGTGGCTCTCCTTCTTTTATCTACTCCACTTAATATGACAAATCGAAATTTGAAACCAATCTGTTTACCATCTGGTACTGTGGCTCAACCACCGGACAATATTGATATGGTTGCTGTTGGATGGGGTACAACATCATCAGGATCAAATACAGTATCTCAGGATCTTCTTCAAGTCACTTTACAATCCATACCAAGTGCATCCAGCAGTTGCCAACCGTATATTTACGACAGCCAAAAACAATTTTGCGCAGGAGTACCAGCTGGTGGTAAAGGTAATAATAAATCATAAAAAATGAACAATTCATGTGATTTTTTGTGTATATCTTTCTGTAGATACGTGTCAGGGTGATAGTGGTGGACCACTAATGGCATTCGTTAATAATTTGTGGCAACTTGATGGTCTTACATCCTATGGGCATGGATGTGCATATCCTAACGTTGCAGGAGTCTACACTCGCGTTAGTAACTATATAAATTGGATTCAAACTACTATGTCAACCAATGCGATTACAGTAACCACGACTACCACTACTGCCAGACCAACGCCGATAATAACGACCACAAAAAGAACAACAACAACGACCGCAAAAAGAACAACAACAACGACCGCAAAAAGAACAACAACAACCGCCACAAAACGAACAACAACAATAACCACCACAAGAAGGCCAACGACAACCGCTAATGCCCACAGAAATAGCCTACCAAATAGAGTTGTTGAATTCCTTCTCCAAATTCTATTTCATGGTAAACGTTGAACAATTAAATCGCTATTTCTAATATATTTTCTCTCAATCATAATTAGTGTATACTCATGTCTTTTTTATTTCTTTTACAAGCAATTTTATTTCTACACTATCCATAAAGGAATAAAACATAATCATCTGGCATAAAGATAATATTCCATGTTAGTAAAAGAAAAATATATGCTATCTATTATTTTTATTTCTGCACTTTCACATTGTATATTATTTTCTGAATAAAATTTGCGAGACATGACTTACAGCTCAGCTGATCAAAGTAAAAATGATATAATTTCTATGAAGGAAAACAGTATCAACAAAGGAGACGGTAAGCATCTATATTCACATGGGTTATATTCTGCATGCCCTCATCGATAAATTTCGATGAATAATTAATGATTACCTCTTTCTTTCATGTGAGTCTAGTTTTAGTATTAAGAGAAAGAAACACGTCAATTAATCATACTGGTGTTGAGAAAAAAGAAACGAAAGACTGGAATTATTACAAAAACTATCAATATACATTGTATACTTCTGTGATGAAACGAATCATTTCTACCATGCCGATATGAAGGAACCACAATAAAAATATTTAGGATTACTATAAACATTATACCGGAGTTTTCTATGTCTTGTTACATATCAATAATAACTCGATTATATTTGAACTTTTATTGCCTATGAAAGAATCTTTTTTAAATGAACAAAAAATATGGCCACATGAGGTATGTTCAGATTTCCGAAGTTTCAAACACTGAAAATTACGGAAGTTGGCAATTTAAGACATTATCAATGTTTTTTATAATAAGAGTTTCGGAAATATCAGGTCCAAAATTTCCAAATTTTCCCTAATTTTCTTTTCCGGAAATCTAAACACTGTTGAGTTACATGGCGAGAAAATGCATCCGTCAGGATACTTCTAGAATGTGTTGGTGCTATCCTTTGTAATTTCTTAGCTATGTCATATCTGCCTTAAAGTAATGACTTTTCGGCTTTTTCCCTTGAAATATCATTATAACTCAGGCGATTCTCTCGTCTTTAATATTTCGATTGCATGATTTTACCCGCAGCTAGTATCAATTGATAGAAGTCAGATAGTCTTCACAAACTTTATATGGTAATAAAATGGTTTGCAGATAAAACCGTTCGTTTTTCAATAGAAATATTTCATTATATGTTTTGTTTTTCTACAAAATATTAGACAAATTTGAATCCGTACTCATCAACACATATTTCATCTCATGGAAAAAGTACTGCTATGATAAACACTACCTTAAACGTTTTTTAATAGATGGATCTCGGTAAATATTTGGTGCTATCTGACTCGAAATCGTGTATTCACATTTATCCTGTGCGTGATTAGATTGCTTCTTTGCTCTAGTAATTATTTTCTATTAAAGGAAATGGGACTGAAAATCATACAGAGTTAAAAATACGATAGAGTAACAGTGTACAATCGAACGTAAATGTTTTTCCAATAAATTCATGATAATGATAAAAAATGTGGATATTACAAAAATTAGAAATTATATATTGTACGAAGACGAAAATAAATATTTTTATTATAAATCGGCATTGTCTTTGAGAATTTTTATTGATTAAAAATATTATTTAAAGTTTATGTCACTTCACATCAAGAACTATTTATGATTGGAGAACAAGTATGATGAAGTGTGTTTTTTGCCGTTCTGAAACCTTCTTCTTCTGTTCGTTTCGCATGAACGAAATTGAAATTACCTGGTTTGCAAGCAATTTTTTCTCAAAGACGTATCGCAAATGATTAAACGAATGTGCGTCTTTTTCTGTACTCCATTCGAAAGAAAAGGATACGCGAAACAGTCGTAACAGTCGTAACATTGAAATCAATCGAGTAAATGCGCAAAGAAAATATTTTATTGTATATATCAAATATTTTTCTATTATTATTCATATACAATGGCATCATATATCCATTATTGTCTGATTCCATGTTTCTATTACGAATTCCTGGAAAATTTATAATAGTCAACTCAGTGTTTATGTTATTCTTCAGCGTGTTTCATTCAATATATCTTATAGGGTTTTTGAATACGTGGCTATTCTGTCTAATAACGATTTTTGTATCTTGGTCTTATGAACAATTCGGTGTTCAAACAGGTCTAATCTACGGTAGCTATCATTATACAAAATATTTGGGTATTAAAGTTGGTGATGTACCAATATTGATTCCAATAGCCTGGTACATGATGATTTATCCCAGTTACATCATCAGCAATCTTATTCTTGTTGGGCGACCTATCGTATCGAATCGAGGGAAACATCTGTCTCTGTCTTTAGTGGGATCATTAGTTATGACAGCATGGGATCTTGTTCTTGATCCTTATCTGTCAGGTCCGACCGTGAGAGCTTGGGTTTGGCACGCTGGTGGCATTTATTTTGGAATTCCTCTTCAGAACTTCTTCGGTTGGATCTTAACGACTTTGACAATTCATATGATGTATCGATTTTATGAGAGCCCTATCATTATGGGATCGAAATACCGAGCTCGTAAAAGTTACCCGCTGATATTGCCTGTATTAGGATATAGTGCAATGTGTATTGTACATTTGATTCCTGGTGAACCAAAAGAACTTCGTATGATTGGTCCCGTAATAATGGGAATACCAGTGATTCTTGCTTTGAGACGTTTTATGCGAAATCCCTGAAATAGAATATCGTTCAAAATAGCATTATTAACTGAACTCATCCATTTTCATTTCTTTTTGATTCGATCATTGATAACTGGAAACTATTTTGTATTACATAAATATTCATAGATTGAAAATAGTGTTCATTTCTCTAATACGTATAACAATTGATCTTATCTACATTCAGTCAACTTATTTAATGATATTGAATAAGATAAATTTAGAAATAAGTAAACGAAAAACAAGAAAATTCACAAAAATGCTCATAGTTGAAGACTTGATTTTATCGTGTCACTACCGCCCAGAAAAGAAAATCACAATTTTCACCACTTCTTCGATAACTAAAGACATCTACTGATATATTTCTGCATCGTGTACAGCAAAAAGGTTGTTAAGTCTGAATCACAACCGTAACTTTATCTCATTAGCAAACAAACGTATTGAGTAGAGCATGCAATTGACAGTAGCGACCCGATTATAACAGATTGGTTTTATGACGTAAACCAATCGAAAAAATGACTCATCATTAAACTAATATTATTCATTGATTTATTCATTTCTACTTCTATCATTTTACGAGAATGCTCAAGAGTAGTAAAGCAAGCAAGCCAGCAAGAAAACCCGGCGGTGGAGCCGCTCTCATGCAACAGGTTTTTCTTTCTTATTTATGTTTGTCTTAATCTTAGTTTTGATAATACAGATGGGTTTTCAAGTACCGAATTTCGATGAATCAGGTATGGGCGGTGGTGATGACGATGATGATGATGATCTTGAAGCTGAATTACAAAAATTACAACAAGGTGACATGGTCAATCCGAAATCAAGAGGATCAAAGTCAAATCAACGACAATTAGGTTTGTTTTTCGAATCAAAAATATTATTTTCTAGTTGAGTAATCCAGGATAAATATATATATATATATATATAGGTGGAATGGCACAAGACCTTCAATCATTTCATAATGATGTAAATAAACTTCTCCGTGATATCGATCGACCTATAAACGATGATGAATTATCTGACGTTGACGATGAAGATTTGCTTGTAAGTTGCTATTAGTTCTTTTGATTTCTCCGTCTAAAAATTTAATTTAACAGGCTGAATTAAATGAAATTACAGATGATATTCAGAACGAAAGACATGATAATCAAAAATCTCAATCACAAACACCATCTAGTGGTAATATGGTGTCTTTACTCGTAGGACGTCAAGAAATGTATGTCAAAGCTGTAGCAGGGGCAAAATCAGCTGGCGATGCTGCAAAAGCGAGACGTCTAGATCGACAACTTAAAGTAAATAGTTCCTGATTGCATTGACCTATCTTAATTTATATATTTAGACTATTCAAGAATTACTTCAATCAGCTCGAACTGGTGCACCGATTAATGAAAAAGATATCCCGCCTGAAGTTTTCATTAGCACGCAAACGACATCCGTACCGCAGCAAATGCCCGTACGAGCTCCGTCTCCTCCTCCACAACTACCTGCATCACGTCTACGTGCTGTACCTGTTGCACAACCGACACCAGCACCTCCAGTATCGGCTCGAGCCACTGATAAATCAGCCGCTTTTAAACGTAGATTATTTCTAATTCATGATTTCATGATACAATTTTTAAAATGTTTCTTTAGCACAACCACAATCTAATTTTACTGATACAGATCCAGCAGTTGCACGACTCAAATCGTTAGCTTTGCAAGCAAAACAACAAGGGGATATGGCTAAAGCAAAAGAATATATTGTTCAACTAAGGGTATAATGACTATCGAATCAATTTTCTCATTATTTATACTTAAAATATTAGGCATTACAAAGTAAAGCAGCACCTACTGCTTCTTCTTCTACTACTACTACTACTGCACAGAAAGAAACGTATGATAATGTAGCAGAAGATGATGGTCCGCCACCAAGTCTTCCGCGTGTGTATTGATCATCTTTGTACTCCATAGAAGTTTAAAATTGCTTTCTTTACTATTTAGTAAAAGCACCTGAACCGCGCACTATCATGGAAGCATTACAACAACGACACGAAGAATTAGCTAAACGAGGTGAAGAAGCGGCTAGAACTGGAGATAATTCCAAAGCAAGACGAATGGAACGACTATCAAAAGTAATTCGTCTTTTCTCAATACACAATTCACTGAAAACTAGATTTATTAAATGCGTGCTAGTTGTTGTCAAAAGTATTTCATTGAGATATAATAAAATTAATCTTTTCTCGCTTAATAAACACTTGCCGTAAGGTGTCCTGTTACGCTTAAGAGACGAAACAGTGAATTGTGAAAGTTCTTATTCAGACAAAACATCGATGAACATAGTTTAATCTTTACTTATAAACATCAAAAACATATCCATACGATTTATCAAGCTACACAGTTCATTTTATCGATTATTTTTCTGTTACTAAATAGCAATATGAAGAAGCTATCGATGCTACACGTAAAGGTCGTCCATACAACTACACTGAATTACCCGATCTGCCTGGTTTCGCACCGATTCCTGTTCAACAAGGTACACCTCAACCAACTGCATCGGTCTCTTCTGCTGCTGCAACAACCGCTAGACCAGCATCATCAAATACACAAGTACGATTAGGTTCAGTTGCATCATCGAATACTGCAATCAGTTAGTTATATTTCATTCTTCTTCCATTTATCAATTTTATTTTTCTTAGGCGCAAGAAAAAGTCAACAAGCCATAAAACTTCGTTTAAAACAAGAAAAATTTCAAAAACTCGCTCTAAAAGCGAAACAAAGCGGTATATTCATTTTTTTTGTCTTGTATTATTGATCTAAGCAAATGTGAAACATTTATTTTTAGGTGATATTGAAACCGCTAAAAAATTTTTAGTGGCTTGCAGAGGACTTGAACCAATGATTGAAGCTGCGGATGCTGGTTTGCCAGTGGATATGAGTCAAGTATGAAATTATTGTTTTAATCGAATATGTATTTTGTTGTATTGTTGTATTTCTTAGGTACCGAAATTACCTGGCGAAGATGCTAATGACATGATAGACGATGATGATTTAACACAAGATTTAGCTCATGCAGATCGTGATACAATTTATCGCCGTTTGCAAGAAGATCTTCTTCAGCAAATTCAATTGTGTGCACGCAACCAACAAATCTATGCACAAATGGAAGGAGCGAACAGCTTAAAACATTCGAGTGAATATAAAATTCTCGAACAACGTTGTGCAGGTGATTTAGACAAATTAAGACATTGCTTTCAACATGGTATAAAACCACCATTGTTTCACTATGAAAGAAGGCAGATGAATGTCATACAGGCTAATAATGATTTGGGAGATAATGATCTTGAGGTAAATATTAAACATCAGGAAAATTTCGTATGAAAATTAATTTTAAGGTCACAATTCTTCGTGGTATTAATTTACCTGTTCCGACAGGTTTTTCATCAGCAACACTTGAAACTTATGTAATGATTGAATTTCCTTATCCAACTGAAACTCCGCAAACGGGTCGAACTCGTCACACAGTCGGTTCGATTAATGCTGAATATCCTGAATCAGAACATAAATTTTATATTAAACGAAACGATGCTAAATTTAGACGTTTAATGAGTCGAAAAGAATTAAAACTAGCTGTTTTTTATAAGCCAGGCTTTCTCCGATCGGATCGTCCATTGGGTACAGCATCAATTAAATTAGCTGCATTAGAACAAACATGCACAATACATGAATCAGTTGATTTATTCGAAAGTGAACATAAGAAAAAAATTGAAGGAAAATTAGAAATTAAGCTACGTATCAAAGAAGCATTAGGACAAACAAAAGCATCTGATATTTTACCACAGCGATGGCTTGTTATTGATCGTTTTGAAGAATCCGTAAAGCTCTAGTTCATATGTAATTTGAATTTCTTATTCACTGGGTTCTTGTTTTTTTTTCTAGTCTCGCACTGCGAAACCGCCAGCATCGAAGTAAGTTAATTAAGACTTTTTTCTGTCTATCATCAGTAGTTGCACATTTGTTACATTCATTAAAATACATAATTCAGATCACCAGGAACCACTGCACCAGCCATTACTGCTATTGCTTGTCTTAAAACCACAGGCGAAGCATTAGGACAATTGGCCATAAATATGGCCAAGAGTAATAATAATAGTGATGATGCAGTAGGTAGCAGGTATATTGTGTGCTACCATTTCGAATAGAAAAGGCATTGTGTAGTTTCATTTGACTGTCCTGCATGTTGGCATACTTTTCGTCCCGCATCGCCCTTTTCCGTTGTTCTTTTTTTCTTCATGTTTTCTTGTATTTCATTTTCTTTGTTTTTCGTATAGTCAAGCAGTGCCAGTTGAATTGACTGATCGTCAACGTCGACGAGCTCATCAACATAACCAACGACCGGCAACAACAACATATCCACAAAGTGTTCAAGTACTAAATTATGAAGCATCATTGATTCAACAACAAGTTTGTTTTATTACTATTAAAAATTTCTATTCAAATTTTCTACCGGTTTCAAATAGATTGAACAATTACAAGATCGTCTTACACATGAGCAAATTCATCAATTAAAAATGAGACGTAGAGATATCGAAGAACAAAGTGATCGATTAGTGGATTCGTTACGGATGGGAGGAAGACAAGCTGTACAAGGTAATAGAATCCATTGGTGTTTGTATTATTTATTTTCGACTAATATGTTGCTTTTCTAGAGCATGTAAGAAATCTTGAAGAATTAAATGATTATTACGATCAAGAAGCTCGTGAAAATCATCAACGACGTGAGACAAAAAAAGCTGATATTTCGCTCACAAAAAAGAAACTTGTTATGAAAGAAGTATAATCACTTTAACTCATGTTGCTCTTTTTTTTAAATACTATTTATTTTTTGTTTCCTTCTAGATTGAAACACTTACCGGGCAACCGGCATCGACAAGATTTTGATCTGTGTTTGTTTTCTGGTTATATATACATATATAAATATGCTTATTTATTTACTGTGCTTTCATAGTATTACTTTTTGCTTGGGAGAAAACCGTAGATTCTTTATTACTTGTATTAAGAAAAGCAAGCGAGCACAATGCTTTTACAGTTATTAATAAAATTTCAGTGTGAATCAATTTTACCTAACTAATCACTATTTGATTTTATAGAAAAATATTTGTGATTTTTTATTGGTCCTTCACGAAAACCTTCTAGGATTCGCTTGCACTGAATACCGTTCTGATCTAGTCTGGCTGAACTTCAAGAATCCCGTTTTCACAAAATACAATTGAATTTTTCTCTCAAGAAAATATTTTCTTCGATTGATAATGATGAATAGATAAATTCAAAAATTTGATCTTTGATTAAAAAAAATCGAATCGATTGTTCTTTTTGTTTTTGTTGATTCTTTTCTCTTTCGGCTTTTTTCTTATTTATTCAAAAAAAACAAAAAATAACAAATAAACCGTTGCTCGCTATATTAATATTGTAATTCCGCTTCAATTAATTTCTTATATTGTTCAAAGCCATTTTCAAGTGCAGTTACACTTCCATTACGACAAAGCCATGCATCCGTACAAACACGTTTAATTAATAATTCATCATGGGATACAAGTACAATTCCGCCATGAAATTTTTTAATTGCGTCAGCTAATGCTTCAATGGTTTCCATATCTATTGAAAAGAAACGAAAATCGTTTTTATATTTTCTGAAATAGTATTTTTGAAAATTTTACCCAAATGATTTGTCGGTTCATCGAGTATAAGAATATGTGGACTAAAAGAATTATTTGTTTTTCAAATCAATTTGTTTTACAAAAATGAGTATTTTCTTACTTTTTCATACACATTAAACTGAATGCTAGACGACATTTTTGTCCTCCCGAGAGACTCATGACTGATTGTAATGCTGTATCTCCAGTGATACCGAAACGACCTAATTCTGTTCGATACTGTTCAATTGTTTTACCTAGACGTAAATTGTTATAAAACGCAGAAGAAAACAATAGGGCGTTATATTACCTGGAAATTTCGCTTGTAAAACCTCAACAGAATTGATATTCATTGGTAATTGATCGACAAAATGTTGTGTAAAATAGCCAAGTGCTAAATTTCTATGACTATGTCGTTGACCTCTAGTTGGTTCCAATTCTTCAACTAATAGTTTCAATAAAGTTGTTTTACCTTAAGACAATAAATAAAGTGTGGAGAAAAATAAATAAATATCAATATATCTTACCAGATCCATTTTCACCCATAATACAAATACGCGATGAAAGATTTGCTGATAAATTAACATTGTTTAATAGCATTGGATTACTTTTTGAATAAGTAAACGCAACATCATCTAATTGTAAAATGGTTCCATTTAATGGTTCGGGTTCAGGAAAACGAAAGTGAACTTCGTGTTCTTTTTCTACTGGTCGCAAAATAGGCCTAATTCATAAAGAAACATTTCTAGTCAATAGATTATATGAAAAAAAAACGCATCAACAACTTACAATTTTTCTAGTAGTTTAAGTTTACTTTGTACTTGTGCAGCACGATTTGCATTATAACGAAATCGATCAATAAATACCTACGAAAGAATAGTCAATAGGTTAAACATTGAAAAAAATTTAGGATACAAGTAGTCAAGAGTCGATCTATTGTTTAATAAGGTAGTAGGATCATAGGCAGTAGTAATACTCGGTATGTCCGAAAAATCAGGTATTAAATACCCATGACCTTCGGTTTCCTTATCGAAACAATTAATGAAACTGTTTTCCTCTTGAAGAAAAAATATCGAACTCAGAATTGGTCAATGATATAAGCAGTATAATGCATATTTGCAAACTTGTCAATTTCTATGATATTCTATTTGATATTATTTTTTTTGTAACGAGCAATCGAAAATATTTGTTGAATGATATGCTCAACAAACCTGAATATGATCTCGATAGTCTTTTTGCGCTTCATATTCACGTTGTTGATTTTTAAGACGTTCTGTTCGAGCTGATACAAATGTATCATAATTACCGCTATAAATAAAAACGAATGGTATTTAGAATTAAAAAATTTTAATTGATATTTACCGGTAGGATTCAACTTTTTGTGCATATAAATGTAAAATATCAGTTGCGACAGTATTGAGAAACGTTCGATCGTGAGAAACAACTAATATAGTACTTTTCCATGTTTGTAAATAATTTTCTAGCCAAATAATTGCTTTTAAATCTAACATATTAGTCGGTTCATCGAGTAAAAGAAGATCAGGTCTAAAGATATTTTCCTATGGATCAATAGTTACAGCAGAAAAAGAAAATTTACTTTGAAAAAAGAGCTCGTGCCAATGCAAGACGCATTCTCCAACCACCGGAAAATTGTCTAATTTAAAAAAAAAGAATTAAACTAAGTAAAAAGTCAAGCATTAATTTTACTTTGTAGCCATGGCTTGCATTTCAGAAGTAAAACCAAGACCATTTAATATAACTGCTGCTCTTGATTCAGCTTTATCGGCTTCAATTGCTTCCAATTCACCATAGATCGCTGTTAAACGTTTTGATATAAATGAATCTTGATTTGATGTATCGCTTCTAAAATAATCGTATGAAATGAAACCAAGACAAAGTTATTCACGAAATCACTTACATTGAATGTAATCTTCTATTTAATTCTTTTTCTTCGTTCAATAATGCTGCTCGTCGTTCGTCACATTCGAGGACACTCTGAAGAGCGAGTGTGTCACTGCCTTCAATTTCTTGTTCAACATGTAAAATACGGAGATGCGATGGAAGTACAAGACTTCGACTAAAAATTACGAGAAGAATGCTAAATTTAGGCTGAATCTTTTTTTAAATGGGGCATTTTAAAAGGCGCGATCAATTGAGTTTTAGAAAGAAGACAGAAAAATATCTGAAATAACATTTTTCCTCCTTCGAGAATTGTTTTGTTGATAAAAATTTCTCTCGTTCAGAATTATTCTATGGTTCAATCAAGACTTACTTAGCCATAACACGAAGTAAAGTTGATTTACCCAATCCATTTCGGCCAACGAAACCATAACGACGACCATAGATAAGATCAAGACTACTACCGAGAATTAATATTCTATAGCAAACGAAATTATGAGTAAAAAAAATAGAATTTAGATAATAATCTTAATTACTTATTTCCATATGATACATCAAAATTATCAATATGAACGTCATATCTATAAAGAAATTGATCTTATCAAAAGTTTATTTTTCTTCTTAATTTACTTACGATTTACTGGTTGAATCAGTGTTTTCATTTTCTGCAAGTAATCGTTTATTCGTTGCTTGACTAACAACAGCATCTTCAAGTCGTGCTTGTTCTCTAGAAATTAAAAATCAATTAAAACATAAATAGTCGATAATTTCAACGAACTTGACATCCCCATTCAGTGCTCCGTCTCGAGCGCGTTTTTCTTGTTTTTCTCGAAGTTTAGCTTCGGCTTTTTCAAGTTTTTTTTGTGATACGGTTGTTGTTTCACTGTTTGGTTTAATAAATGTTCGATCATTCATATTAAATAAAGCCGACGAAACTGTGTCCACTGACGAGCCTGAATAATGACCAATTTGAACAGGTGTTGACAGTTTTTTAGGTTCATGACTTAAACCATTGTGACCAGATAATGTTTCTCTGTAGAAAATAAACAGTTTGCCTTCATGTGAAATGCCTCTAAGTTTTGCTTACAATTTTAATTGGTCACAAACAAATTGGCAAAGTTGTGTAATTTCTTCTTGTTCGAGTTCAGCATGAGCAATTTCTTCAAATATAGGTCTTAATGCATCATCTACTTCTCGAATATCAGTATAATCATGTTTATTTGTTTGTAAAATGTCTGGAAAGATAAAAGCAATGTTTGTTTTTTTGGAAACAAAAAACAGAATTACAAACCGGTAATGTAACCAAGAATGTCTTCATTCACAGCTGGTAATGTGGCACGAATCCGATCAAGAATGACTTGCATTTTTATTGAATTTATGATCTTCAACTATGAGAAAAAAGCCGATCTTCTAAAAGAGAAAAAGAGTAAAGATCGATGAACATGCGAAATATACAGCTGATTGAAAATATTTTCTATACTAGTAGCGACTGGTAAAACCAAGTTGACGAATGATTATTTCATGAGTCATATTTTTCCTGCAGTAAACTGACATCTATTCGATTCAATAACTATAGTCAGGGTTCATGTTGACGTCATCAAAATTGCGACGCATTTTAAGATTTATCTCGACGCGGAATGTAATTAACAATACGATAAGTATTAGTTTATAGAAAAAATTAATTCTCCTAGTTCTATTGAGACTATCAGCAGCTAGATATTTTGAAGCTAAAACTTTGACATATTGTCATTGTCTGAAAACTTTTATAGCATTTTTCATCAAGGAAGTCGTTTGATTTTTCTGTGTACGAAAGAAATACAGTATTTATAAATCGAAAATCCTTCATAACAACTCTAAAATATTTAGTTAGATAATATATGAATGAATTTATATGAAATACAACCATTAAATTTATTAGATGATATCTAATTGAATTATTGTAAACCATTACTTCTATTTTAATAATTTTAAACATTATATATTTCGTTTTCTCTAAGTCAACGTTTATCAAATAAATTACATTCACAAAACGATAAAAACAAAAAAAAAGGAAGAAAATTAAATATTGTTTATCTATTGTCATATGTCCTGAGTATAATAATGTTATGGATTAGTCGATGTCTAAAGAAATAAAAATAGAAATAATTAAAACAAAATAGAAAATCATATGTATAAAGTAAACTAACGTTTCGTTGTGTCATTATATCCGTAACTTCACGATCTTCTGGCAACATGGATGGTGAAGGAGGTTGACATGGTTGTTGATTCGATTTGGTTATTTTACCTAATTTAATTAGTAGATGAACAAGACGTCGAGCAGATATTGATTCATTTACTGCAAAATTTAAAAAAAATATTTGAATATGGTTGGTTGAAATATATCTTACAATTATATTCGAGCTCTTTAGCAGCTGACATTAAATCATTTTCTGTTAACATGATGCCATAACGTTGTAAAACTCCTGGTACTGAACTATATGGAAGCCGACCTGATGCATCTATTCGATAAAATGATTCTATAGGTTGAGAAAAGAAAAGAACGCAGCGAATTGATTAGGTTTTATGCTAAACAAAAAAATCAAACCATTAAGTTCACGAATGGTTAATTTTTCAGTAGTAACTCCATTTGTTCTTTCTTTCTGAAAAAAAAGGAAAATACGTAAATTTTTCTTTTTTTAAATTCATTTTCCATACAGATGGAATATTTGGTTCTTTCACAGTGACTGCTATTGGATTAACGTTATTGGTTGGATTAGATGGTTCACGATGATGATGACGATGATGATGATGATGGTAGTGCCCAAGCAATGCCGCAGTATTTTGCTGATGGATATTAGGTATTTGCGTTGGTACACGATTACGAAGGCTTACATCAACACTACGTGCTCTATTTCTTGCACCTCTTGGTTGCTGAACATAAGCAACGTTAGAGTTCATAGTAGGACGCATAGGTTCGTTGGGCATATTTGCTAATTGTGGATTCATAACAGTCGGTATTTGAAACTGATAGACTGGACGAATAGATGGGATTTTAAGTGGCGGAGGCGGTTGATTGGAATTAAATGTACGAAACGATGGTTGAAGTCCAACCATATTCGATACCGATCGACATAGTGCTGCATAATTATTTGCTGACTGAATACTCGGCTTAATGGTTGATCCTGTTGATAACAACGGATAAACAGTTTGTCTAGAAGAATTCGATTGTGAACATGAATAGATGAGTTTGCAATTATTCATTAACTTACTGTTGTTGATAGACAGGTGGAGCAGCTGGCCGTTGGACAAAGTAATAGGGTTGTGGATACTGTGGATTTTGTTGGGGTAAAAATGGTGCGGGCATAAATAAATTTGGCCGTGGTTGTTGTTGCGGTTGCTCTTGCTGTTGCTGTTGGTATTGCTGTTGGTGCTGCTGTTGGTGTTGCTGTTGTTGCGGTTGCTGTTGGTGTTGATGTTGCTGTTGCTGTTGTTGTTGTTGTTGATGGTGCTGTTGATGTTGCTGTTGCTGCTGTTGTTGTTGTTGCTGTTGATGTTGCTGTTGCTGTTGCTGTTGTAGCATAGGATTACTAAAATATGGCTGTTGAAATCGTGGTTGTTGCCATGGATTTGCAGCTTTGTTGGCTTGCGGAACAAAGGGTACCATCGTTTTTGGATAATCTCGAGTGATTTTATCGCCTTGTTGTTTATTGAGTGATGCTTTCTGATAATTGTTATCAGAAGGATTCGTTGGTTGATTTTTTTGAGATTCTAGAGAAACTTCAGGTTCATTGGATGGTGCTCGTTGATGATCAACTTTAGGTTGATTATTATTTACCATAGATATTGAAGATATTGTTGCATGAACCGTATTCATACCATTTGGTATTGATGCTGTTCGTGGTGCTACACTACGATCTTGAGATTGTGTGCGACTACTTGTTTGCCGTGGTTCTTTCTCGATGTCTCTATGTTGTTCCATATTATTCGAAGAATCAAGAGCAGTTTGATTCTTGTCTTGAGTAATACTTGGTACTGTTGCATTGTTAGATGTAGCTTTTATTGTTCGCTTTTCAACCAGAATAACACGCTCAACATCAACTTCATATTTAACTTTAACTTTGTATTTTCCTGTTCGATAAAGTTCCAATGCAGCTGGATAATCACGAAGAATGTGTTCTACTTCTTTCGAATTTTTTATCGTTCGAGAACCTTCCATTGTACTTTGAACTAATAAAAACAAATTATTTAGAAAAACAAAACAATATCAGAAATCAGATACTCTACATTGCGCTTTTGTATAGGGACCACTTTGAACAGCTGTTGTAGAACCATTGTTTGGCGTCATCGATGATAATGCACTGAGAGGTGCAGTAACTTTAGTAAAATTTGCAGCAGGCATATTTTTCAAATAAATGATTTATCTGAATAACGAAATTCTATTCACAACAACAACTCAAAAACAAAAGATTCAGTTATCAGTAATTAGTACTAGTGAAATTTCCTACTAAATGAATGTACTGATTATAACTCACTGTTAGCAATATGATCGTTCAATAATTACACATGTACTGATCATCTACAGTCAAGTTGGAATGTCTTTCTTCGTTCGATTACAGCTTTCGTTACGCTTTGATTGAACTGAACAAAAAAAAAGAAAACGAAACCGAAAGAGCGCAATCAAGATGAGAACAAACGTATAGTTATTAATGTGACACGTTCATATAACCGAATGGTAAAGAGAAGTGAGTTGTCTGATTTAATCAAACAACAAATGCAATCAGTTTTGTATGTATGTATATATATATACACATATATTTCATCCTACTCTTAAGACGGTCAGGCGTTACACTCGAATGCATTCGATGATAGGTAATGAAGAATAGACTTTCTTTCATCCTTTTCATAAAACAAATATGATAGATCACTTTTTTCGATATAGATGACTATGTATTATATATATATATATATATATATATATATACATAGGATATCTTCATATATCAAGATGATTATTTTATTTCATTTAAAAAAGAAGGGAAAAAAATGAAAAGATAACATATATATATTTGATTATGAAAGCAACTTTACAAATCTATCTTTGCAATACGACGAGCGAGTCCATTGAGATCATATCGAATTTTATTTTTTGTTATTGTTGTTGTTGAAGTCATATCTACTTTATCTTCATGCATAATTAAGTCAGACGTTAATAACATTGCGCAATGAGCAAACCATTGATATGGTTTTACGAGTTGACATCCTTGACGTTTTAACTAAATTTCATACAAATCAATATATATTGTCTAATTAAATAAGAAATAAAAGACTGCTTACATGAATAGATACATTTCGATCGGATGTAACAACAATAGTATGATAGTTTTGTGATCGTTGAGCAATATCAATAAGCATTTCATCGGTTGTTTTATAAGTCGGACGTGCGCTGCTAACTTTAATACTATCGATCGGTTCTAATTGTTGGGTGAAATCAAAAATAAGTTCCACATGCGGTATGAGCATTTGTTTATTCCATGCAGCAGCTATTTCTGCAATAGCTCGCTCAGCTTCTTTACTAGATTGATTTAAACACAGTCGACGAAGCGAATCAATAACAAACATCATATTGTTTCCATCTAGATAAACTTTTTGAATATTATTCGGCCAATCATTTTGATTATCTAATGTTAAATAAGCATTATGAATTTCAGCTAGTGAAATACGTTGCTAAAATAGAGAGACGCTTTTATAGGTACATTAGCCTGTATTTGAATAGAAGTTTTTCTCGTTACTTGTGTTCGTTTTTCAGATTCTTTTTCACGCTGTTCTTTAACTTGTTTATAACGAACTACAGTTCTCTCAATAGATTGATTGCATTCATGAAATAATGCTAAGATTTTCATTGGATTACCGTGTACACCTGCATTACGAAGCTGTCGAAGATGATCAATATCATCGATATCGATTTCAAGGTGTTTTTTTGACGATGATAATTTTTCATCATACTCTTCAGCTGTACTCGTAGTTGGTGATATAATCTGATCCTTTTGTTCCTTTCTTTCGGTTAACATCTGTTTGACTACATCGATTTGCCCATTCGCTTTTTCTAGTAATTCTATCAAAAGGCGTTTGTTCTTGGTTTTAACGCCATCACTTTCCAATTGAGCTAATTGACTCGAATATCTTGTATCAAGTTGAGTAATATGATCTTTTTTTTCTGCACGATGCTTTATTTTTTCCAATATCTAGTACGGATATCTATGTTTACTGGTTCGAGTCAATATATGAGGAAAATTACAACTATTAGGTGTGATTAGAGCGACAAGAAAAATCAAAAGTGGGCCTAAATCATTTTTGAGTAGGAAGCTCTATTATTATGCAATATGCCAAACTTAACTCAACAAAACTTTCTGACATATTTGTTAAGATTCGACTCAGTTGAGTGTAAAGGGGTTTTTAGTTGGCTGTATTTTCATGCAATAAAACTGTTAATTTATTACGAATTGACTTCAGCAATTAAAGGACAACAACGAATGACACGATCTATTTAACGATAATATGAAGATTTTGAAGGGACTCACACAACTTTGAAAGATACTGTACACTGTTGAATTATATACAGCACAAATTATCGTGAATCATCGTTGTTCATTACATGAGATATCTTTCTAAAGAATGTAATTCGCCGTATAAGAAAATCGGCTGGAATTGGCTCATCCCTTCATACTCACTTTATTAGTATCACCGTGATATTTTTCTAGTTGTTGCAGAACACATGGATTATTAGTATTGATGCCAGCTGCTTTTAATTCTACTAATTGACTAGCATATTTTGCTTTGATTTCTTCTTGATGCGGATGTCGAACCGCATTCAAATCAAGTTTACCAGCATTTTGCTTTTCCTGATGTTCTTGTAAATTCTTTCGAATGCGCTCAACATCGCCACCAAAACGATGCATCATTCTAAGTAGACGCGAACGTTTTGCTGATTGAATTGTTGGATATTCTTGTTGTAATGTTGTTAATAGAGTGCCATAGCGGACTTCGAGTGGATCGGACTTTTCCATAGACAATTCAACACAATCGAAAACCTGATTAAAGTAGAGCTAGTTAGAAATCTTTTTAACTTGAAACAAGCAAAAATAAATTCCTTCTATGCCGGTATGCCATGACAACTGCCATTCATCCACATTGAAGGCATTTTACAGGCTAAGGACAAATGTAAATATCTCATCGATCATACCTTGTCAACATCGTGAGGATGTTCTTGTAGCAATTCTAATTGCTTAAAATAATCTTGTTGATTCGATGCCATTTTGATCATTTGACAGTTTATATCGTGTAAGCTGCACATGTTTAGAAGAATGTGAAAAAACAACATACCTTTTTATAGGAGTCCATGAGTAAGCATTAGAAATTGTGTAATTACGCTGATGAAATAGCAAATTCTCATTGGTTTCTATACGTCTACATTGGCAAATATTGGGGTCACAGGAATTAGCTAATACTAGTTTTTTTTGCGGTTGCTCAATCCTCTGATTGGTGTATTGTAAGTAAAGATGATGAAATGCATAGAAATAAACAATACATATATATATGATCGAATGATCGAGGATGTTTCATCGCGGCTAAAAGTGCTTCAATTTCATAAGTACATATTTTCTATTAAATATGCATATAATCAATCAACCTTTATGAAACTATATACGATTCTGAACGAGATCGAATCAGATGTAATTCATACAGATAATGAACACATTATCTGTAATCTGTATATCCCAAATATTAGTCTAGTATTACAACTGAAACAGTTGGTAGGTAGATGCCAAATCTCAGCTAGTGTGCAAAGTAATGACTTGTGATGGTCTTGATATCGAAAGCAATATTTTTTTTTACAGGCAAAAAGCATAATTGATAGAATACATATAACTAAAGATGACCAAGACAAGGGATGCAACTAACATCCAGTAGTCATTGGACCAATGCGTGTGCGCCTTCGCCACCATAAGATTCGATTTTTCACAAGACGACGAAAACGAGGTGACGAAAGCATAAAGATATAGAATCGTCCCTAAAGGTTCGGAAGAAAATACCCTGAATATTATAGTTCAAAAATGACTTACCCCATAAGCGATTGAACAAAACATATAAGTAATCCTGTCAACAAAGAACTCGATGATTTTTCGATCAGTCCTCTTTTCAATACTTCTCGTAATAATCTTATAAGTTGTATCAATGACAAAAAGGACTTAGACCTATGAAAGTAAATAAGGCCTGAATAAAAACGATCATAGTTAATGACCAATCCATACGTAGACGCGAGAGAACAGTGGTTTTCTGTATGTTTCGATAAGTTAAAATTCCAAATGTCATCATAATTGAAAATGCCATAGCGCAAAGAATGATGCAGATGAGTAAGGTAGCATAAACAGAAAATCCATTATTGGGATATACACAAGCGCCTGAATTTAATGACACGTTCTGATAGTTTAGCCAAAGAATACCATGAAGCCACCATATGATTATGATTGATAAAGTAACTCGGTGTGCAATTTTAATATTACTCAATCGGCGAAAGCGAAGATGTCGCGATGCGATTAGAAACTGGTCAATAGTAGCCAAACAGGCGCAAGTCTAAGAAATACAGCCACAACTAATACTGAAAACGTGATGAAGCTTGCACCAAATGATAGAGGTGCGCGTCAAATTAATGGCCAGAAACGCAGTGACGACAAGTGAACCCATAGCAGCAATGAATAGGATGCATTCATGTATCATGACAATAATAAATTGGAATGTACACGGATTCTTTATGTAGTGGGATGCCATCATAAAAAATGAACACCTGCATGGCACTTCCGGCAAGTCCAAAAGTCAAATAGAAGAGACCAGCGTAGGATGTAACTAGTTGATTAATGATCACTAAAGAAGTCATGTATGATTCTTGTTATGAACTCAATTGCAATCTAGTGTCACTGAAAAATACTATAACTCAACGTGTTATATATATGTGTTAGGAAAAAGATATCATCACTGAAAAACCGCCCAGACTTCACTCACAAAGCGCGAATTCTCGGATGATACATTTATATTGGCTGAAACTATTAGGACATCTCGTAGCAGTAGTGAAAGAAGTATGGCGACATTCTCAGTTGTGTAGTATGCCTATGGAGAGAGATATTCGTTTAAAAAGTAGCTTATGTGAAAATTGAAAATTCTTTATTAACTCTCATTCTAGTTATAAAAATGCAATTTCTATTTCCGTCTTTGAAAGAAGATAAGATGGATGAAAGTATAAACTGATTGAAAAAAAAATGTTCATTATGTCGAGAATCTTAACATGCTGCGTCAACGAAAAAGAAATGCAATCATTTATCATGAAATCTTCGAGTGCAGCTCGTTGATGTACGATGGAAACGGGTAGAACAAACAAATAACGATGATACGAATCATCAAAATATTTGGCAAAAAATGAGCGTTTTAAATCAACAGTGATAGCTAGGGGTGGACCATTTTTTTTAACGGAACTTAATTAATGACATTAATTAATGACTTCCATTAGCCATTAATATTAATGGTTAATGTTTTCTAAGAAAAACTTAATTCATTAATATTAATGATTAATGAAAAACATTAACATTAATTTTAAAATTAATGTTAATGTTTTTCATTAATCATTAATATTAATGTTAATGTTTTCATGAAAACATTAACCATTAATATTAAGTCATTGATTTTAATGAAAACATTAACATTAATATTAATGATTAATGAAAGTATAATCCCTAATATTAACGAAAACATTACTATTCATACTAATGATGAATGTTTCCGTTAACCGTTAATATCATTTAAGAACATTGACATTAATATTAATGGTTAATGAAAACATTAATTTTAAAATTAATGTTAATGTTTTTCATTAATCATTAATATTAATGAATTAAGTTTTTCTTAGAAAACATTAAGCATTAATATTAATGGTTAATGAGAAACATTAACATTAATATAAAATTAATGTTAATGGCCCACCCCTAGTGATAGCATCATCTATGTCTCTGCAAAAGAAAAAAGAATCACGTCGGTAAAATAAGAGTACACAATGTGAATATCAATTTAGCAATTTTCATAGCCCGATTATGCGACAAACTGCCGGGTTCTAACGTTGAAACTTTCAAAACATTCATACAAGTACAAAAGATAAGAAAAAACTATTTGAATTCATCATCTACGAACCCGGTAGTTATCTTAATTCGAACTTGAGGATTCATTTTCATATTTCTATGTAAAGTTGGAGACAAAAAATTGTATCAATCGAACTGTCCTAAAAGTTTTCACATGCATAGTCTCCCACTTCTAAGAGGAAAAACTGGTCTCGACAAAGATAGTAATCAAGCATCAAAATGAAATTAAAAAACAAGAGAACATTAATATGAGAGATATTAAAATATACTTTCAAAAAGAAAAGAAAGAAGAAGAAGCACTGAAGTACCATGATTTTATTCGTTTATTTAAACAGCGCTGGACGAGTCTGAGCCATTTCGAGTCAACAGGTGAAAAGTTTTAGTTGACTCACTTGAAAACTTGCAATAGGTCAAATTAGATCCTCGTTTAAAAGCAGTTTTCTTGCTAATTGAGGTGCTCATCGGTCAAAATGACGATACAGGCGTTACAGGTGGTACTTTAACTTTTAAGTTAAACGTAAAATAAATTTTCCACAGAGGCATTTTGTTCAAGGGGGAAAAGGCAAATTTGGGATTTTCAAAATCCAAAAATCCAAAACGTGAATGATGGAATTTCCATCTGAACTTTTTCCCATATGTAAGTCTCATGATTCTTAGAATGTTCTAAAATTTTCAGCGCAAACAGACGTTTCTTTCTCAAGATAATGAATGCGAAAGAAATACTCATTTCACGGCACGGTCAGAAAATCCAGTTCTTTTTTGAAAATTCAATAATTTAAGAAGGAAACATTTATTCGAGTTGAAACGTTTAGGATCTTTTATGGATCATGAAACCTATATATGGGAAGAGTTTCAGGTCGAAACTACGTCATTCAGAGAGGGGAAAATGCTTTTCAATTTATGGGATTTATGGGATTTTGAAAATCCCCAAAATCAGCTTTTCCCCCCTTGATTTTGTTTTCTATTACTCTTCTGATTCATGTGCAGTTGTATATAGGTTTTCATACCAAGAACTTGAACTTGGCTATTGTAAATAATATCCAAAGCAAATTTGACTCGATTCAAGAACAGGCATGTGTGACTCCATTATTCCTGCATTTAAAAACTCAAATCGTCGATTCAAGCCCAACATATGCAATTCATCTCGCGTAAGATACTTTGAGTAATATTCCATCTTATCTACACACGCAATTGCATTTCATGTTTTTATTTGCCTCGACTTACAAGATTATCTTTCTTGCAAAGTTTTTCTGACATTTTAACGCATTCTGTCATCTTTTGGCACTTGCCTGTTCGATAAGTTGTCGGCGCTAGTACTCAACAATTTTTTTTTTAAGCATCCTATAAATAAAATAGTATTTTTACTGTTAAAAATATTATTATCTGTAGTCTAACGCAAGTCATACATTGGCGTGAGAACTTCGATTTCTTGTTTGTTATTATGATTTCAAGTTGAGTATTGAGTTGATTTTTATAACAGGATAAAAATTTAAGAAAAAAACGTCTTTGCCATATGCTTGGGTTCGATTGACATCAGTGGAAGAGTTTGTGGAACTTAACTATGATATTCGGTTTAAAGTTCGTTGATGACATTTGCATATATCTTCAAGATTTATACATAAGCAAAGCACTATTCATGTGTGTTCGCCTACAGGCACACAATCCATAAAACAATTTATGAAAACAGATTAAACATCATGTTAACAAGAGAAATTCGTCAATCGAACTCGCAATAATTTTATCATACAGAGGAATATCTTAATGAAAACAATGCCTATTACGACTTTTTTTCATATTTTCTTCTTTCGTCTATAATTTTGTTAAACTCTTGAAATAAAGTAACGGAAAGGATAAACGATAATCTTGTTGACTAAATTACAAGAAAGATCGCATACAGTTGAATTCAAATATCGCTCTAAATCCATGTACAAATCATATTTCAGGGGTACATAGGATGCAAAGAAAAAGGGTCTACATTTTATTAATCACGTATAGAAGTTTTGATAAAAATTACAGATTTTTGTCATGCACTGTTAATATCACTTGCATACATATGTAAATGAATCGATCCTATTCGAGTAGGTTACTACCAATACGCCTTAATTGTTTGAGTAGCTGGTTACTTTTACACGACCGGCAAGCATCACATCTCAATTACAAAAAAAAGAGAAAGAAACAGAACCATCATAGTATTCTGTAATTTCTACAGCACGTTTTGCTTTTCTTGTATTGCCATAAAAGAATAGGAGTATAGCGGACGGAAGAAAAAGCACAATCACCACACACAACGATACTTTTGTGAATGAACGGTCATCGTATTATATCTATATTATTTGGTCGTCGGCTATTTTAATCAAATCAAAAATTATTTTAAAAACAATATTTGCTCGAAGAAGTACGTATTCTCTATCGCATAGATATTTTAATAGAACTGATCAGTGTATTTCATTTGATGTGTTCTTATTGAGAAGAGTCGGTTAAAATAATTCATTCTTCTGTGATTTAGAAAAGAATTATGCTGGATCCTAATGTTGATAATCGTTTAAGTGAAGATATGGCATACATGAGTTTTGATCAGAAACATTCAATTGCAGAGAAAAGTTCAGAAAACATCGAGATTTGTAACACAACTTATTCGTATGAACCAGCTCTATTTACTAATCCACAACGTTTAGACAAAATAAAAGCTGCATTACCAGCTATCAACTTGTTATTCGAAAAAGAATTTGAAAGAAACAATTTTCCTGGTCTTATGTATGGAATCGTAGTTGATGGAAATTTAGTACATAGTCATGGTTTTGGTTATATCGATCTCGCACGCAAAATACCAGCTACTACAAAATCACTCTATCGTATTGCGTCGATGACAAAGAGCTTTACGGCTATGGCTATAGTGAAACTTCGCGACGATGGTAAACTTCGTCTTGATGATTCTGTTTATCAATACGTTCCAGAATTAAAAGCCACTGATTTATTAACGACTGATGCACCAATCATTACTATTCGTCATCTGTTAACGCAAGATGTTGGCATGCCAGAAGATGATCCATGGGCAGATCGACAGCTAGCCATGCCTACAAATGAATTTCTAGCAATTTTGAAAAAAGGAATTAGCATGTCGAATCCACCTGGTACTATTTGGGAATATACCAATGTTTGTTTTACGATCTTGGGTCGAATTATTACAGTTGTATCACAAGTTCCTTATCAAGAATATATTAAAAAGGAAATTCTTGAACCCTTAGGTATGAAAAATACTTTTTGGGAATATAGTGAAGCTCCATCGGAATTATTAGCTCGTGGTTATCGTTGGGAATGTGAACGCTTTTCCGAAGAAATTCCACTTCACGATGGTACGTTTGGTGCTATGGGAGGATTAATTAGTTCAGTTGAAGATTTTAGTAAATACGTAGCATATCATTTACAAGCTTGGCCGCCCCGTAATGATCCTGAATATGGACCAATACGACGAAGTTCGTTACGTGAAATGCATCATCCCTGGAATTTCATTGAAATAAATACATATTCACATCGTTCATGTTCGGTAACTTATTCCTATTGTTATGGACTTATTTGGTGTAAAAATGCCGATGGAATCATATCTGTGGATCATTCGGGAGGTTTACCAGGGTTCGGTAGTAATTGGATGATGTTACCGGAACATGGTATTGGACTTATTTCGTTTGCAAATCGTACGTATGCAGATCTTGGTCGTATTAACACAATTATCATGGACAAAATAGTTACGCTGACCAATTTACAATCACGACAATTACCTACTTCAAAAATTCTTGCTGAGAGTAAACAACAAATAATAACAGTTTTACTGCATAATTGGGATATAAGTGATCAGCAAATATCAACAGCATTCGCAGAGAATTTCTTCCTCGACAAATCATTAGAATTAAGAAAAGAAGCTTTACATGAATTACTTAGTCAAACAGGAAAAATTCTAACGATTGGAAAATTCATTTCAAAAAATTCATTACGTGGTCAATTTCGTGTTGAATGTGAGCAAGGTACAATTCAAATTGTATTTAGTTTATCCCCAGAAAATCCACCATTAATTCAAGAATTAAAATTAACAAAAATCAACTAAATTTCATCATATCATCTACATAAAAAAATATTTTTTTGTAATTTTTTCATTGTTAGAAAATCTATAAACAATGGAATAAATCAGAAAATTGATCTATTATTCTTCATTCTAGAAAGAACGAATTAGAATAGATATTCTCAATCTGAATATATTAAAGAATTATTTTGCGATGTTATTAAAAGAAAAGAAAAAAAACACTCGAGAGACTTTCAAATGGTGCTGTTATATAATATTTAAATAAAATATACGTTTTCTTAGGAATATAATGATGTGAGCATTTGTCATCAATGATAAATTATCGATGACTATTTTATTTTGATTCATAATTGAGATACAGTATCAACAACTAGGGACATCATTACACGTAGATGTCATTAGAGTCAACATGGCTTTGTAGTCTGAAATTTTCTTTCTCTCAGAATGGATACTGATAATAATTTTCTTTTGGGAAAATGACGAATCCATTTCTAGACAAACAGAAATATGAGTAAAAACATCTGTACTCATAATTTAGTGATACATTATCTAGGTGGTTCGTTCTCATACTAAATTAAAGATAATTTATTTGCATATTTTGAATCAAAAAGGAGGTCTTTCATTGTTTTAAAATATCCATTTAAATGGCTGCCATTGTTTATTAAAATTTTTCTCATATGATGGCTTTGGAATTGGTCAGTCTATTTATTTTTCTATTCCTAGTTGAATATTGTGATTGTGTACGTGTAAATGTCAACATCATCAATGATAGAATTACGCCAAACACGTTCGACAACCACAACTACAACACCACCTTTAGTAAATGAAATCACTGATGAATCAAATATTCTTCATAGTCTTCGTTCAAATCTTCATTGTCCAGTAGAATTCATACATATCTATAATCAATGTTATCAAATAACAAGTTTTCGATCGTCATTGTTTGAAATTCTTTGTAATATATTATCTAATTCAGTTGATGTTGATGCTAAAATTCTAAAACATATTCTTGAGTCTTTATTAACAAATCATGATAGTTTACTCGTAGAATTAACTGGTCTACAATTTAAACAAGATATATTGCCATTTATTAAACGTACACTATCAGCAACAGAAGAAGACGATAATGATGTATTATTGTTGTCTTTAAAATTTCTTATTAAACTTATTGATAATTATTCAACTTTACTAAGTTCAACATTAGCTGAATGGTTAGCGAGTATATTACATTTTGTTGTTACACGTATAACATCATCATCGTATGTAATTTTCGGTGATTTAATAATTGATTTACTTACGAAAATAGTGAAAAATTTCACACCATTACCAAAAGAAATTGTTGACGTATTAGGTCGCTCGCCATCATCAATTATTTCGACACAGTTTCTTAGCGAATTAAAATCATGGGTTAAACATGTTGATGATATAAGATTAGCTTTATTTGCTATTCATCTATGGGAACCATTAGCTGCTCTTCTCAGTCGATTATTAACACGTGGACATACCAAAGGAAATGAAATGTTAGCTGTTATGCAAGATGGTAGGATTGATTTTTCTATTCCGAAGAAGATTTTGATCTGTAGTATTTACAGCAAAATCGATTCTTGTCTTTAAAAGTATGTGGAAACATTCGGATTCGCATCCGATTGTTATGTGTACTGCAAAAAATGATTCGATTTATATATGTTGTGAATAATTCTGAGAAAAAATCCCTGTAGCCCTCCCCTCCCTCCGGAATGGTCTGGTCAATAATGACAATTTTTTCGATGGCTCAGCCATTTCTTCACGGATCCTTCTCATCTTCGAACCCGACTGAAATATTGATGAAATCATTCTGTGTACAAAATTTCATGACAATTGGATGAGGCTTTCAAGAGTTATCGTGTTAATGGACGGACACTGACCGAATCTAGAGTGTAGTCACTTTTTGAGTACAGAAAAAAACATTCTGTCATAGAAAAGGAAATTGTTTTTTGTTTTGTTTTTGAAACAGTCTTATTGTGTATCGTTGCAGATTCTATCGTTACGAAATAACTTCAAGATAGAGACATTGCATGTCAATGTGACATATTTGCGAGAAAAAATGCAGTATCCATGTTTTCTTGTGCCTCATTATATTGATTCAAAATATGTCAAGTGAAAAGTTTACTGTTGTTTTTACAAGACTAATCGAGCATGAGAAAAATATTCTGCATATTTCGAACATGACTGTCCTATTATCTCTCGGTTCTCTTTTTGTACCCACAGTAGATCTAAACACATTAACTTGGCAAGTTCACGTTTGTTATATTAATCATATAACGGAGGAGATGACACACCGATATATCATTTTTGACATCTTGAGTATAAAAGCGTATACTGCTTAGAAATATTCATTGGATATGTTGGAAATTTATCTAAAAACATGTTATTTATTTTTTCCTAGCATTTGTTGTTGCCAATTATTCAATACGTGGCGCTGCATTTTCATCATGGTCATCATTTATGTCTCATATTTATCGATCAGATTTAAATTTACATCATGATGATGTACATCAACAACAATTATACAATCGTTTATTGAAATTATTTCTAACACCTTTTCTACCTGATTATACATCGAAAAGTAAATCAGCATCAATAGCTAAATGCCATGCATGGCTAATATTAGTATCCACTTATCCAAAACATATTGACGATGTGCTTTTACCATTTCTTTCATTTGCATTTGGTTATCATATATCATCGAAAGTAGCGTCAATGTCCACAACATGGTGGCCAGAATGTCGTAAAATGGGTGGCCAATGTCTTCACGATGTATTAACTGATAATACAACTGGCGAAACTGTTATTAAAACAGCCGGCGATCAAATACTTCATTATTTGTTTGATATAATCGAAGATGAATTGTTAGAATACACAACAACTGAAGAAAAATCGTTGGGATTACTCTGTTGGAATGCTTATTTAAATCACTTAACACGTATATTTACAACTAATAATAATTCTACTGATAATAATCAACGCGAACAAATCGATACTTGTATTTTAACACGTATATTCACAGCGAATAATTCTATGGGTGATAATCGACGTGAAAAGATAAATACTGGCCTATTAACACGTATTGAACAATTATGGATTGATTCACGTATTTCAACGAGATTTCTATTAAAATTATTTGATACATTCGAACAAACAGGTTTTCCTTTGGCCATGGAAACAGTATTACGTGAGTCAAGTATACGAACAAAAACATTGTCAGCTACACAAGTTTATCCATTGGGTATGTCCTTAAAGATATCCTTTTAGATTCATCGCACCATGATTATTATGAAAAACACTATCAAACTGTGTTTTTACCCTGGAAAACTTCAAACCATTCTTAAAATAGCTAGAAGCATTGCTTAAGTATAAATTTTCTACTAACGGAAAAAAATACATCTTTTTATCAATGGAACTCGAGAGTCAGATAGAGCACAAAATAGTACTGACAAAGTGATAGACCTAGATAAACGACATAGTTGTGCAGCTGTTGTTCTAAATGGTATTTTTTCTATTCGTTGACTACTAATAGATGATACTTTGATGAGTTTTTCGCGAGCGAATTTCTATTAATCGCAATTCAACGCATTCCATTGAACGTCTCTAAACTAATTAATTTTTCTCATTAGAAAACAAGTCTTCAAATCGTACAAATCTATCAGATCGATATCTTCAAATGATGTTAGAGCATACCGTTCGTTTTACTAATGTTGACGATGATCAAAAAATCGAAGAAACTTACCTTCATGTTTTATCATATTTGATCGATACATTATCTAAAACTTCTGATGATAATTTTTGTCATCAAACATGTTCATTATTACAGAAATGTTCCATTGAATTACCTCTACAACCATTAAACATTCCATCCTTATTTTGGTACATATGGTTACGTTGTTCAACACATTTAATTAGTATTCTCAATCGTACACGTTCAATGGAATTAGATACTCAACGACAAGAAACAACAATTGAATTATTAATTCGTCCGTTTGAATTTGGTGATAGTCACCGTCTTGACTATTCCTATACATTATTATGGACGCAATTATTTAAAGCACTTTGCCGCTTAGCACTACTTGATGGCAAGCAATTAATACAAATATATATGGAATTATTTCGGCATACATCCGTTTTTCAACAATCAATAAATGATCAACGGTGTCAACGATTGTTCGGCTTTCTATTAACAATAATGAAATCGTTATTGAAAATTTTTAATGATATTGATTTATCAACAATACCAAAACGTTCATTATCATCTATAATGCAGTGTTATACACAAATGTCAATAATCATCAATTCTATCTTGCAACGTTTATTATCGCATGATGAAAATTCTAGTTCATGGTTATCGGTTTGTTATTGTTTATTAAAATCAACTCGAATCTCATCGAATGAGCAATTAAAATCAATTGTACTTACGTATGCACGTGATGTTGTTGTAGATTTATTTAGTTTATGTAAAACATGTTCACAATTCGAAACAATTCTAACCAATCTAACAGAACTCCAATCATTTCTTACAGTCTATGAGCAAATATCATCAACAACAACAGCAACAACTTTAGGTTCATCACCATTATCAATAAATAAGCAACACCAATCAGATAATGTTCTATTAAATAGAATTATATCAACATTAAATACAGTATTTGAATCAACAAATAGTTCAACTCTTTTACAACTTGTCTATCCAATATTGATTATCGCTTTTCAACATAGCAAAGCAATCATTAGAAATAAAACTAGAAAATGTTGGAATGAAACATTCGGACGTTTAACATTTATTGTTTATCCGAATGAGCTTAGGTAACTATATTAGTACGAATTAAGATTTCATTTGAATGGCTAAATTTTTCTCATTAGTAGTTGCTTTTTTTTAAATTTCTACTTTGAATGAACTCTCAGTCAGATTATTCATAGGTATAAAAAATATTAGACTGCTATCGGTTTAGAAATTTGAAAAAAGTTTATAATAATCATGTGTCTTCATTTATTTTATTTAGAGCCTGTCTTCGTGATCTCAAAGATAAGGAACACTTATTATTACCATGTTTTCTTGCCGATCATGATAATAGTCACACAGCTAGTAGTGGAATATTACCCAATAGTACTGATGAAAGTCAATTTTCTCAACAAGTTGATATAGTAATTCCATTAATAAATCTTCCTCGTCCATCATCTTCAGAACGCATTCACTCGCCTTGCTTACAACCAATTCACTCTACAAATACCGATCAAACTGAACCAATATTTGTTTCGATAACAAATAATACCAATCATGATAGCCAATCTCAATCTCATGTTGTTATTAGTAAACGTATGGCATCCACCAGTTCTTGTTTAACTGAAAAACAAAAAGAAAAATTACGTACACGCCAGGCAATACCGATACTTTGCGATGACACTAGTAATGCACAATCATTGTCATGTACGTTTGATACGCCAACAATTGAAAGTATGATGGCAACTTATCAACTTCGTAATTCAACCAATGGAAATAAGCAAACAACAAATACGCATAGTACGTCTCTATTTAATCAGTCGAGTTCTAATTCTTCGCCTTCCGTCGAATCACCATCACAAGACAATAATACAACAGTTGAATCCGCTTCATCTCCAACAATTATGGAAAGTGCAAATTCATCTGCACAACTATCAACTGATAACAACGATGACGATATACCTGAAGAATCATTGATTGTAAAAAAACTCCGTCGTTCACGGCGGCAGTCCACATCTGCACGTAAAAGTTTAACAAATAGAACAAAATTGAAAGCGATGAATTCAATGTCGAATGAACTATTGACAACTATTCCGTCGGTTGCTGATAGTCCGACAGTATCATCGGATATTGAAATAATTAAAGCACGTCCAATAAAAAGCATCCTAAAACGTTTATCACCAACCAAACCTCGACAAGATCATATACGTCATGTTGCTTTTCATGATCAAGTTCGAGTTTTATTATTTGCCTCACCAGTCCGCCGTAATGTAAATGGTCAACAACAGAAAAAGAAAAGTCCTAATAAAGATGAACTGAAAAATTTATCAACCATAGCAACACGAAGTTCAAGTTTAATGAATAACAATGAACAAGTATTTCAAAATAATAATAAAACACGTTCATCAAAATTATTTAATTTTGCCGATGATCCAAAACCTGAGGTAACTTCTTCTTGTTCGGTGCAGAAAATATCTGTTGTAAATACTATTCGATTATGGAGTGGAGTTTATCGAGTCAGGTTGATATATTTAATTCCGGACTAGATGATCTGCACTCCTTTGTTGATATAGATGTTGTCTGGTATTAGCTTTTTACATCAGTCCAATATCTTTCAGTCACTTTGATTTTGTAAATTAGTGACTAGAGATTTTGCACTGGTGTAATTTGTTTGTTGTTCATCGTTGTTTGAATTTGTTTTTCATAAAAGATTGACGAGAAAACGCTTGAAAATCTCTTACAATTTTCTTCTCTAGAGGTGTTAAAATAGTATTCGAATGAAGATACTGATTGGATTTAGGTTTCTACAAAAGATTCAGTAAGCTATCAAATTAAGCTGACGAAATTGTTCTAAAAGTGCTAAGGAATATAGAAGACTGTTAGTACCAATATCATTTTTCTCGATAGGAAAATTTTATGTCGTAGAGAGAACAATTCAATATCAATGTTTTCTGATGAAAAAGAATATTTGAAAGGATTGTTTTATAGATTTTACAGCACAACTATAGACAATCATCCTAGTAGAGAGTCACCTGTCCACTAATTAGGTAAACGAAAGTTTCATATTTTTCTCTGCTTAGGCCTCTGTAAAAATCAATAAAATTGAAGAATTACCTCGGCTAAAACCGACTGAGCCAATCTATCCAACATTACTGGACTGCGATAAACCGTTAGACTCTCTGATTCATGTAGTATATGGTGGCGTATGGTACGTATCTTTCTTATCATTTTTTTTTTGTATCGATAAAACTATTCTCTTTTTTTGTTGCAGCCCTACAAATGCAATAAATTATTTTCGTTCAATAAAACTAAATACTGTTGGTGATATCGCACGATCAACAGCTGCACAGATTGAAGTTTATCCACTTCCACCACCTAAATTAGCTAATATTCTAAAAGCTCTTTCATTATATCAAGAGCGTCTAATCAATTCTCCATCATTATCACCAATTGTTGGTACAAATGGTGAATCTTTAACACCTATAGCAAGTACATCTGAAGAACCAATCGGTATGCCAAACTGATTTTATATTGGGATAAAATTAATTCTGTTTTTTTGTTTAGCGATTAGTGATGGTACATTTACCAAAGAAGCTTCATCATTGCCAACTGTAGTACCAACACTTATTGAAGATCCACATAATTCATTGTATGACGTTGATACATTAATCGATAGTCTTGATTATGAACGACTTTATCTCACTAATAACAATAATGATATCGATGATGAAATAGAACCGCCGGCGGTGCCACCCCCACCTCCGTCAACCAGCCGACCTGATTTCATTCAAAGAAGACGACACATAGCTTTAGTAAATCGTGATGAAGAAATATCTCCACAAAAACGTCGTTTATCAATAGCAAATAAAGACGAAGAAGAAAATCTCGATAGTCAAGAGCTGGATGAACAAATTTCACCGAAAAAACAAACCATTTCTCATAGAACAATAGGGGAACGTTTACAAAAAGCAGCTGATATATTTAAAGAAAATGGTCATCTACAATTTGATGAAGATTACATTGAATTAGTTCGGCAATTATTTAATAATTCATCGCTAACACATCTTGAGCGATTACATTTGAAAAGTTTATTTCTTGATAATTAGATTCTTTTTGTGATACTTTTTTCCCATCAGTCAGATATGAATATTATTTTTTTTGGCTATTTTTTTTTCTCCTTTAAATCATATGTTAGTAACAGATGAAATCTGTGCTTCATTCTCAATGTAGTAATTAGATTTTTGAAAAAACAATAGAACAAACAGATATTTGAAAGATTTTAAAAACAGTTTCAATTTCAAAAACATAAAAGTTCAAAAGAAAATTATTCCAAGATTGTCTATAGCAAAATTTACATTACTCATGATTTCAGCTAGTCCGCTAATTCCGGCTGTTTAAATATTCCATGAGAATAAAGGCCATCGGTATAAGATGAATTGCCGATGTATTCAGTTTTTATGGTAGCCCTAGTCGAACCTTTTTTTTGCAAGCGCATGCAATTCTTGACTTTCTTGATCAAGAAAGTCAAGGACTCTTTCGGTGAGCTCCAGTTCTTAAACTTCTTGTTCATGCGCTTGAATTTTTATCTAAGCGTTTCTGTTATTAAAGAACTTTTTTTTCTATTTTACATTCACAATAACTCAAATTTTAATAAAAAGTTACAGTTGCATTTTTTTTGTAACCCATGCAAACATTGAAGCACTTGTCTTGAGCCAGAAAGTTATGCGCTATGGACACACCTTGAGCTTAAGTTTTGCAAGCGCATGAATAAAAAAGTTCGACTAGGCAGACTATTAATTAATTATTTTTAGGTAGTTGGACAATATCTGAAAGATTCAAATGTAGATTAATAGGAAAAACAATTATCGCGTATCAAAATCAATTCAATTAATTTTCTCATATGAAAAAACGGAACTATTTTAGACATTTAGATAACAACATGTAAAAAATTGAGGAAGTAATTAAACTGTTTCAGAAATACGAAAAGGATTCTTTTCTATGGAGAATTCTCTAGCGTTTTGAAAATTCCATGTGCAAATAATTGCGGGATAATATTACCGTATGTTCAATTAGATATGTACACGAGAAGATATGATTTTGTTACATATTAATTGATGTTTGCTTCGTTCTGGTCAGATTTGCTATTTTATTGATCATTCATCTTAGATAACTATGTGTTTTTTTATATCACCTTTTGGAAGTTCATTGCAATCCCAACAACGATATTTTATGGCTCTAATCAGTGTTTAGACGTAATAAATGATAATTCATTCGGTAGACGACATTTTACATCTTGAACAGTTGTGCTACGTATGTCGACAGTTTTTATGTAGTTTTCAATCTTTTTTACGAATCAACAAACAATGACAAAAGCAAGTTATATAATCGATCAGCGATATTTTTCAGTCAACTTTTTTTTGCTATTCTCACTATAATATTCGTGCTGATCGACATTTAAATGATGTCTGCTCCATTACAGTCATATACACAACGTATAATGAGCGTTAAATAAATTCAATGATAGTAGGAAAAATCGAAAAATATACACATTAAAGCGCACAGTCAATTTCTGATTTTTGGCCTTGGGCCAGCAATATTTTTACAGCAGAAATACAAAGTTTCGTTATTAGTATATATATCTATCGATAGTTATAAATTGCTTTTCAATTGATACATGAAGGTAATTATTTTTGGTAAGTGCTAGTAAACTTGCATTCTTAAATAAATCGATAATAGAGAAATGTATTTTCAATTATTCTTTAGGTTTTCACACTGATAATTGCTTATTTTTTTTCCGTTTTACTTGCTGACGCTTGCAAATCGATGCTAATATGAGACACGAGTATGATGAGAAATGTAAAATTGCATGAATTCGAGTAACAAAATTTTGTTTTTCTACTTGATTCCAAAATCTTATGAAAATAAAACGTTCAAAACAGTTATAAAAAGGTTTCGAAATACTGTCAGTAAGTTAAGGTTCGTAGGACAAGGGAGATGATCGACTAAACCCCCCCACGGCCCCCCACCCCCCAACCCCCCCCCCCCCTAATATAAGAAGACCCCCCTGGAGAAAAAGTTTGTCGAACGTAATAGAAGATCCCCTTTAATTAATTAATTTTTTGCTAATTACGAACTTTAATTAGCGTTTTTCCATCAAAGTATGCCTGATTCTTAGCATTTTAAGGTGGGAATATTAAGAGAACGTGTTCACAATTATAATGATACCCTTAAAACCCTGAAAATCCTGATGGAAATCCTGAAAGTCGCCTTAGTTTTCTGTAAAACCTTTTAAATTAAATATTAGGAAAAAATGCGGTTCTTAATAGAAGGCCTCCCTGGAAAATTTTTACGCTGGAACATAATAGAAGACCCGGGGTTTTTTATTGTGGGGGGGGGGGTTTTTAAGGTTTCGATTACTTAAAATGAAATGGTTCTAAAAATTAGATGTCCATAAAATCGATTATAGTNCCCCCCCCCCCCCCCCCCCCCCCCCCCCCCCCCCCCCCCCCCCCCCCCCCCCCCCCCCCCCAGTAAGGATTCGATTACTTAAAATGAAATGCTTCTATCAATTAGATGTACCTAAACTCGATTATAGTTACAACTACTATCGGAGATCTTACGAAAAAATGTGTTTTTTCTTTTAAATACAGGCGTTTCTTTAAAACGAAATAACCATAACATTAATCGGTAATCAATCTCAACATGGCTTTCGAAGGGATAATGATCTACCTTGCCCTTTACTTTTTTATTTCAGTTTATTGGTCACAGTCCGTGCTATCTCGAAATAACCTGCTGTACTTCAAGTTCACCATCTGTCTCTTGTCGTTTTTCACGTTAGCTATATAGCGCTAATGAATCCTTATTTTCAGTCAATAATCGTCGCCGATATTTTTGGTCCATTCAATGAACTAAACGAAAATTTCTTATTAAACCAATTTCTGTTTGCTCGAAAATGGGACAATAATTGTGGGACTAATACTGAAATCATATTATTTTTAATTCTAATTTTCTCTTCATATAAATCGTATATCTATATTATCATATGGATAATATTTTTATTAATCGTCACTGAGTCATGTATATCTAATCCATGGATAATTTGTTGATTCTTTTAATTCGGTAAATACATTTAACAAGAAATAATAAAGAAAAGAATACCGAATATATCATTTTTTATTATTGAGACATTTCGTCAACTACTGATAACGTCGTCAGTCAAAATAAAATGAAGTTACATGAAAAAGAAATGTTATATACAAATTATGAGTACTATTGTTTATTAGGACGCGAGAAAAATAAGAGAAGCAATAAGATAATAAAACGACTGACGAAGTTAACAGTAGTTGACGAAGCGTCTCAATAATAAACTAGATGGTATTCGAGTTTCACTCGACTACGAAATGCGGTGCGAAGCAGACGAGCCGAATTTTCGAAAGTAGCGAGAATAAGATTTAAAAATAAATGATTCACTTTAAGATCCATTACAAACGTTTATTTTTTTTTAATTTCCGTATACGAATTTTGAATAAAAATTTCGCATTCACTATTCTTAAATCGACCATTTTGAAATTCATCACTAGGAAATCTCTCTGAAAATGTAACAACCAGTTGTCTAACAATTTTTTTCATTGAACGATTAATTATTTTAATGATTCACTATCTTAGATCAAATGCGAAGAAATAGACTATTGGCTACTATTACTTGATGACGCCATTTTAATTAGCGCGAAACTATAAAACAATAAAACGTTTCAAAATCATCATTGTCGAATGATATTTTTAGGCGAACGAAGCCTAGTATTGAAAATTGGAAAAAAGATGTAACAAGTTCGATCTCCATACTTTCATATCTAGTTTGAATGGATTTTCTAGCATTTATGGTTCTTTAGATCATCGCGTCACTTAATAAGAACTTTTTATGCGTACTCAAGTTAGAAAGAAACAAAAAAAAACTCGCGACGGACTACATAAATGCTGTGCTTCGCACCGCATTAAAAATAAAATGAGTTCTTTATCAAATTAATAGTAATACCCATTTGAAACTTCATAACTATATAACCTCTACAAAAGCTTAGAACCCATGTTTTTAAAATCGAACTGTATGTATACTTGTAGAGGGCTCTGTAGATTCTTATTCATAAAGTAGATTTTTCATTGCACAACTAATTATCTTTATGATTCATTATCCAGTATCAGATGCGAGCGAATAACCTAGTGGCTAACATTTGTTAATGACGTCATTTTAATTATCTCGAAGATTGAAAACGGAAATTCCTTACAAATCCATGTTTTTGAAAGGATATTTTGAGCGAACTGGATATCTGATGCAAGATTGGAAAATATTTGAGCAGTCCAATCTCGATACTTTCAGTTTTCATTTGAACGACTAAGGGTGCGTGTGGGTGTGGTGTCCTTTTCTTGCTCACACCCATACCACCTTATCAACGATTAACAGATTTTTCATTTTAAATGAATCAAAGAAACCATTTGAAACGTGATATCGATAGTCTCTTTGAACGCTTAGAAATAAAGATTGAAAAGAATATATATGTGGCAGTTGAGTTCAGAATTCAGTTGAGTTTGGAATATAATAGTTTGTAAGAAATTTATAGTGTTAATTATAGGTATAAATGATATGAAACTGAAAAATGAAAGTTTTTATTTCTGCAAATCATTGAAATATTGCTCCAAATGAGTTCTTATTCAGATGTAGGTAGAAAAATGTTTTTGTACAAAATAATAAAAATCGATTTCTTATTGGTTTTTTCTTGAGCAGTATTGTGGTACAAATAGAAACATTGAATAATTGTTGTATATGAATTCAGAATATTTTTTTTCTGATTTTCGTATTGTATTTATTTTAAAACTGAGGGACATGGGGACATTGAATAATTGTTGCATATGAACTAAAACTTATTTTTTTAATGATTTTGTTTTCTTTTTTTTTAAATATAGAATTTCGAGAAATTAACTTATGTATTGATCAGTGGTACCTTAAATCTGTTAGTCGATAGCCTTATGGTTATTTAGATAATTTTCTAAAAAACGAATATTGGTTTGTTATTGTATTAATACAGTTTACGTCGAATTATTAATTCTTCGGGAGTTTTCTTAACATGAATTCAGGAATGTTTATTTGGGACGTTGATAGAATGTTGAAAAAATAGTTTAATAAAGTAAGTCAATGTGTCTTCAAAACAGAACAGTTTCAAAAACCATCGTAACTTCATATAAAAATTGAATGTATGAAGGAGTCTTTTGTATAGAGTTTAAATCAGGGATATATTAAATGTTTGTGAAATTTTCTAGTATAAGGGATCAGTGTTATTAGTTGTTTTTATTTTAAACATATCTTTAAGCATCATTGAAATTATCCTTTTAGCGCAATGTAGGATATCGTGTAAAGTAAAGTTCATAAGATTATTCATGTAGGGGTTCTTAGTTTCTTTCTATTGATTTTTCAATGAAGTTTGACTCTAGAATTTTCGTAAAAATGGTTTTTCGCAAGTTCTATATGATCCTGTTTCTTTGAAAAATATTGCGTCTTCATCTTGTGAATTATTAAAAAGTGCAGCTAGTAATTAAAAGAATACTTTTTGTGGTTATTAAGGATTGTAAATTGATCAAGTTTTTTATTCGAAAAACAAAATTAGGTTATGAACTTGTGGAATAGATCGTGAATAGAAATAGAAATAGAAATTCACTAATGTTTTATCAATTTTTTTATTGTTTTGATCTCTTAATTCTGGAGATCAAACCGCATTTTTATGTGGAAATTTTATGAATATGTTATGTCTTTGTGAGTAGCGAGTAATCTGTGCCGTGCTTGATCGTAAAAAACAGTTGTATTCGTTCAAGCAGGAAATGCAGTGATTTTTTACTATCCCTTTTTAAATAGGCAGTTTCATGAATTTTGCTCGCGAGTAATTTATTGGTGTGGAATTAAGTATAAAAAAGTTATGAATATTTATTTTTATTATTGTTTTTAGTGTGAGCCTGTGCAGATTATAGGATGAAAGAAACAGTACACTAATTGAATCATTTGATATGTGCGTCATCTTGCGGAGATGTGCGATCTTTTTATTTACTAGTGGTGACATATATGATTCATATATGAAGAATGAAATCATAGTTATCATTCAGTTTATATTTTAGCGTTCATTACTTCATTTTAATTTGATGGTTTGAAAACAAATTTTTTGGTACAATTGTTTATTAATTGAACTGTTCCACTATTATACAGATAGATTGTTAGAAATATGCAGATAACAAAAAAAAAAGAAAGTATGCATCTTGATGATTGAAAATGTTTCAAACATTTCGTTGAAAAAAAAATCATATAGTCCGAGTTTTGATTTGAAAGTTTTTATCATCATTTGCGTTTTATTTTCTTCTTTTTAATTTCAATTGTTTTCGTTCTTCGTTTAGATTTTTGTGCACGAGCGGTATTACTGCTTAATGGTTCAGCATTTGATGATGCTGGATTAGAAATTGATGAATCTAAGAATATAAATGAAAATTAAGTTATATTCATTATTGAAATCATGTATTGAGAAGAAATAGTCCTTATGTCACATTTAGTAGTATGTTTGAAAATGTAACTTCATATGATTCTGTTAAATAATAAGAAACTGTTGTTTCTCACGTTTTAGTGAATGTGACACAAAGAAGGTCAATTACCGTTAGTTTCAAAAGAAGGTCGAGCGATACTTGTCGAAGCGATATTCGATATATTATTTTGAAATCCGGTTAGAATATTTGTTACATTATCAAAATTATGAAGTGTCGTAGTTGAAACATGTCGTTCAGAAGTGTTCATGGTTGTTTTATTGTTAGTAGGAATAGTGATATTTTCTAATGGCATGATGATATCAGATGAACCAATAAATTGATTTTTCTGAGGATCTAATTTAGTATGATTTAATGATTCAGGAGATATTATATGACTGAATGAAGCTAAAATATGTCAGGAATATTTTTTTAATATTATATATCTATTAATTAATTCTTACTATGCATGTTAGAATGGATCTTATCCGAGTTATTGTGGAGTTTATTAATGTATTTTAGAATAGAATCGTTAGTTGTCAGCATTGCTAGAAATAAATAATTAGCATTGTATTGATTAATTATTTGGATCATACTTTCGCTGATATCTTCAAATTGATTAGTAGTCACCTGAACTGGTGTTGATTGGTTGTTGAATGTTACGTTTTCAACGTTCGATGATAGCAAATTAGTTGTTAATGTGGAATTATTATTAAATTGTGTTTCAGCTTAAATGTAAATTTTTATTCATTTTTTTTATATTATAGTTCAATATGTAATACTTAGCGTCTGCAGATTTGAATGCAATATTTCGATATGAGTTGGAGAACCTGAGATATTAACTGTTTGGCTTACGGAAGATATTATTGATGGTGTGCGTGATTGAATTAATGTATTTGATAATTCAGTCTTAGGATTTTTCGACGCGTTTTGAATTGTTGGTTTTATGCCTAGTACAAAAGAACGAGTGTATTAGTTTCCAAGTGTTTTTTTTTGTAATATAGTACATTTGTTTATACTAATTGAAGAATTGTTAGTGGTCGTTTCGATTGCTTGTGTTTCAACATTAAGAGTCAGCTGTTCAGTATTAGAATTAATCGTAGTAGTATTAGAATCTAAATTTAATTGCTTTTAATATAGATTCTATCCAGAAAAAGGGATAAAATATATTGAGTAATCAAGACTTTGCCATGTGTCTTAAATGTTCATATAGCTAATAAATAGGAAAGTATCCTAGAGTATATTTAGTGTTTAGAAGTTAGTGTGAGACTAGTATCATAATTTTTATGTAGAAGTCATAAAGTAATTCCATTGTTCATTTGTATTATGAAAAGTTCTTATATCTGAAAGGTTACTTGATGTTTGTAAGTGAAATACATACTATTAAGAAATCGTTCGGGATATTTTTGTTTTAAGTTATTGAATAATGATTTATTATCAGATTGCAACAATACTTGCATAGAATCGTTTGTTAGTATTTGTTTTTGCTTAATAGTACTATTATTCAAGTTTGTCATATAAGTTTTTAGATCTGATTTTGAGTCATTAAGTATTTGCTCAACAATTTGTCGTTTTACAGGATTATTTAGTATGTTTGTCGATGGATAGCATTTCATATATACAGATGTATGTGATGTAGTTTGTATGTATGCTAAATGAGATCGGATTGAGATGAAAATATGTCAAAATAACAGTTTTATTAAAGTTATATTATTGATGGAAAAGTATCTGACTATAGCTATAATTGATTCTATAACTTACACCCTTTTCGTATAAATTCATAATTTATTAATTCGTCGAGAGCTGTGTTGACCAGATCAGTTGGAAAACGTCGAAGTACTCCCATTGGTCCTGTTAAGTCACGTTTCAGAAAAAACAATTGATTTATTTCGAATATATATTCACGAATTGTATTCAATGATGTTTGAACTATAAAGCGGTGAATTTATCATACAAATAATGATAAAAGAATTTACTAGGCAATATCTGATTTCGAGTTGATAATTCGTTTGGAAGTAGTGGACTAGTATTATAAAGTTCGATGAACATTTTTCTTAGATAGTTGCAGAATAAATATCCAGCTAGTCGTGTACTAGATGATTGTATTTCCAAAACTAAGTTGGCAGATGGATACTTATTTTCAATTAATTGTGTCGTATTGCGAATAAAATTCAAACTGGTATCATCATATAAGAGTTGGTTTTGATCTTTCAAAATTCTATTTAATATAGAGATATTGTTTATTAACAAGCGAATGACATCAAAAGAATTATAATCAGAATGAAATCAGCTAGTTTGGGATGTTAATGTTGGCAGATTTACTTTAAATTGAATCAATGAGATTAGTGTTTCATGTTCTTTTTTTAAGGTGAAGATACTTTCAATTTCTCAAGTATTGGTTATCAAGTAGTTTTATTTTGAGAATTGTATAAATAGAATGATAAATGACTTTTTTTTGATTGATTAGCACCAAAGGTATGATGTATTATAAAAATATTTAGTCGAATAGTTATAACTTACTGTAGTATTTCCAGTGAAATTTTTACAATTTGAGAAATGCCAGCTATTTTACATAAAATTTCAGCGGCTTTGCCAATTCGTGATGCATAATTAATGTCATCTGAATCATCATGTTGAGCTAATTCTTGATATTGGCGTATTTTATTGTTGAATTTTTTTGTGCCATGTCGACTTAAAGTAAATATACGATCACCTAATAAACGACAGACAATTAATATTTGTGTTAGACTCGGCTGATTTTGATTCATATTTTTCGCCGTTGTAGTTCCATATTCATCGTCGCTGATATCTTCTTCACTATCGTCATTGTCGTCATTATTGTCGTTATGATAATCTAGTGTTTGCGATTTAATACTATTTAAATCGTTTTTCTTCGGTATCGTGTAATGTAGAAACCTATTATTTTTAAAGAAATTAATGCATATAATTAATATGAATTGAAAGAAATTATATAAGTCAGAAATTCATTAGTGAGAATAAACTGAATTTTCTATTATGAATGATCGTTATTCACCGACTACTATTTCAATGTGTGAAGATAATTTAAAAACTGTGATGCATTAAAAAAGCATTTAATTCATTATAATTGTTACATGAATCAGAAGCAATGAAATTTATGAAATCACGAAGCATTATGTAGAATAATAAAAGTAAAAGTAATCGGTAGTTTTCATCGATTTGTTTACCGATGAGAAATCTAATATTTTCAGTCATGGTTACGGGTTTTTTAGTTGGGATCGTTGATTTATAAAAATCATTCGCTAACCCTATTGATTTTTGGTCAACTGCGAATCCTAATACTCAGAAATAGTAGTAGTTAGAAATCGGATAAGTTGTTAGAAATGAAAAAAAAGAATTCATTTTATTTCGTATTTTGGGATAAAATAAAATAAAATTATGAACTTCTATAGTGCGATTAATAAATAAAATAATCAAGTTTGGTATAAGGACGGACATATTAAATTGTTTTAAGTAGAAATGCCTTTAACCTTTTTCAAAAGCAAGAATTATTCTAAGAATTGTTTCGTTAGAAGATATATTATGAAATGTAAGGATAGATACATTTAAAAGAAGATTCTATTTTATCTTTTTAACAGCTGTTTTTTAGCTTAGGCAGTCTTATATGGTTGCTAAACAATGCATAGTTTGAGTTACGTATCTGGTTTTCTTAGAAAATCTTATTACCGTTCTGAAAAACCATCTGTTTGATTTCCTTGTACATAATAGTCGATTAGACGATTCCATAATCGACCAGTTGTCGCTCCAAGAAAAGACAAATGAGAGCTGACTTCAAGATGGTACGTCATAGTGTCCTTTGTTGTTGGTACAGTGCCGAAGAACTTGCATCCAGCTATTCTATCAGCAGCAGTACTATCGGAGAATGGTGAGTAAAAACCAAGAGTTAACAATGGTTTTTCCGCTTCATCTGACATTATAAATGCATTGCTTTTAGCTAATTTAAGTGTTAATGATGCTATTGTGAAATCATCGATGATGCCGTAATTTTCGTTTGGAATGTTTAAGGCCTTCATAGTGTTGATTATGGATCTTTTAACAGGTCCAATAATTTTAGTTTTACCAGAACCTAACGAAAGAAACACTGTTAAGAATTTTTAATTTTTTTATTTACCTGACGGGCCAATTAGTAGTACAAAAATATTCAAATTAGTTGTTTGATTCGATATAGTAACTGTAGAGTTAGTTGCTAAATAGCCTACACTTGCAAATAATGATAATAGAGTACCAATTGGATCAGTATCATTTATTGATTTAAGATTATTTAAAAGTTCACGTAGTAATAAAAACGATTCATCAAGTAAATCATCTATATTGATAGATATTTTTCGTGAATTTTGCAAGTTACGTCTCCAGATTAAATTTACAATTGATTGTTGATTTTTTAAAATTTTTGACATAATGGTGAAGAATGTAAACACGGAGATAGATAGAGTGGTATTAAATAGGAAATTTTGTTAGTTAATTAGAACAAAATATTTGAGGATTAAAATGGAGGGAAATATATGCAAACGAATTCAAAATTCTATTAGCTATGGAATTTATATTCTTTAAAAAATGTGCCCTGTTAAATTGAGCAACCAAGTTATTTTATATTATTCAATAAATGTTGGAATAATATGCGAGTTCTTATTTTTTTGCTCATTATGTTCAACTAATTGTTCGGGACATTAGATACTAAATCACGTCTCATAAAGAAAATTTTAACGTCTTTGTTCTAATTAAAGATGATTTATTCGTTCAATGATGTGTATTCTATTTTGAAAATATGACATTGAGTAATATTTTTTCGATCACGTATTATTATTTAGAGAGAATGAGTGACTCAGACTAAGTATTTACAAGCTACCCTTTAATTGAATTACAGAGCAATGAAAAAAAATAAAATGTTCAGATTTCCACAAAAAAAAATCTCTCAAAATTGAATCATTTTATTTATTGCTTTGAAATGATATGAGTTATGTGAAACTTTAAGTTGAAAAGGAAATTATGCATATAGTCGAGTGTTGTTATCAGATAAGTGAACACCGATGCTTGAATTTCGTTGACAGTTGAGTTAATTACATACAATGTTCAAGATTCATAATGATGAGCGAAGGATATTCTATTAGAGATAAATAAAATATCTTTGTTGTTTTTATGTGTATCAATTGTTTGAATACCGAAAAGCAAGTTCGTTAGATGAAACATAGTTCTTCTATTTATCTAGATGAAAGATGGATCGATTTTCTTTTAACATAAAGAACTCCTATTACAATTCTTTTTATTTATCATGTGAATATGTATTGTTAAATATCTGTTAACAATGCTGTTCTATTGTTGGAACAATGTTTGGTTTTTGAGTGCAAAATGAATAAGTGACATATATAGAATACACAGATAATCTATAGATGAAATAGTCAAATCAAGAACAAATTTTTTTTCTCATAAATTTGAAGTAAATAAAGAACAATTGGGGTTACTGTTATGCGAGATAAGCAATCAAGTAAATCTTTGATAAATCATGTAGATGGGTAGAAAGATTGGTTTAATTCAACAAAGTAGAAACTATGTGTAATTAGAAAAAAAAGAAGTTAACAGTGAAGTTAATAATGAACTTGACAAATGATTGTTTGAGGAAAAAATATCAAAATTAATAGTGAAATAAAAGTTACTTGAAGAAAAATTTCATAATTTATTATTTGAAGTCTTTCGATTTTAATTGTTTTTTTTTAATCGTGAGCTAAGTAATTATGTCAGATATAGATACGGATTAATAAATATTCGAGTATTCGTCGTGAGATAGTGTGATTTGTTTGGCATTATTTTTACATTAAATTTATTCTGTCACTACAAGTTCACACTAAATGTTGTTTTATAACTTATAACTTATATTAAATAAAGAGAAAAAAATCGAAGAAAAGAAAGCATAGGAGAAAGAGGAAGAAGAGACGTATTTCAAAAATATTACTACACTCTTATCGATGAAAATAGTGAAAGGAAACAGCTAAACCACAGTAATATTACTAAAAAAGAATATACCATTCGAACGGTGAACAGAGTTACGATGTGAATAGTAACATAAATAAGAGTAGGAATAGTACAAGAAAATGTATACGTATACATGTGTATATGTTTATCAGTTAACTACATTGGTTATAATACAGCGACCTCTATTTGATATTATATGTGATAGGTAGATTGAGAAGGATGAGATATATGGGAAAGATATCGAATGGTAAATGATAAACGAGTGTGGTTCAGTTTCGTGTTTCGTTTCTCAACATATTTTATTATTTGTTTGATTTGTTTAGCATGTGATCATGTTTTGTGCAGAAACAGAAATAGTTATTAATGAATTATTCATCGTTAATACAAAACAACAGTGACTTGGTTTATTAGAAATTTAGTAACTAATTAATAATATATTATGATTATGATAGTGTTTGTGGAATGACATGTTATAATATATTATGAACTTTTTTTTATTGGAGGTTTAGAATTTTTTACTTTGAAACAAAAATTATTTGTACATGCAAAATAAGTGTATGGTTCAAATAAAATTGTTAGATTCAACTTTTTTATGAATGTGTTCAAGCTGATGTCATAAATAATAGATACATGATTATTTGAGCAAAAAGTCGAGCAAATGATAATTAAATGTTAGTATTTTTTTTGTTCGAATTCAATTATGAAGTTGATAGATGGGTATTAGGCAAAGTAAAGAGTGATTGTGTACCTATATAGAAATGATTATTGAAAAACAAATCATGTAAAATTCGTTGAAATAAAGTATAGTTGATTTCTTTAATAGAAGAGATTTAGGTGTAAGTAGATAGAAATTGTACTAACCATCGAAGCTTGAAATTTTTACATTTTTCAATTTAATTTGTAAACCAGTCATATTATGATCAATTAAGCGTGCCTATAGATAAGTATCGCACATAGAGATAGAATCATACAACAATAAATGAATTACTTGATCATTCCATAAGGTTAGGCCTGTCTGTATACCATCCTGAGTTATATGAAGGTATCGTCGAGTCCACACTGAAGCATTTCTCACTCCCGTTGAAATGCCAAAATCACGTACGACATTAGCTTGTACGTCTGCAACATAGAATAATATATATTTTAAAGTTATGAAGCCATTGTTGCGATCTAATAAACCGAAATTACAGTTTTTTTCGCAAATAGTAACTTTGTCGACATATCAGAGATTTTGAAACGTAGATCATGCTAAGATTTAAACGGATAGATAAAATTAAAGATTATTTACCTATAATTGAATTTAATGGTAAATCTGCAATTTGTATCAGATGAACAAAATTAAATGTTGGTGTTTCATCATATGGTGTTGATGTTATTTGAGTTGCGACTGTGGTGTTAGTACAAACTAATTGATAAGAATGTGCCAATGTTTTGAAAGAATCGGAAGCTAATCGAACAGACAGATTGCTGAATTCATATGTCTATAATATATGATAAATTAGGCTTTTCTTGTGTTATTCATAAATAAAATAACCTGATTCATTTGTAATAAATCAGACATAATATGTGAATTCAGATTAAAAGCTGCTAGAGTTATTGATCCTGAATTATCTTTTAAATCCCAACATGATATTTCTCCTACACTATGAGAATTGGTGTAATTTCGCTTTGGATATACAGATGTGACAGTTGCGTGTATCTTCCAACTAAATATAAAAAATACATGAATGCTAGGATATAGTAAATGGTTTCAAATAGGTTTCATTTAATGAAGATTTTCGGCAAAATAAGTTGAACATCTATAATTAATTATTATTGAATTAAATTCTTCATATTGTTCCGTGAACGATATATTTAATGATAAAGTAGTAACCGTGATACAATAAATTAATTATTATTTCTTGTATCTTTGTTAGTCAATGAAACCTATGGTTCAAGAACTTACATAAAGTTTAAATCAGTATTGATTTCATTGATGTTTATTAACATTGCGTTTTGATCTATAATTATTGAAAATAAATCAATGTTTTTTTGTGTTTTATTTGAACAATATTTTTCGTATTTATTATAAAAAAAGAGAATTTTCATAATACCTATTGAATTCTTTTTTATTCTATTTATGGTGTTCGAATTTAGTGAATTCAATATTAAATGATTTTATTAGTTACTCACATGTTTGCAATGTTTGATTGCTTTCATTAGTATTTGTGGGAGTTTGTGTTGAAGATGTAGTATTTGAAAAAGCAATATTTATTGCTGATGTTTGTGTACCTGAACAAACAAATCTAATAAGTAAATTCAATTTTTGGTAGTTTCTAACTATAATTATTTATGAGTATCTAAAAGAGTCGATTCTGTAGAGATTTTTTATTTGTGAATATTATTTGTTCAATTTAGTTAGAGATGATGCAAGGATATGAATGAAAAGGAATATTCACTGTTTTCAGCTTGTTCATATGATTCGTTTCGCACTATTGCTGGCTCGTTTTGTGGTACGTTCGCTTGAATTTCGGTATTTCTAAACAAAGGAAAAAGAGTATTTAATTTTTTTAAATTTATAAATGTACGAAGCATTGATATCATTATTCGTTGTATGATTTGGTCTAGTACAACGACGTTTTGAAGATTTTCTTTTCATCTAAAAACGATTTTGTTTAGTGTATGTTATTTAGTATTGTCGAAGAAGAAAGAAAGTATTTTTAATGTTTTTAGATATATCGTAAAGAAAATCGTTGGTATTCCGGTAGGTTGAATAGAAAACGTATTATTGAGAGAATTTTCTATGCGATTGAGAATAAAGGTTAAATTAGCTAAAAAAAAACGGATAAAAATTGATTCACAATCCATGTGAAAGATTTCGTATCGCATCATATTTTGAATTTGAATGAAGTCTTTTATGTAAGTTGATCATATATTATATATTGAAATTGCTTGAATTGATATAATATTATGAGTAATCAATATATGGTGGATTAGTTCACATTAAGAATTTGTCTGTGTTTTGAATGGATTTTTTTTGTAGTAAAAGGAGAAAATAAAAATGATTGATACTTTGAATTATCCTTAACTATTATGCTAAATTATTGATAGGTGTTCTTAGTTATCTACATAAAATGTTATCACTACAAAGTTCTGTTCTATACAGTAAAATCAAGATTGTTAATTGAATAAAATATTATGATATTTTTGCAGGAATGATGAAAGTTAGTTATTTAGAATATTTCTCATGCTATAAATGATAATATAAAATACTAGTTATCTAATCGCTTATTATAATCAAATTAATAATCGAATGAAATTTTTATTTGGTTTTGTAGAAAACGTTGTCAGAATTTTGGATATTTTATTCTTAGTGGGTGAGATTATTCGTGTACAAGTTTTTTTCGTATGAGAATACATATACAAAGGTAAAACTATCGTGAAGATTGTCATTTGGTCATAACTAACAAATTCGCACATTGTGTATCAGCTGTATAAGATATTAGGTAAACATATTTAATTAGGGGATATTGTTTTTAATGTATATTTTTGCACATATTATTTTATAAATATCGATGTACATAATACTGAAAATAATGATCATTTATTTTTACATAAAGTAACTTTACCACGATGACATTTTGTACAGCACTTTGATCCATTTTTTTTACATGGACACCGATTGGTGTCACAGGAGCCAGAACACTTACATGTGTTGAGATGTTTGTAATTTGTAAAAAGTTGACAAGCCTGTATAAATGTGATAGTTGGTAAATTGGTAGTTATAAGTTGTCGCAAATCAGCTGCTACTGTTTGAGATAAGTCAACGAAAGCGATTGACAAGAATAGTTCTTTTATGATTCCATCCAACGTTGCGACTTGATAGAACATGGTCGAGGAATCGTCTTTTTCAATAATTTGAATTATTTTACAAGGCAGTGTAGATGCGGATGTGTTCGTTCGATCAACGTCAGCTATTTTAAGTCCAACTATATCATTAATTTGGTAGAGTTTTTGTTTCTTCAATCCACGATTATATTTGTTCAATTGGCGTTCTATTAAGAAAAAAGAAAAAAACGTTATTTAATTTCTGTGTATTTTTTTCTTTATGTTAATATAAAAATAATATAAAGAAATAGCTCACAAACAACGGGCATGTGGTATAATTAGATGGAGAAAATTTACCTGCTGTATTAATGTAGCATTTTTCTGCTTCATCTCTGATACGTTTATGCGATGTTGTACTTGGATCTCTAAGGGATAAATATGTATGAAAAATGGATAATGTATTATACAAAGGTCTTTTTTATACAGGATTCTTTGATTGACTTGAGTTGTTGATGATAGCACCGGGTTTGAGGAATTACCATCGTTACTTGATGTACAATCAGTATTTGTCTAAATAAAAAAATGATTTGAAACTAAATAGATAATATTTAATAGTAACCGATTCGATTTCGTAATTTAAGTTAAATTGATCTAGTAACGCTTCGGGTATATCCTCTTCATTCAAGACAGACTCATTTGAAGACTGTGCATGTAGTTGATGCCAAAACTCATGGTCATGTCGAATTGATTGCCCGAAAACCATTTCGTACGGCGTTTTCTTTGTACTTTGTGAGATGGAATTATTCATCGCCAACATTACAGGACCTTACATGTTCATTTTAAATATATGATTCATATATTTTAAAATATTAATGTAAAGCAACTCAGAATTTACCTAAACCATTCGGCCAATCAAGTGTTTTATTTGTTTCGAGCCATTTTCCAAGCATTTTTTGAACGACTGCATTGGATCTTTCAACGAGGCCTTGACTTTGGGGATGGCGAGGTCTACCGTTTATGATAACTAAATCAGGCCAGTTTAATTTTAAATCCAATATTATTTTGGCACTAGTAGAGAAAAACGGATAAATATCGTTAATAAATCAGGTTTTGTTACACAAATTCTTTGCCGTTATCCGACTGCAATATTTTAGGGGGACCAAACGTATAGAAGATGTTTCTTAAATTTGATGCAACTTGTGATGCATGTTTAGATGGTAGAGGGAAAAGCCAACTGAATTTGGTAAAGTGGTCTTTCACATGCATGATGAAGTTGAAGTCATTGAATGCTACACTCCGCATGTCAATGAGATCGACTTGCAATCGAGTTAAGAAACCAATTGAAACGATTGGCTTTCCAGTAATTGGTTTAGGAATAGGTCTTCGTATTTGGCATACGTCGCACATATTGATATATATTAATATTGACTGTAATGGTATTCCGTCATATTTGTTTTTTACCTAATTAAATATAGTTCTTATTTTTTATTCAATGTGGTGAATATGAACGTTTACCTCGCTCCATGTCTTATCTCTTCCTGAATGTCCAACGGCAACATGACATTCAGTGATTTTATCGAAAATGTTTTCATGTGTAATCAATGGTAATTTATTTTTGGTTGTATATACTATATCATTAGCTCCTATTTGTACTAGATAGAACGTGTTTTTCGACCAGAATTTGAACTTAGATGATACATTTGTCCTTTTTTCTTTAAGTAGATCGATAATTTGTTCATATGTACTATTTTTAATAGTGTATTTGTCTCTTTTTTTAATATCTAATTTATTAATGTATTCTTCTAATCTAGTATTGAAAATATTTCGTTTCTCGATGATATCCATGATTAAACAAATCACTAAAGCAAGATGAGAAAACTCGATATAAATTAATTATTTACAATCAATGCGTCGTAGCAACGAATACTCAATGAGTCACAATGTAAACTAATCAAAATAATTTAATCGTATGAAAGTTTATTGATTAAACTTGATCAACAAACAAAAATTTCAGCATAGAAAATATTTTATGTAGGGGCATTTTTTTAATTATTTTGTGTCAATGATCTTCATAATAAGTATTTAGATTAATCCGCGTTCTGTTGATGACGAGAATAAATAATGCATATACAATTGCCAATTTAACATGAAAGCTTTAATTTCATAAGTTATGATAATTCACTTTCATTCAATCTATTGAATGCATATAGGTATATTTATTACCTATTTGTAAAAGAATGAAGACTATGAGATCGTAAATTTCAAACAAAGATAAAATACAGAAAGAAAAAACTCAGAGAAAAATACAGAAAGAAAAAACTCAGAGAAAAATACAGAGAGAAGAAATGAATATTTTTTTTCTTTTCGCGCATTCCAAACTCAACTAAATTCCCAAGTCAACTGTAACATATACATAAGCTCAGCGGCACCAGATAATGATTTCGGTAAATAAAGGAAATTGTCAAGATAAGCAGCCAGTTCTTCAACATTACATGAGTTCGCTGTTGACCGTCGTGCATCAACTATTGTACATGATAACTGAGATGTTGATGTGGTTGGTGATGGTGATCGATCATCGATAGTTGATTCTTCTTCAACAATAGATGGTAAAATTGATTTTGTACGAAATAAAGTTATCGTTGTTGGCGATGAATATCGAACGTGATGTGATCGAAGATTGGAACATAGATGTGAATTACGACGAGATTGAGGAAAATGACACGTTGATAAAGAACGAAATCGATTAAGTAATGATGGAGATGACAGAGAAAACGCATTGAAGATGTTCGACGTGTAGATGGAACTAATGAACGACACGAAAGTTTTTCGGCATTTTCTTCTTCCTCTTCTTCTTGAACTTTTGGTATCGATGATGAATGTAAACGTTTAAGATGCTATGAACGAAATGCTTTTACTTGACAAGAAGGAATTGAATGAAATCGTAATGATAAATTAGATGATTTATATGTAGATCCTTGAATACAACCACCGAGTGAACTCTCATCAATTAAATTACATAATTCATCGATATCAGATATTGAAGGAGTTTTATTTATTGTTTCATTTTTTGGTTCGTTCCATTGGTTCTCGTTGATCCATTTCATAACAAATCAAATTAAATGAAATACAAGCTTTTATTGATTCTACGTTTTAATTTTTAATTTGACATTAATCTCTTGGTAAGTTGTGATAAGCCAGGTTTGCATATTGTGGTTCATCATGATGATATGGTGTTAATGATATCATTATTAGAACGCCATGATGTAGTGTCTTTATCTAAACGAATCAAATGATTAGTGTCATTGTTAATAAGTGGTTTGTCCTTATTTCGTCATCTTTGTTGTGAATATTTGTTCTCGATGTATTCGGTTGTTGTCGTTGTTGTTCGTCGTTGCGTTTTTTTGGTTTTTATTTTTTATTTTTTTTATTTTATTTATTTATTTTTTAATATTTACCCCCATCGTTCGATGTATTGTGTTCTGGAGAAATTATTTATTTTTATTTTGTTTCGAGCTTTTTCTTCTTCTTCTTTGGATTTGAACCCGATCAGAACTTCACCTTTTTCTTTATTGATCGTTATTTGATGACTTGTGTGTATATCGTCATCAGCTAATTGAGATCGGATCTTTCGATAATCATAGCGATGATAAATCGGTCTTTTAATTTTTCGTTGGAAATCGGGTCGATGTTTTTGTTTCCATTTAAGTTTTCGATTTTTCCGTCGTTGTCGTTCGTTTCTGGTTAATGTTAATGTTGTTGATGTGTTTGGGGGTGGTTGTTGGGTTGGAATTAATTCATTAATTTCATTTTCGGTTGTTGTTATAATTAATTCGACTGGTGGATCATGTGGTTGATGTACATTTTCTTCTTTTTTCTTGTCAAATTTTGGTTTAAGAATTTGAATTAATTCGTCTTCGCTGATGTCAGATAAATCATCGCAGAGATCAAGTATGGTTCGTCGGGTCGTTTTTGTTGTTGTTGTCGTTGTTGTTAATGTAATTGTTTTTGTTGATGCATGTTGTGATACGTCATGTAGTTGATGATGGTTTGTTGTTGCGGGACACATGTATAAGAATAATTCTGCGACTGCAATACAATCATCTATAGCGTATTGTTTCATTTTTATTCGTTGTTGTTGTTCAATATGTTTGTTGTATTGTGGTCGACTAAACAATTTATTCTTCCATGTATCTAATTCTAGATCAATGCCACATTGCCATAAATTAATTGTTTGCGATTTGTCCAAAAATTTATTAAAAGTTGTTGCTATCGCATCTTGTAATGACCAGGTTGCATTGTAATCGTAATGAGTTATGTGGTCACATTTATATTGTACATAATCATTTAATTTTCCATCGTCCATATCATCATCACTATCATCACCAGACATATCAACCATATTGGGTGATACTGGTCCGGTGTGTTTATCACGCTTTTCCATTTCTGGATGCGTTACACAGTGTGTATCGTGCCATTCCTTAAAGAAAGATTGTAAATTAATATGTTGAAAGGGATTACCTAAATCGATGAAGTCGAGGTGGTGAAAATTATTAAATTCGTTTTCCACCGTTCCCCAAGTGATGACTTTGTTGTTGTTGTTGAAAATGGTGTACCAGAGTTCTTTAATTTTGGTGTATAGTGTTGTTTGTGGATTAGGTAAATGTGCTGTTTCAATTAATATAATCGTTGATGCATCGGTCGAGTGTAAGAATTGGATTTGTATAAGTGCATCATTGTTTATTTTATTTCGTTCCGATTCGGTGTCCACTGTGTAACGACTTGTTCGATGTGCTAATGTGATGAGGTCATTTAGCGTATCGATTGTTGATTTGTGGTGGATGTGAATGATGGTGATACTTGATGATGATTTGAATGGCGGGTATTTGGCTTGAAGATCTTCGTTCTTGTTCATTTTCTTTGCCGTTTTCATCCAATTTTGTTGTTGTTTTTTATTTAAATTATAATAGTAATTTGGTGGGTTATTCGGGTCACGTTTTGCATACGACATGGTGATATTTAACTACAATAGAAATGATATGTGTTATTGTGAAATGCACTTAAAAATGAAATTCTTTGTCTGTTTAAATTTTTCTTTCCTTCCAAATAGATATATGTTTGGAATCGTTCAGACGTAAACTTTTTCTTTCCTGTATTTATCGGGCATGACCTTGTCGATATGTATACAAAAAAATGTTTTGTTATTCTGATGTGGCATATATGTGTATTTTATCCTGTTCTTGTTTTGATAATAGTAAAGTTGATGATCTAGACAATATGCGTCATTCTTTGCATGTAATAGTCGGGCATGCATAACTATTTCAGTGCATCGATTGATCTGCACGCTGATTGGATAATATATTTTTGTGAATAAATAATTTATGTGAGTGTGATAGCCCCTCCTTGTCAGTGAAAAGGTTAATGTCTATTTCCCCGGCATGGACTACTAGATCAGACCCAGTCATATTATTTAATTTTAATTTTAAATTTAATTTTAATTTTAATCTTCATTATTCTAATTTTAATTTTAATTTTAATTTTCATTATTCTAATTTTAATTCTAATTTTAATTTTCATTATTCTAATTTTAATTCTTGTTTGGGTTAGGATTTGATTTTAAGGTTTGATTGTTTACATATTTTTGCTTCGATTTTCATCTAAATTTTTTGTTGATTGAAATTAAATTTCACCATTATCTTTACTAATTTTTACACGTAATTCCACATCTTTCCCTTGTCGGGATGTGCTTATTGAATTAAATTCCATCGTTCCACTAGCGGAACAATGATATCCATTGTCACTTGTTTTGTTAATGTTAATTTTTTTACATGTTGGACAATGAATGTTTTAATTCCTAATTGTTTAATAATTTTAAATGGACCTTCATATCTAATGTCGAATTTATTTCGAGCGTTTCTTGTCTTCACAAGAACTAAATCATCAATTTTTAATGATAAATTTTGTCTATTTAAATCATATCGAGTTTTGTATTGTTGTTGACTTTTTAAGATATTTTTCCTTGCTTCTTCTTCTAATTTTCCAATATATGTTTTGATCTGCTGGTTATGCTCTGGATCTTGTGTGAGCGATATTATTGCATCTTGTTGATCAAATGGTAGAGTTGCTTGTCTTCCATGCATGATTTCAAATGGTACTTGTTTTGTTGTTGCGTGTATCGATGTATTATAATTAAATGTGACATATTGTAATACTTCATCCCAATTTGTACGTCGTTCATTACATAAAGCTGCAATTTTACCATCCATTGTAGCGTTAAATCGTTCGATTTGTCCATTTGTTTGAGGATGATATACTGTTGAATATAAATGAGTAACACCAAGGTGTTGAAATAAATTGTTCATAAGTTGAGCTGTAAAATGAGTGCCATTATCAGTTAAAATACATGTTGGTGTTCCATATTTTAATATGACATCATTGATAAGAAATTTCGTCGCTGTCGATGCTGAACAGTCACGAACAGCTTTAGCAATAACAAATTTTGATAATATATCCGTCAGGGATATGATATATCTATTTCCTTGTTTGGTTGTTGGAGTTATTGGACCATGAAAATCCATACTTAATAATTTCCAAATTCCTTCTGGTGGTTGTATTGGTTTTAATTTTCCTGGTAATTTTTGACGACGATAATTATTTTGTGCACATGGTAAACAAGAATCTAAATGATTTCTAATATCAGTTATCATTGTTGGCCAATAATAACTTTCTTGAATTTTTCTTGTTGTTTTATCCCGTCCAAAATGTGCTCCATTACCGGGTGTATCATGATAAATTTTTAATATGTCAGCACGTATTCGTCCTTCTGGAACGAACGGTACTGATGTAAGTGGTTGTTGTTTTCTAAATAGTATACCATTTTCAATAAAATAATTTTTCTTACTTCGAAGGTTCTTCTTTATTTCTTGTACAACCTTGTCTTCTTCTTGACATTTTCTTAAATCATCCATATCGAATGGAATGATTTTATTTGGATTTTCGTCCAATGGATCCGATATTGATTCTTTATCAATCGCTACTTTCCTTTGTGGGATGAGCTCCTTTGTTTTTTCATCTGTTGTTGTATTGGATGGTGTTGCCGTTATTTGCTGTTGTAATTTGGCTTGAGCTCGAGTAATTGCTGTTGTTATTTTTAATGGAATTGAATTGTTTGATGATGATAATGATAAATCTGTTTGTGTAAATTTTGATTCATATTGAATTCTTTCGTCAATATCTTCTTCAGCTAGTTCCACTGGTGATCTTGAAAGATAATCTGCCATATTGTTTTTCTTTCCTTGTATGTGTTTCACCTGGAATCTATATTCAGCTAATTTCAATCGCCATCGGTTGCATCTTTTGTTTAATTGTTCCTTGTTGGGCAAATTTATTAATGGTTCATGATCAGTTTCTAATATGAATTCATGTCCACGAAGATATTTGTCCCATTTGTCGATTGCTTGTACTATTGCATAACATTCTTGTTCGATGGTTGACCAGTTTGTTTGTGTTCTCGTTAATTTCTTCGACATATATGCTAATGGTCGGTCACCATCATGAGTAGTTTGTAATAAAACAGCGCCAATTCCATCGACACTAGCATCACTTTGTATTTTAAATTGTAATGTATCATCAGGCAGATCGAGGATAAGATCGGTTGTTAATATTTTCTTGAGGTCATGGAATGATGTTCTTGCGTCATCTGATAATACAAATTTTGATTTGTTCATTTTTTGTTGGTTCAGTGTTGATGGTGAATATTTGTGTAGTGGTGCAGCGATTATGGAGAATTTCGGGATAAACTTTCGATAATATTCTGCTGCTTTGACGAATCTAAAAGCTTCTTCAGCTGATGTTGGTTCACGTGTTTCGGTTAGACCACGGATGTTGTCTGGATCTGGTTTAATTGTACCTGCTTTGACGACATGACCAAGAAATAATATTTCTGTTCGAGCTATTTCACATTTATCAACATTTAATTTAAAATTTGTTTCATGTAATAATGAGCATACTTCTTCAATATGCCGTATATGTTCACTAAAATTTTTTGAATAAATAATAATATCATCGATGTAGGCAAGTACATGTTTCCATCGATTTGGACCTAATATTTGATTGACAATACGTTGGAAGGTTGGTGGTCCATTTGTAAGTCCTTGTGGTAATACCTTGAATTGAAAATGTCCATCTCGAGTGGAAAATGCTGTTTTCGGTCGATCTGCTTTATCTAATGGTACTTGAAAGTATCCTGATTTGAAATCAAATTTAGTAAAGTGTGTTGCTTTTGTTAATTGATCGTAAATATCATCGATTCTTGGTAAAGGAAATGCATCTTTTGTTGTGATTTGATTTAAACGACGATAATCTACACAAAATCTTGTTGTTCCATCTTTCTTTTTTACTAATACGACTGGTGATGACCATGGAGATGTTGAATGTTCAATGATTCCGCTTCCCATTAATTTGTCTGTTTCTTTCCGTAAGGTTTCTTGATCTTTGTTGGATTTTCTATATGGTGGAGTATGAATAGGTCGATGTGTTCCAGTGTCAATAGCATTTTTTAGAGTTATATCAATTTTTGATGGTTCACTGATATCAAACAATTTTCCATATTTCCATAGTATTTTTAAAATTTGTTCTCGTTGTTTATCATCATCAATATGTTCAGTTAATTTGTTAATTTGTTCGCGTATTTCCTCAGAATAACATTTAATTCGAAGGTGTTTAAATAATTCATTTCCAGTATCGAAATATTGTTTACATTCTCGACATTGATGTTGTTCTTCGTGTGATCTTATCATTTGCATATTTCTAGACTCTAGTCTACTAGTAATGTTCACTTCTTTCCCTTTTGGAATGAGCTTTATGTACGCTTTTCCTTTCGGAATGCGTTCTTGTACATCATTTAATGGCATTGTAACACCGATTGTAGCAGATATTTGTGTCGCTATGCCTAGCTTTGTTCCTTTGGAAAGTGTTTGTTGTCGATCCGTTGCATTAATTATACTAATTTTTATTCTTTTATCTTCGATATGAAGTAATGCACTTGCAATAAATAATGCTTTATTTTTTAATCGAGGATTTGGTTCGAATAATACATCTATCATATTGTGATGTGGAACTTTTGCTTCTACGATTCGTTCTGAAAAGGGAGGAATAGTGATATGATTAATAAGAGTAGCTGGATAATTTAAAATTGGTGGTGTTATAAACGGAGTTGATACTTCTTTACCTTTACTTCTAATCATAATTCGTTGTTCTGGTGTTAGAATATAAACATTATTACGTTGAATCCAATCACTACCTAATATTAAATCTGTAACTAAATTGGTTGCAACATCAGCAATCACTTCTGTCTTTAATCCACGAATATTAATTTCTAATGTTGTTTCACCAATAACATTTAATGTTGAACAGTTTGCTGATAAATGATTTTTTGGTTTTTTTATTAAATTTTTATGTGGAATGTTTTTTAATAAGCATTCATGTATAATAGTGATGGCCGATCCAGTATCTATAAGTGCTTCTTGTGGAGTATTATTGCATAGAATTTTTACAAAAATTGGATGAAATGTGTTTGTTGTTGATGACTTTTTTTCTCCACAGGGATCGTCGCCATCTTCCGATCCCCTTATTCGAAAAAATGATGTTCAGGACAATCACGTATTCGATGATTTGATTGTCCACATTTAAAACAGCCGTTGTCCTTCTTGTAAAAACAGTTCATGGTCGAGTGATTTGTCCGTTTGCAAATTAAACATGAATCTGATCGGTGCATTTTTGTTTCTGGATAGGTTGGTCGACTTGATTTGATAGGTGGGTGTTGGATTTGCTTTGTATACGTACGGTTGTTATTTAATTTGTATGCTTGTTGATGTTGTTTTTGATAATGATGATATGGTGTATGCGGTTGTTGACCTAATGGTTTGACATTCGATAATCTTGGTTGAATTGTTGCTGTTTGTAGCATGGGTTCAAAGAATGGTTGGTTTGTTGTTTCAGAATAAAAATTATTACGTTGTTGTTGAATTCGTTTCTGTATGTATTCTTCTTGTCTTGCATATTCCAACCATTCATCTGGTTTCGTGATATCTTTTTCATTTCGAATTAAATATTTTTTCAGTGAATTTTTCACACCAGTTTGTAAAACTGTAATAACTTGTTGTTCGGTTATAAATTGTTGAGCTTTTCTGTATTTTCGAATAACATGTTCATAAAATGATGTAACCGATTGATTTTCTTCTTGATGAATGTGAACAAATTCTTGCATTAATTGACTATCAGATGTAAATTCTTTGAACCGATCGCGTAATGTTTTTTCAGCATGGCTCCAATTGATGAATGATCTTAAATTTTCTTGATACCATCTTAATGCAGGTCCTGTTAATTTACCCATCGTTTCCAGGATTCTTGTCTCATCTTTTAATTTCATTAATGAAAATAAATTGTTTAAATCGTATAACCATTCATCTATATCAATTACATTAGATTCTCCTGAAAATTCAGTTATCTTTTTAATTGCTTCTTTTTGACTTGAATGGAGTTGTCGAGTTTCCATTGAATTACTTTCGATTTCTTGCATCAATGACATTTCGTTGGTTTTTTTATTTCGTATTCTTGTTGGTGAATTAGTAATTATTTCATATGGTAAAAGATTTACACCACTTTGTTTGACTGCGTTTCTAGTACCAGTCGCCGTTGTGAAAAACAATATGCACTTAAAAGAAGGGCAAAAATGTTGACCTATATATGTGGAAGATACGTATATCTTCTACTAATAAATAAATTTTCTTTAAAAATAATACTTATACTTTCTGTCTCTTTTCCAATATAAGGATGAGATTGTAAATCACTCTTTCCGTTAGGGATGAGTTAATTTTAGTTATTAACTGGTTCTTCTTCTTCGTTGGAGGGATTAAAAGAAGACCGATCACGGCACCAATGTTAGCTCGTTGCGTTCGAGCTTTATGTTTATTTATTATCCCCCTTTTTCACACACACATATCTATATATATATATAAAAGAGAGAGAGAAAAAGAGACAACAGAAAGCTAACATGAAAGAGAGAGAGAGAGAGAGAGAAAACAAACGACGTCCAGGGAATACCTATACCCTGTAACAAAGACCCTTTACAGAGAGATACTCAGCCATCTTAAATATGACAGTTAGCGATACAGATAGTCAAGGAAAAGAAGCAAGTAATGAGAATAGTAGTAGTAATAGTGAGATAGATGAAGAAGATAGAAAGAAAAGAAAATTACAAGACACTAGTTTATCCCCCAACTCGAGAACACTTAAGGAAAATAGTATAAGAAAGAAGAAATCTAAGACTAAGAAGAAAAAAAGAATAGCAATAGAAAATGATCCAAGAGCACCCTCAGGTAGTCCAATTTTATTAGTTAATGAAAGTAATAGAGAACAAGTAGCAGCAGCAAGAGAAACAACAACTAAGACCAGACCAGACACTCCGGCAGATCCATCAGCCAAAAAACAAAGATTATTTTCGCATGTACCTTTACCCCCTCGAGCTACGAATAGACGTCAGTTAGTACAGATAGAGAAAGAAACAGTTAGTCAGTCAAATGAACACTCACCCATTGAATTACCAAGAACACCACCTGAAATAGTTGAGCCATTCAGATTAAGTCCAAGACAGAGCACACCGAGAACACCGATAGCACCGCCAATACCCCTCAGTTATAGTCCTAAAATAGTAGAAACATCAAATCAGGTAAGTGAGAATATTCCCCCTCAGTCAGTAATAACAATAGAAGATGAACCAGCAGTAGTTATGGAACAAGATATAGTTAGTCACTCTCCGTCAGTAGTACCCAAAGAGTCAGATATTAACAGAATAGATTTATTTAAGTTTCCAATTATTCCCATTGAGTGTCAGTTTCATTTTAGAGTATTCCATATAGCAGCAACTTCTGAGAATATTAAGGCACATAGAGAATTTTTAGAAAAGAAATCAGCACAGCAGGAGAAAGACTTAGAACAGCTAATGAGTACATTTAGTATAGATTTACAGAGAATAGTAGTTAAGTATATTAAAGATAGCGTGGAGCCCCTGATAGATAGACTAAATAGTTCCAACCAGAAAAGATTAGATAACTTACTCTTAGATCAGATGAGAGAAAAAGCAGTTAGAACAATTAGAAATAAGGCAGATAAGAATAGTTTAGAATTAGTAGAAAAAACACAGATAAAATTAGAGAGAACATTAGAATTAAGATTTCAGTTAGATAAGTTAGATAGAAGATTAAATGAGAACATGCCCCCACCAGCTTTAAACATCATGGATAAGTTACAATTTCGTAGTAGAGAATTAAGTAATGAGAATAAAGAACAGTATAGTGAGCAATGGAATAGTATAATTAGAAAGACCAAATTAGATTTAACATCAATAATGAGAATAGCCAAGGTAGCAGAGATAGATAAGAGTATTAAAGAACATAGCGAATTAATTGAGAAGATACCCGTAGAGATTAGAAAAGCATTTAAGGATTTAGAACATATCATAGAAATAAGGCATAATAGAAGTGTACAAAAAAAGTTAGATTTTTTAGAGAGAAAAGCGAGAGGAATAATAGAAAAATAGCTAGAGGAATAGAAAGAAGTAGTAGAGTTAAGAATTTACATCCCCATTACATCCCACTCGGATTCCCCCCTCAGGTTAATAATAAAGTATTAAGTTTAGCAGACGAAGAGCGTAGAATTCTAAATTATGGCCCCAAATTTGTACCAGCGAACCCCAAACAAGCGTTAGATAGATTAGAAAGTGAAATTAGAATAATGAAAGATAAGATAGTAGAAGCATGGAGGAGAGAAACTAGAACGGTAGGTCGGAACCCAATAATAGTTGAGAATTTTGCCAATAGATTAGAAGAAGAATTAAGAAGTAAGATTAGTGAGGGAAAAGGGCAAGATAAGTTAGTTGAGAAAACCTTAGAACATTTTCAGAGTGAACAAAAAAAGGGAAGGGTTATTTTCAGACAGACAGATAAATCAAAAGTATTCCACGTAGATAGACCTGAGACATACATTGAGAAATCTATAGCATACATGAAGAAGACAGACGCCTACCAAGAGATAGAAAAATCCCCATTAGTTAGTATGATAGAAAAGACAGAACAGTTATTGAGAGATTTAGTTAATAGAAAGTTATTACCCGGGAAATATTTTGAGAAATTAAAACCAAACCCCCTAGATGCCGAGTTACCCCATCTTTATTATAATCCAAAAGACCATAAGGTAGGAGAACCACTTAGACCAATTGTTTCGGGAATGAAATCACCAACACAAAAAATCTCAGCTTTTCTTGATCAAATTATTCGCCCCATTTTTGATAGACTTACCCCGCATAGTTTAAGAAATAGTATAGACTTTGTTAAATTTTTAAAAAAACACGGAACAACAGACCAGACCCTTCTTTACACCTTTGACATAACAGACCTGTACACCATGATCCCCCAACAAGAATCAATCTTAGCCATTTGTGAGATGTTAGGTGAGAATAGAATAAATAAGGTTAACGGAGAAATCCCCATCAATACAGTTAGGACCCTCTTTAGACATGTCTTAGAAAATGCGTATTTTGCCCTTCAGTTACCAGGAGAGAAAGTTAAGTATTATAAGCAGATTAGAGGAGGACCCATGGGCTCAGAATGTACCCAAGTCTTAGCAGATGTTTATATGCGCAAATGGGAGAAAAATTTCAGGGAAAAACAACAACGAGAAGGAGAGTTATACTTTAGATTCCGAGACGACATTTTTTTAACCACTAAGAAAAGTAAGATAGAGATGGATAAGGAATTAATAGAATTAGGTAAGATAGATAAGAATATAGGATTAACTTTTGAAACAGGACCCCATGTAGATTACTTAGATGTTAGAGTAGAAGTAGAAACACCCAATTTTAGAACTAGAATTTATAGAAAGTTAGCAGCACAACCATATATTTTACCTTTCAACTCAGCACACCCATCCCATGTTATGAAAAATATACCCTTCTCAGCAATTTTACGAGCAGTTAGAATATGTTCCCATCGAGATAATTTAGAAGAAGAAATAGAGAAAGTTAGAATTACCCTCCTTTTGAATAAGTACCCACCCAAATTTATAGACCAACATTTTCGGAGATTTTTTGAGACTCTAACAGGGCAGAGGGATCCAAAATTACTCTTAAGTGAACAGCATAGTCAGTATAGAGATAAGGTCTTAGAAATAGAATGGAATAAAAAAGAGAAACCCGGGATTAACTTTAATAGAGATATTTTACTCCACTTCACCTATACACCCAACTTAGCACTTTTCGGGTCAAGATTCCACCAAATTTGGCATGAGATTTTTGAGGATACACCACTTAGCGATATTCCCGTCATTTTTGCCCATAGATTAACAGATAATTTAAAGAGTATATTAGTCCATAAGAAACCCCCAAAAGCAGCGATTAAAGCATTAGTAGCAGAGTTAGAATTAGATGAGAACAAGAATTAAGAATAAGGTTTTTAGAATAAGGGATGATAATAAGATAAGAGATAACCCTCAGCTTTTTTCCATCTTTTTTGTTTTCTATTTTTAGAATGGTATTCGTCGACACACCTTCAACGCCGGTTTTTTCGTTTTCTCGTTTTTAATGTATAAAAATTTTTTTCTGTAGTAGATTCTTTATTTCTTTTTTCTTTTTCTTTTTTTATGTGATAGGGATTGAGCTACCCTAAGTTAAGTCCTTCCCCCGCACCCACACCATCGATATGCCCCCATTGAGAGTCAGAGTCGATAGTCAACGCCATCTTCAGTCGTAACGATAATAATTTCCCCCGCGAACGGACGAGTTATTTTTGAGTGGACGAGAGCAAAGAGGAATGAGAGTAGATAGAACGATAGCCATCTTAGACAGTCAGTATAGCCTGAAGAAGATTCGAAACGCGTCGCTTATTACAAACTTACTGTGTTCAATTTATTTATTTTTCTGTTCAATTTTTACAATAAAATTAAAAAATTACAATAAAAATCTATTATTAACAAGTTTGCTCTCATTCATTTACTCAACATAGCTCCTTTTCTTACCAAAAAAACTTTAAATTTTCTCTTTTCATTACTCCTAAAACAAAGCTCATTTTTCTTTCATAAAATTTGAATTATATTCTTTCTTTATTTCTAAAACTCCAAAAACAAGCTCATATCTTTTTCAAACAAACTAACCTTTCATATTTATTTCTTTATTGCTCCAAAACTTTATTTTTTCATATTTAATCAAACTAAAACTCTAAAAAGCTCATTTTTCATTTAAATTTATTTATTTATCATTTATTTATTCAAACATATATTTATTTCTTTAATTTTTCTCTCATAGACATTATATTAATATTTCTTTCTTACATTTATTCACGTAAAACTCTAAAATAAAGTAGTACTCTTTCTTACTAAAATATTTCTAAAAAGGGTGCTTCATTTTTTCATTCTTTCATAACCTCAAACTAAATTAAAGATATTCTTTCATTTTTTAATTCAAAAAACATACAAAAAGCTCTGAAACAATTTCAAAGCAAAAAATAAAACAAAAAAACTAAAATAAAACTAAAACTAATACAAAAAACATAATTTACTTATATTTTTCATAGACTTATCTATTTACTTATTTATTTATTTATTTAATCATATTTTTTGTTCTTCTATTTATACGTTACCATATTGTTAATTCGCCAAACATACTTACCCCACACCCACACCCTCAGAAAGCATTAATCATTAATATTAATGTTAATGTTTTCATTAAAATCAATGACTTAATATTAATGGTTAATGCTTTC